TTTCTCAACTCACTAATTAATCTTGCTCTCATTTGATATGAAGAACTAAAATTTTACCAATATGTTGCTTATAACGTAAGCTACAAGTGTAGGTGCTCCGCCAAATTCTGACATCAAAGTGAGGATAACGGTAGGTATATGAATAAAGGGTAAAGTTGTAAATCATTACGGATTTGGCTGAAACTTGGCGGGTATCCGACATGCCGATCACGAATAACATGCAATTTGCATAGTGAGAGCTTTTTTGAAACTACTGTAGTTTTACGGTATGGGGTCTCAGCTTAAATAATAGTAAAGACTATGATTTAACAGATGAAAATGATATAAAATTAAGATCGAAATTTACAATTTTTGAAAAAATGCTTGTTATTTTTGTACTTCGTTTTCAAAAATTAAGCAGATTGTGCATGGTTGTAGCACACATTGACCTACATATAGCCAAAGTTTGAGTGTAACACGTTCAAAGAGAGTTAAGTAATGAAAGCAGTCGCAAAACTTATCGTTAGTTTCCAACCTAATACTTTTGACCAAATCGGTTCTTCTCAAAATACGTCTGAAGTGTTGTCATCTTGTCAATTTCGTATTTTTCTAAGATTTTTGATGTCCAATTTTGACTTCAAATTGGCAAGAAACTGCCTTATAATGCACTACTATTTCGTTATTAACCTAGAAATATATTCTTGAAAGTAGCTACAGAATACCGTAAGCCAACGTACTTCAGAGATAATTTAAAAATTAGCAAACACTTGTAACGCATCCTCAGAGATGTGGTGAAGTAAAAGATAGACTTTTTGTGTAGTGTGGTGCTGGAACCACCTAATTAAGGCTAAGTCCTTTAATTCACTAAGACATTCCCGGAAAGAAGAAAGGAAATTTTGGAAATCACATCAATTAGATGCACTTCCTTCTCAAATTTACGAAGAATTCAGGGTCGAATGAGGATTTGATGTAGGTGAAAACGTCATGAAAAAAAAACACCTCAGTCTTTCTTCAAGATTTTTCGATTGAATAGCTGATCAGATTATCAATCAAATCCTAAGCAAAATTGGCCCTGGTACTTTTGAAGCTGAATACAAAAGTGAAATTTTTTTCAATATCCCACTTCAACTCAAGTTTCAAAAGTGCACATTTTCCTCAAAGCAGGAGATTTCAACGTATCTCTGCTCAAAATTAGCTTTCGTATATGGCCTCAGGCCTCCACGAGATTTCAGTCGCGACAATACTCCAACTGCCTCTAACTCATTTTGAGGGCATTCGAGCTGTACAGAAGATAGGGCATTCTATCCAGACATAAAAGTTTTGCACGTCATGCATTTGTAGCCTGCCAACATTGGATTTGAAGAGATCTGGCAAACTGCCAGATCGCGTAGCGACTGAAATCGCGTGAAGTATGCCCAAGGCCTATGGCTTGTACACTGCTTGACATAAGCACCAGCTCATTAATAAGGATTCCCACGATTATACGAACACTTCGAATACTAAGATTCCTCGTACGAAGTAAGTCTAGCTGACTTACGACGCAAAGATCAGATTCATACACGTGTGAGATCAGATTTCAGTAACCTAAGCAGCTAGTAACCGCACGACTTGCTCACATGGGCCAAGGAACACTTTCTAGCTACATTCTTCATTTAAGAAGAGATAAAGATGGGTCAGTTCAGAAGTGATATGCTCTAGAGATCATCTGATATTTATATCAATCTTACTGGCTCTCCTTCAGACTGTATTATTGTATTACTGGAAAAGTTGTGACAAGGGTTTGGGCCACAAAGTGTTTCGGAGCATCACATATGTGAATTATGGCACAAACTTGGTTTATAAAATTCGAGTCACGTAACCTTGGCGTCGTAGTAAGTGTGATTACATACGACATGCACAATGCGCGCTAAAATCATGGCTCCAACAGGATCAACAAAATCACTATCTCCTCTAAGAAAGTGATACTCTAGTAGAATTCTTCGTTTTGCGACAAGATAGTCATTTATCAAAGTCTTCTCAAAGATAAAGGTAGCGGATCTGTGTAGGTGTGTGCTATGGGCAGACACTGGGTAACAAAACCACATAACCGGACTCAGTTTTTGGCATCATTTGAGATCCCTAGATTTTGAAACCTGGTAAAGCACTTCATCCAAGAAGGCTTCAACTAAAGAATAGCTAAAACTGCGAAGAAGAAATATAACCAGCATTATGAACATGGTGACCACGACTAACTACGACAGCTTGAAATGTGTTCAGCTGATCAAAAGAAATCAGCGGCTGAAATTGCAAACCTAAACTTTAAAAAGGGCAAAGAACGAAAAAACAGAAAGCAAATGTTGCTAATGCACTTGTTAATGTTTCAGAAAATTAGTGTAAAGCTCAAAACACCTGCACTTATCAAGATTCGCACTTGACCTTTCATTTAGTACGGTTAATGGCTCATCAAAGCAATATGTGTGCCGTTTGACCAATTTTTTTTCTGCTAATTCTGCTTCTAAATGTCAATCGAGACTAAGGATATGTACGGTCAAAAATTTCTGAATAGAAATTGAAGAAAAATATCGGTAGCACGAAGGTCAGAAAAGCCAGGGTAACATTTTAGAATGGTAGCGAAATGAGGCCAGAAAGGTGCGAACAGCTCCAAAGCAAGCTGCCTTAATGAAGTTCTCCAGCTCTGCTTTCTATTTTATTCAATTTTCCTTTTTCATTTCGATGGCTTAAAGAATTTATGTGACTACGGTGGTTTGAGCAAAACAAGAAGTGGCACTTCTGGCTCTTTTTTGTGCTTCTTTGGGCTCAGTGAAGGTATCATAATCAATATTCAAGAAAATCTGTTGTGAGATAAACAGAAAGATATATTGGAAATAATTGTTTCATTCCTCTTAATGGATGAGATTTTGGCACGTATAATGAGCTGGCTTCGTGCATAGCCTCAGACTGATTAATGTCTCATGCAAGAAAAGCAATTCGAAGGAAGCGATTAACTCCTGAAAATAATTAACACAGGCAAGCTTCTTACCAGAGAATAGAAGGAAAAAACAATGAGAAGCGAATAGGATGTAGAAAGACTCAAGTAAAAGGAAAATGTGTCTCGAAAAAGATACACTAGACTTTGAATCTTAACCTAACACCAGCATTCACCAAATTCTGAAACCCGAAGAAGCCCTAACGGCCAGTTCATCAAGCAGATTTGAGACTCAAATGAAATTCATATGCAAATGAAGTTTCACGGTGTCAGATTACCAGTAAGAAACTTTATGGTTTTCATTTCCTTCTTGCAGATAATACTGGCTGAGGCACATCTCAAGTTCTCATCTCAGATCTCCTTCCACAATTTTTATAGTATTTTTTCCCAGACTTAGCCAGAGATGGGAATTCTGTTTTTTGCATAGACTTTAAAAGTCGGAAGCAAACAAAGATGAAATGAGAAAACCTGCAACTGGTTATGGATTCATATAATTTTGCAAGTTATTTTCAAAATGGTTACCGTGTGAACTATGAATTCGAAAAAGCTCTGATACTAAACTCTTCGAACAACGAGTGTAGCCGCAAGTCAAAGGGAATGAGGTCTAGTACCTTTCTAGCATCAACTTTAGTCCTGGACCACCTATTATGTATAAAGTTAAAAAATAAGAGATTGGTATAAAGTTTCAGCTTCCATTACAGTCATGTTGGCATATCTTTTAAAGGTTTATGCAATACAGAATTGGCTCTTATGTACAGCAAACGAATGCGTGAATACAGAGGATACGATTTTTTACGTCTAAACCTTCTCGATCTTTTCAAATTTATTGGTAAGTAGAATGGATTGCTAAGAATGTTCCCTGCCGCTTTTCAAGATAATTCGCAAAGGATAAAATCATTCTTCCAAGGAGCCGATTTCATTTACCTATAAAACTTTGACTAACAAATTTCAAGCCTAATTGATATTCGAAGTATAGTTGAAAAAGTAGTGCTAAATTTATATACCTTGGCATATTTTTGAGACAGCAGGAATCAAAATAAAAACACTTCTTATCAGGAATCCAAAAAACAATTCTTCAACAATTTCAAGGAAATGACAGCTAACAAAATACGAAATCACTAGACCTATTAAAACTTCATGATTTTCTATGCATTTCACCATCGTCGAATCATTGAAAAGGAATGCCCATAGCAGAAAATCTTTTAAATTGAATAGAATCTCTAATTGAAGTCTTCCCTGGCGCCCTGTTGCATTAGGCAACACTCGGAAGAAAATGATTTTCCTTGGGAAGAAAGTTGTAAAAGCTTATTTTCTTGTTATAAAAGGCACTCTTTAACGTCTATGATTTAAACTTACTAAAGCAAAGGATAGAATATCCCTCCTATTCAAAAAAATTAGAAGGAATTTCTGATTCGGTAGTGATAGCATTCAGAAATCAGTGAAAACGTTTTCAAGTTTTATGAAGGACTAAGTGGGGGGGGGGGGCTATTCAGACATGTTTTGTCATCCAAGTTCATTCCAACGCCTATTATAGCGATCGGACAAGTTCCTAATTTCTTCCGAAAGGAAAAAACACATTTTCTTGGGCCAAAATGGTGACAGATATCCAGAATTATCAGTCTATAGTAAAGCAATATCGTAGACAAAGTGAATTAAGCACAGAGAGTGAATATTACACATGTTTGCGATCGCATGCATGAGTGAACATACACAAACGTGGAAGTACGGAAAGCTAACAGAAGCTTTTAACTTGATGTCCGAGTAATCTTCGGGACTAAGAATGAGTGCAGTCGTCCGAGTTTGACGAGTTTTTGTTGGTATATGTCATGTAATTCGAAGAGAAACAGATTTATCTGTCTCGCTGACAATAGAGTGAAGGCCTGAGCGCTTGTTTCGAAGGGAAGAAGAAGCTGAACGTGGAAGTGCCTAATGGAAATGCTGGTCGGCCCAAGGTTAGGCTTGAATTGAAGGCAAAAACAAGTGAGATCCGAGTTTGAGAGGCTTCTACTGTACAACAAGCTTGCCTCTGGCATCGACATCGACTCAGAACAAGATTTATAATAGAGATTCATTTGCAGGATTGATGGAAAATGTCGGAACAATGGTGGGAAAATGACAGTATCTCACATATGTCGCAGCTATAAATAACACAAAATATGATAATCGACAACGTTACGCAGAGCAGACGCGATTACGCTCCTGCGCGCGGTACACACACAACAAATATCCAGTACATAATTCTTTGGATTAAAACCATTGGAGGAAAAACCTCGAAGACCCTTTGGTGTTATTGATATGTAAATTCAGTTATTTTCACAATGCCTATGGAAGTTTTGAATGAAAATTTCTCATTTCCAAAATTCTGCTTACATAGATAAAGATTCTTCCAAGGTTTTGATCCAATTAACTGAAAGAGCAAATCAAGAAGAGAGCATTGGCAATGAGGATACGTTTTTTTCACTTCGCAGTGCATAAATTAGGCTTAGAAGGACTTAGCATTGGCAAGCACCCAGTGAAAGAAAAACAAAACCCAAAAATAATATATTAATAAGTGTAGAGGCGAATCAAATTCGTGAATTGGCTTTTGACGAAAAAAGCTGAGAAATTTTTGATTAAAAGTCGTTTGCCGCACTTAACTCGTACGGATTTCAACAACACCAGACAAATACTAGAAAAATAAGTTGAAGAGAAGAGACAGCACTCAAAATGGAACGAAAAAATCCGGGATGTTCAAAGAGAGGCAGCACTTGATGATGATCCTCCGCTTGACGTGCACAAAGTGTCCATCGTAGCACCAGAGCCACGGAATTCCACCTGGAAGAAAATTGGTATCAAATAATCTATATCACCAATTCTAATGAAGTTCGATTAAATTCTAAAAGCCAGTAATTTTATAGAAAATGCTCAATAAAAAATGTGAAAAAAATTGACGCTGATTTCCCTTCCTTTGCCGCCGTTATCAATCACTCGTGAGATCAAATCAGGAATCGAATTTCAGACAGAGCGCTTGCTCATGTGCTGTACTTGAAACACAAAAAATGCAAAAAACTGAATAGTTCAGACTTTTCATCCTCAACGCAGATACGGCAATCTTCTCATTGTTAGAGAGCTTTCTTTTTTTTTTCAAATGCACAATTCAAAAAACATTCATTATAGAAGTATCGTAAGCCCCGAAAAAAGTTTGGATTTTGCATTTTGCAGAATTCAAGTTAGTGCGGTTAAGGGGAAATTGATACTAAATGAAATAGCAAAATTTCGTTCAGTCTGCTTACATTCTGCATTCGCTTGGAAAACAGATTCCAAAAATAAACTAGATAACGTTAAAATAAGAAGCAAATAGAAATTCTCGTCTTGCTTGCAGCCATCTTTCAACGAAAATGTTTCAAAAATAAATAAAAAATAAAATCATGACTTAATAATAACGGGCTAAGGGTTGTTTACGTCTGTTTGTCTGTGTGTCTGTGTGTACTTCTGTCTGTCACGAAATTCATACAGCGAGTTCCAGCAAATGTCTTGAGCTGAAGTTTTGGTGATAGCACCTTGCCAGCATCTAGGCCCATAATGCAAAATTTCGTACGGATCCATTGCGTTGATGTTACAAAAATTGTGCGTCAAGCGGATCCCCACGGCTCTAAGCAGGCAAAACTGAGTCTAGATTTGAATTTCTTGCAAAGCCATGATTTGCCTGACAAGTGAATCTGCGCCTCATGAATTCTAACCCAAAAAGGGCTCAAAAAGTTTGCTTTTCTGCGAAAACAGCGCCAAAAGTGGTGATCGCGTAGATAGTCGATTTGGCAAGGCTGTAACTTCAAATTTGGAAAGATTTTTGCACGGAAATGTAGCCCAAAGTGACTACTATCCTTATGACGACTACCAAGCCAAAAAAAATTCGATAATTCATTCGAATTCGCAGGTTTTCCTTTGCAAAAAAGATTTCTTTCTCAAAATTACCGATATTACGTGGAGATGCTTTAAGAATGAGCAGTTGTTTACGATTCATTTGTGATGTTCAGCATCGCGTGGTAAGTTTCAAAGTCATCATTATGCGAACATGAGAAAGGCATACGGATAGGAGTGCCAGTGCAAACCTCCGCGAAGCGGAGGTGATGCGCTGGTAAATTAATAAATAAATATTTCAGCTTTGCCTCTAACTTTTGTCAAAAGATAGAGTAATTCCCAAAAGGTTTAATTTGGTTCCTTATATGTAGTTCATAATCCAAAATCTAGTTTTGACGATACTGTGATGTGTGTATCTTAAGAAAACAGTTGTAGATGATTCAGCTTAAGACTTTTTTAGAAGCAAACTCATGTATACAAGCTGATTTATAACACATGTGAACTAATACACACTTTACTAAGTAATTATATTAGGCGTCAGACACGTTAAACACTTTCACTTTTTTACGAGTGCCGCATGGGTTGTAGTTCGTAGTTGAGGGCATCAACACACTCCAGCATTGCTTCTAGCTTTTGTCAGAATTTGAAAATTTTTATGATAATTTTCTAGTTTCCATGAGTAGAGATATATTAGGTCGTTCCGAAAGTAATGTCGCTTTTTTCAAATGAACGCCACAATTCATGGGATTAAGATTTTCGAGAGATCTTAGGAGCATTCGATACAGCATTTCATTCTCTTTCTAATGGTCAAGTTCGGCTATTTTCATAAATTTTTGTACCTATTCTCCGAAGAAATGCAAGCGGCAGGTAGATAGAGCAAACCCTGTAGAACACAATCAATTTTTTTCTTTTCCTTAGCTTGCTTCTTTTACTTTCTGGAACCAATTTTTCAATGCCATCAAATTCCATATTTGGTCAACTCAAATCTCACAGAACAACAATCGGCAAGCAGCTCGGGTGTCATTTGACGCAGCTTTTTCTCCTCTTTATACCTGCTGTTTTTTGTTTCCGATTCATCAAGTTTTCCGGGATAAAACTATCATAATTCAGGTTTTCCAGGGCGCCCCAGGCTGTACCTGGAATTTTCGAAAGTTGCTAATCTGAAGCGGTAAACGCTCACATCTTTGTAAGTTTCAAAATCCGAAGATTTACTGGTGTTTGATGCATTCGTGTCTGAGACGAGCTTGCTAAAATTCGGTGGTTCCATCAAAAAATCTGTACAAAAATTATGACGAGCTCTGAAAAGTAGAAAAAAGTTGTGCTGTTTCCCATAGGGTTTGCTCCATCCATCCATTACTTGGACTCCTTCCGAGGGTTGTTATAAAAACTTAGAAAATATTGAAACTTGACCTTCTCAAAAAGCATGGGTCGCAAATTTTGATAATTTTTCGAGAGGTTATTGGATTCTGTGCAGTGATTATGTGACCATCAGAAAGAGAATGAAATGCTGCATCATACGCTACCAGAATCTCTTAGATATCTTTGTTCCACGAGGTGTGGTTACGTTTGAAAAAAGCGACATTACTTTCGGAACGACCTAATACTAACATCGCACCGAGTTTTGTTGAAAGGCTGAGTAAATCCGAAAATTTCTGGCGCTGGATATTTTTATTTAAAGGTATTCCCGCATTGTGCACAGCAAGTAGTGAAAGTCTACATGAAAATAAAAATCTAAGAGTGATTTGAGGACTCCTAAAGGTGTCATAAATTTTATTGGTTCCCCTAATTATAAATTTACTCTCAAACCCCTCCCAGCAAACTTGGGATCCTAGGTTCTGGTTTTGAAAAAAGGTGAAAAAGTCTGAACCCTAACCTTCAAACCAAACTGATACATAGATTAGAAATTATAACATTCTTCAACCATGGCCTTAAAGAAAAAAGCTATAAATGACCGTACCGTAACCCTGTTTATTGGAGCAAACGATGGATAGCTGGGACAAGTGGGGACACCTGGTTGTCCTGGATACGATGAGAGGTTCACTTTTTGCGAACTCGTATCATCATCATCTAAAATTGTTTCTATAGGATAGCTATCTCTAATTTAGCAAAGATTTTCTCACAGACCTGAGTCGAAATCTTCAAATTTCCAAGAGATATCGTCACGATTACTGACTTGACGAGCATACGACGTTCCAGGATCGACTGTGATTGAAGCTTTGAGTCTGGAAGAGTAACTAAACGGTCATTTTTTACAGTTTCGTAGGTCCCGACTTACGGTGGTGGAGGAGGAGGTTGCTTCGGTCGTTGCAGTGTTGCACAGCGAGGAGCAGTAACTGATGGACTGGCTTCATTATTCAACTAAAAGAAGAATTTGGAAATGAGCCAATAGGGGAAATGGTAGGAGTACTGTACATACCGTAACACCGTAGTGTTGTTTTCGAGACTGATATGGGCTAGAACTGAGGGCACGAATTCGTGCATGACGGAATGTGGATTCACGACGTTGTCGATGAAGTTTGAAGCAGTTCAGCATCGTTTCTTTGAAGACCAGAATAAGTGCCAAAGTCACAGAGAACAATGCAACGAACGATACACACGCGGCCCACTGAAAAATAAAAAAATTCAAGCATATAGAGACAATTTCTAGGTGAATGCAGGGATCAGGAAAGATTTGCAAATTCTAAAAAACTCTGTAGCAGAAGTGCAAGACAAATTGAGGTAAAGCGCCTGGAATGTACCTTCTTAGCCTTGTTTTGGATGCGTGAGCGAGAGAGGGACAGCCGCCATCGGGTGTAAACTAGTCATGTGGCTTTCACCACCTTCACTTGTGGCTAACCTTTCAGTCATTTTCACTCATTTTTCTTTTCAAAACGATTTTTAAAGAGTTTTGGGAGCATTCATTTAGAGAGTACAACTTTAGGATGGATTATAGTTGCTAACACTTGAATGAACCTCAATAGATTAAATTTAAACAGGTGGAGAGGAAAGCGCTGATATGTTTCATATTCATCGAGAAAAATTGTAAAGTAACAGGTGAAAAAATTGCTTATAAATTTCCAGTGAACGATTTAAATTCAAAATGCTTCTTTTTTCGTATACTGCATTATTTGCATAATGCAAAGATGCAAGCATGTAAGATAGGGAGAAGTGGTTCTATAGTTCTATTTTTTGGAGAACATCAAAATATATCCAATTCGATTCTTAAGTGATTTGAGCAAGCAGTAATTCTGCCAATTTAGGGAAAATCTACAGCAAATTTTTCTGCGTAAGGATAAAAAATGAGTTTTTCTCCAAGCACAAAATTTCATGTAGTTATTGGGCTGTTGCACGATTCTTGCAGCAAAAAGTGGAAGAAAATTATTTCAAAAATGCTTAAACAAATCAATCAATTTGAAAAATATGCTTTCTGTTACGTACATCAAAAGTAGTATTTTACAGCACATTTTAGAAAATTAACATGAAACAATATCAGTAAAAGCATTTGAAAATCAACATACATGAATATTCCTAATGACATCCATTCATTACCACTTCTCTTATTGTTGATCAAAAAGAGTAAGCAATAAAACCAAGAACAGAAGTAAATTTGAATTTTACTAGACGTTTTAGCAATTTTAGCAACCAAAAATAGAAAAATCACTTTTTGAGTATTTCTCTTAGTCAGTTTATACCGTTGTCATATGCCTTCAATAAATTTTAACTCAAGCATATTCTACAAGCTTAAGAGATTTTCTCTCCACATTATCTACTGAATCAGAAGAATCTGTTGAAACTGGAGAAAGTACGATTTTAAAAATTTTGGTGCAAGAATAATGCATCAACCTAATAATTTCTCCGCATAATTTAGCAACCAAGGCCAATAAAAGTACACTCCGACTTGGCAGAATGACGCCAATGTTCAGAGAAGTAACAACGGAAATGTACGAGTGCACTACGCTCGCATCCATTTACACAGGCTTAATTCGTACAAAATGTACATAATAGCCCTGAAAAACGAATTGCAAAATAAGCAGAACGTTTACAGAGTATTCTGAGAGAATTAGAATCCGCACAAAACTACACAACGTAATGGGAGCACTCTGCAGCGCGCATATTGGCATAAAAAGCGTTTGAGAAATTTGTACTTTGGTTTGAAAAAAAGTAAATGCTTCGAGTAAACTAGGGAACCAGTAGAGCTTTGCCGTGGCAGCCGCATTACTGAGAAGTTTCATCAACAATTCTGAAAGAACTTTCAAAAGTTCTCTACTCTGGCAACATTGTAGAGTAGACTCTCTGTGCATGATAGATATGGATTGGGTGTTTTTGGTAGGTGAAAGACTGATGCATCAGAAGTGATTAAAACAATAGAAAAACTAAGAGAGGATTGAGCAGAACAATTTTTATCAGAAATAAAATCTCACTGCAAACATTAATGTTTCTACATTTCGAAGCAGCGGTATAAGCGCATTCTCACAACTTGCTACATCATGAAAAGACAGGGTCCATTTGATACATGATAAAACTCTATACCAATGAAGTCCAAAAAATTGTATACAGCCGTAGTGGTCCAAATGAATAAATTCGTCTATCCAGCCAATAAAATATGGCGTAACTTGAAATTAGAAGGAGCTTGATTATCTTCAAAATTATCGATGGATTGTGAAATGCCCAAAATGATATGGTCGGAGCGAGCACCCACAATTTTCAGTCAAATTTATTACAATGAAGATGCAAGGAATTGATATTCAAAAATTCCAAAGGATTTGAAGATTACAAAAATTCTATAGTCGAAAATTCATGTACAAAATTCGAAATAATTATCACTTGCCGTTGTAAGAAGATGTGAATTTTCTTCGGTTAGAAGAATAGTTGGATCGAAAATTTTTGCAACGTTCAAGTGCTACTACCTGAATTTGACGGTTTGTGTCAATCTTGTTGTTTTTGTTGTGTACTTTTTGATTTGCCATAGGGGTAACCCTATGTAATAAACGAAAATAAAATAAAATGACTATTGTGCGATGTTTAAGTTTGTTTACGCGCCTTGCGATAGGGACACCGAGAACGCAAATATAGGTTACCGAGTTTTTTTCAGCTATGAACATTTCTGAGGGTAGCAGGAGCAGCATGAACTCTAAGAGTATTTAGATAACCTAGAGTAGTTGCACCAAACTACTTCAATTCTAGAGTAGAAATAGAATTCAACAGTTTTTCTTTCAGTGAAAATATAAGACTTCGACTAATAACCACTTAAGGAAGTGATAGAATAGCTGTAAAAAATCTCAAGACGATACAAAACCACGAAAGTTATAGCGTGCCAAGATAAAAGGCAAAGCGGTTCGTGTAAGAAGCTGGCATGACGCACCGCTACTAGATTCTAGATTCGCTGTCTAGGTAAGGGCACCCGGTAAAGGTGATATTTTTCAATTCAAGGAAAAAACCCTTTAAAAAGTACAGTAGAAGTGTATACTGGACTCTATACCAAAGAATAACCCGAAAGTGCCGGACTGCGGCCGAGCGAAAGTGCACAAAGACAGTTTATATCAACCCTACGCTCTCAAGTTTCAAAGTAGAGGACGTAATGTCGCCGAATAGGAGTGGCGCGGACATCTGCCAGAAACCATTGCATGTCTAAGAGTTACATGCCCTACTAGTTGCTGCACATGCGATACCCATCGGTAACATAACGTCTTCTACCAAATTTCGTAGTCGCATACAACAAAAACGTGCTCCAACGCACCAGAATAAGCGGATGCGTTCGATAGGTGCAAGTCTCGGCTTGGCAATTCCAACTATCACACAGTGCAGGAAGTCCGCAATCGCACTGCTCGTCCTGCTCCGTAACGCCATTGCCGCAGATGGCTTCGCTGCTGTAACAACGCGCACACTCGATCATAAAGAACAAAGGAGAACGGAAGCGGACATCGCAACTCACGTGGATTCGATTGGTTTTGTACGAATGCACTTCTTCTGGTACATGACGTTAACAAATTGCTGAGCCGTGCAGTCGTGATCGAACCCACTGGGAAAAAAAACTGCTTGGTTTTTTCTCGAAGAACTGCAGAATAACGTCTGGTTGTGAAAAATAGCTCTTTCAACATTCTTCACTACAAGTTTCCAACAGCTGCAACGTTTTTTGATCATCTGCTAAAGACATTGCCTATCCAAGAAGAGCAGCTCTGTTTTTAGATACCAGTGGCGTACTGAGCCCCCTCCCCCCCCCCCTCTCGAGAAACTGCGAAATTTTATAACTTACTTGAGTTATAAAATTGTGCAAGTGACTTGTTTATACTTGTAAACATTGAAATAATTTTTAAAATTGTTAAAAATTCAATTTATCCTTGTAAAAAATTTTTTTCGGGGATGTGACTGACGCCACGCCTCTTTTTCTGAAATTCTGGGGTAACAGGCGCGCGAAAATTTTAGGTTCTGGGGGGGGGGGGTTGGAAAAAAATTTGAATTCTGATGTGCGGCTGATGCCACCTTGACTAGAAGAAAACTTTTGCCCCCCCCCCCCCTGGGAACGGAAATCCTGGGTACGCCACTGCTACTTTTTCAGTTTTGCTTTGACGTGCTTAAGCAAAGAGTGGTTGCAAAGGCAAGATATACAAAATGAGTAGCTAAAGCATTGTCAAACTTATTTACACAAAACGTTCCTGAGTCTGGTGATCTAGTACATTACCATTGCTTCAGACTGGTTGCGATCAAATCAAATAGCAGAACGCTCAAAAGGAAATCCTCCTTACATTTGTATTAGGTTGTCCCGAAAGTTCTGTCGTTTCATTTTTGAAAAAATTGCAACTTTTTGCTGTCTCAACGGATTTGCTTCTATCTAATTCCGTTAGAAAGAAGAAGTCTTCCTCTTTGTAAAGGTATCTTGAAGAGCAAATATACATTCACTGCAGAGATAAAAATGGAAAAAGGAGACCACTTGGGCTCATATCATTTTAAGTTAGATCGCCAAAAGTCTGGAACCAGCAGAAAAATCTGAAATCGTCAGTATACAGGGTGTCTCAAAAAGATGTGCACACTGTTTGATCATTAATAACTCTCTTGCTTTCATGTCTTTCGCCGAGCTTGTGGTATCATTCTTTAGAGCGAGGTTCAGCTTAGATTTACAGTATGGAGCGAATTATCAGCCGCTCTTCATTACTGTAGGATTACGGTAAAAAATTCGAGGAGGATTTCGATCCACTAAAAGCGGTATTTTCCTCAGAAAGAAAGCCAAACAAGCCAGAAACTCTTGAACTGGGTTAGTCGAAGTCGCTGATTCTAAATATGAAAACTGCACGTCAGTGCAATGTTTATTTCATGAGTTATTTCAGATTCAGGGTAACAACTGATTTTCCAATGTTCGTCAAAAAGGTGAATACGCCATCAAGAAAGCTCGAAAAACTGGAGGAAAGTTATGTCGCCTGAAAACCTTGCTACACAAATTTTCGGATTTTTTTTCTGACATTATTCCATCAGAAGGCCTATTCCACAGTTACACTATATGCTGAAAGTTGATACCGTAATCCTACAGTAATGAAGAGTGATTAGTGATTCGTTCCATAGTGTAAATCTAAGTTTATCCTTGCTCTAAAAAATGCTACCTCAAGCTCGGCAAAAGACATGAAAGCAAGAGAGTTAACGGTCAAACAGTGTGCACATCTTTTTGGGACACCCTGTATAAGTATTATGACCTACCATTTGCGTCTGAGAAAAAATTGTGCAGTTTGGACGTCTCTGTAAAAAGTTATAGTTTTCGAGTTTACAATACAAAACGCCAATTTTGATCAAATTATCGCTTTCCTCGAAAATCATAACTTTTCATTGAAACGTCCAAGCAGCACATTTTTTTTCTCAGACGCAAAGGGTAGGTCATAATACTTATATACTGACAATTTCAGATTTTTCTGCGGTGTTAAAGACTTTTGGCGACCTAACTCAAAATGATATAAGCTCAAGTGGTCTTCTCCATTTTTATCTCTGCAATGAATGTATAGTTGTAACTCATCGAGATAATTCTACAAATAAAAAGACTTCTTCTTTCTAATGAAATTAGAGAAAAGCCAATCCGTTGAGACAGCAAGAAGTTGCAAATTTCCAAAAATGAAATGACAGAACTTCTAAGACAACTTAATATAGACAAAGTACTTGTTATGGCTAAAATTTTAGACAGAGCTTCAGTATTCCCACACTAAAAACCATATTCTGCTACTTTAGCTGCAGTAGATTGACAAATGCCCCTCTCAGGATGTATTAAGGTGAACCGAAACTCCTCTCGCTACAATTGTGGAAATCGTAATTGTTCCCTATGTGGACGTGTTTGCTTGCAAAAAATTTTATCAAAAGGAAATTTATCTAGTTTTCAATATCATCTTGGCGGCTACTTGACGATTAGGAACTCCAAAGATAGAAATTCAATTAGGCGAACCACTCTAACTCTCTGCTTTCGAAAATAAGTTGTCAAAAATTTGAAACGCAGTTTTAGTCCTTCTGAACTGCTCTCTCTAACACAGCCAAGTCTGTGCTGATCGATCTTCTTTATAAAGAGTAATTTCGAGGAGATTGCGGAAAAACGCAAAGAAATTTTTCGCCGTTTGTTGCATTATCCTCGAAAATGACAACGTTCCAAAAATTCGATCAACGTAACTTGGCACCGTCAAGAGCAGCTTACAGAGACTTGAAGAAACATGCTTCCATAAATTTTCTGCAAAGATTCAGGTTTTTACAATTTTTTAGGTTAAACCGAAGGTTTGTTCGCGTAATATTCAAAAAATCATAACTTTTTTCGTTTACAACGGTTTTGCTCAACTTAAATTCTGTCAAAAGCGTAAAGCATGTAGTTTCCAAAAAAATCCTGAAGAGATTTTAACATGCTCAGATTGCAGAGATAAAAATGAAAGAATGAGACCATCCAAAATTTGGAATTTTTAAGCAAGCCTTCTAAAAGTCTAGAAACTGTGCTATAAGATCCAGAACAGCCATCATTAAGTTTCTTATATTTTATTACTAATTGAGTCAAGTTTGTGCTGATCGAGCTCTTCTATCAAAAGTTATGATTTTTTGGAAAAAATGCGGAAAAATCAATTTTCTAAGAACTCTTAATAAACCGATTTTTCGACACTTTTTTTCAAAAATCATAACATTTGAAAGAAGAGCTCGATCAGCACAAACTTGACTCATTTAGTAATAAGATATAAGAAAACTTAGGATAATGGCTGTTCTGGATTTTATCGCACAGTTTCTAGACTTTAGAAGGCCTGCTTAAAAGTTCCGAATTTTGGATGGTCTCATTCTTTCGTTTTTATCTCTGCAATCTGAGCATGTTGAAAAGTCTTCAGGATTCTTTTTGAAACTACATGCTTTACACTTTTTGACAGAATTTAAGTTGAGCAAAACCGTTGTGAACGCAAAAAAGTTGTGATTTTTTGAATATTGCGCGAACGAACATTCGGTTCAACCTAATATTTTCAAAAATTAAGAGTTAGAGTGGCTCTCCTATTCGAATTTTTATTCAAGGGGTTATTGATTGCCTGAGAGTCGCGAAGATGTTGTTAGAAATTAGACTAATTTCTTTCTCTGATGAGATTTTTGTAAGTAATTGCATTCACAAGGGGAGCAGTTATGATTTTTTTAAAATCAAAGAAGAAGAGCTCTCATCTCAACCTAATGTTTTTTTTTCACAAGTTCGTGTCTTTCATATGTTATGTAACGGATAGAAAACCAATTTTCGTGAACATTTGTTTAGACAATTGAATGACTATTTATACCACCCAAATTTCATTCATTAGCATGCATTTCATACCGATTTATAGCTCCCTCAAAATTTGATTTGATTGATAAATTTCTCGAAACTTACGGAATTCGCAAACATCCATTGTTGCCATGTGAACCCCTGCAAGCGCAGTTTGATACATAGAGAGAATAATTGGCAGGACGATGAGGTACACCAACTAGATGAGCCACCTAAAATGATTAGAAAAAGGATAAAATTCGAGAATTCAAAGTTTTTTGCCGATTGAATGTGTCGAGCAAAGTATAAGGTTTTTAGTTCTCGTAAATAAATTTTGTTTTGTAATAAAATGTTTCTAGGATCTGTTTACGAATATGCAAAGAGTCTCAAAAAGTAGTGGAATGCTACTACACTTCATCTTGATAATTGTCGTCTCTTCCTTCTTCCCCCCCCCCCCTCTCCCTCTCCCCTACTCCGAACAATTTTAGCGTAAATCTCAGGAGTTAACTCGCTTGGAATAAGTACTTTCGTCAGCAGACGTTCAAACTCCTCAAAACTAGCAATACGAAAGCGTAAAATCAGGTTCCATCTCCCGGTAAAGTCTTTTTATACCTTAAGCACACACTAAGTTACATTTAATCTTTACTATGACTTTCAGTACAATTGTCAAGGACCGTGGTCTAGCTTGGAAAGAAAAAAAAGGCAAATGGGAAATATGAGAACTAGTTTAGAACGGTGTTGTCGATGAGTGAAACCTCAGATTTCAAGATTCTTTCACATGGATTTTCAAAAGAAAGAACCCAACTTCTCGAAACGACGATGGTGCCAAGACAGTGTTGGTACTATGAGTAGATACTTATGATTAGGTATTGATGCCACTATCATCAAGGATGTTTAGAGGTCCGGCGACGAGCTTTGCAAATCGTGCAAGCATGTGTGGAAAGAAAAAACTTGAAGATATAGGAGCTGTAGTAATAGCTGCTACCTAGTTTTTACGATAAGTTGCAGAAATTTCGGTTTTGCGAAATTTACGTGACATAGTACAATGTGGTAAGGGCAATTAGAGTAGCATTAAGTATGTTATCCAAAAAATCAAGAGCTGAGCTGATAGCAGCAGGATAGAAAATAGTTGAATTTGGTTAATACATTCTTGAAAAATTACGATATTGCATGGTTACTGCGGGAAGAGGGCTATACGTCGCCAATGGGCTCCTCCCCGCGCGGACAACTGATACAAATTCGTAATGTGTGTAATTTGCACGGCTGCGTGGTCTGTTGCAGATGTCCGCATGGGACTACCTCCTTTAGGCGACATACAGGGTGTCCCAAAAAGATGTGCACACTGTTTGATTGTTAACAACTTTCTTCCTTTCATGTCTTTTGCCGAGCTTGAGGTACCATTCTGTAGAGCGAGGATAAACTTAGATTTACAGTATGGAGGGACTTACAGCCGCTTTTCATTACTGTAGAATTACGGTAGGAATTTCAAGGAGGATTTTCAGCAAAGGAAAGCTGTATTTTGCCTCAGAAAAAAGCCAAATAAGCCAGAAACTCTTGAACTGGGTTAATCATAGTCGCTGAAACTAAATATGAAAACTGCACGTCAGTACAATGTTTCTTTCATGAGTTAATTCAAATTTAGGGTAACAAATGATTTTCCAGTGTTCAAGAAATGTGAATATGCCATCAAGAAAGCTCGAAAAACTGATGGAAAGTTATGTAGTGAAATCAGCACGCCTGAAAAACTTGCCACCCAATTTTTTAGATTTTTTTGAAATTATTTCATTAAAAGTCTTGTCCCACAGTGATGCTGTATGCTGAAAGTTCATACCGTAATCCTACAGTAGCAAAAAGAGATTGGAGTTTCGCTTAATACTGTAAATCTAAGTTTATCCTCGCTCTACAAAATGATACTTCAAGCTCGGCAAAAGACATGAAAGCAAGAGAGTTATTAACGATCAAACAGTGTGCACATCTTTTTGGGACACTCTGTATAGTCTCCTACCCGGTTACTGTCCGTCGCGACGCAAAAATCTGTCGAAATCCGTCTTTAAAAGAGCTCAGAGCGGTGTTGCAGGGAAAAATAACTTACCTCGTGAAAGAAAATTGAACCCATGGCAGATGGAGACGATGGATAGAACTGCAAAATCATAATTTAGTGATATTTGTATTTTTGAGAAAAATGAAATGCACATTACCCCGCACAACATGACAGCCTTATCGGAGCACAAACCACCGACAAAGGCAAGGCCACCAGCATAGCGAAACGAGATCAAAGCGGCAAAATCGTGCTGTGGCAGTTTGTGAAGGCTAAAAGTTTCAAGATTTCAAAACTTATCCTTATTCTTTGTTGTCAAAGGAAGGTAAACTGGGGTGCAGTTCCGTATAAAAGTAAAAAAGGAACAGTTAGTCAAATTTTTTTTTCCTTTATAGATTCAGGTGTAGGGATAGAATAATGGTCTAAAATTTGACCCAAATTTTATCTTTTTTGCTACAAAAGACCTGAAATTCAGGAACCAACCGTTGACGTCGATACTCCTGAAATCCATAAAGACTAAGATTACTTCGCATCGTCTGCATTATGTCCACAACAACGACACCAAGTCGCAGTTGGTTGAAATACTAAAAAAATTTTCTAAAATGAAAATTATCAGAAAAAAAAAGAGAAGCATTACCGTGTTTGCTTCTTCTACAACTTTAAGAATGTTTGCTTTTACCCGTACCATATCATATTCATAATAACCCGTCTAAAATAATTAATATTAGATGTTATAAATGTAGAAGAATTAAAAAGCTTACAATTTTATCATCTACAAAAAGTAATGCATATAAATATCGATATGGTGCACTGCCGAAAGTCGCTATAGAATAATCTGGAGCAGCATCGCCCCAGATTGCTGGGGCACGCCTGAGCCTATACTGAAATTGGTAAATTGATCATATTACAAATACATCTAAAAAAATTTTACAAAATCAGTTGCTCTCGGAACATCAGCTTAAATATAGAATGGCAGTCATTTGCCAATGTTTTACAACAAGACTGCATTGTAACGTATACCTACCGTAATCCTTATGGTTGGATGAGGGTTCTTGCTCAAAAAAGCGACCAAAAACTGTGCTTTCAAAAAATTCGACTAAACTCTCTTAAAACAATCTTAGTTCGTTGGAAAACTACAAAATTAACAATAACCTCAGGCAAAAAGACTTTTTTACGCATGTCAGCGATTCAACGTATTTTTCTACAGCTTAGAGGCTTTGCTTGTCTCATCAAATCAAAAGGAGAAAATTTTGAAATGAGTGCAAAAACCACGAAGAAAATATATGTATACATATATATTTTGTCATATTTTTCCGTAAAAGCATGACATTCAGCTTGGACTGTACTAATAAGGAAAAGGGAAAAGACTAGGCGTTTTTTCTGCTAACTAGCCCAGCATCTTGAATGCAGGTAGGCAATTATCGCCGCGATTTGATCGCACCCCAATAAATCGCATCGAGCAAATCGTTTGACAAATTAGCGCCAAATGGCTAATAGTCCTCGCTTCCGTGACCGTGATCGCGAACCCTTGTGCTAAATCTTCGTCTTTCCATAACAATTAAGAACTGAGGAAGAACACTACTAGTATAACTCAAATAGAGTAAAAATTAAAAAGTGAAAAAAAACTGCATTGCTTTTCTTTGGATATTTCTGAAAATTTCACTAAATTTTGAAGAGCTTGTTTATTACCTTATGTGACCAATTGACATGCTATTTTTTTGCAAAAAAGATTCAAATTACCCACTTCAGTGACTTGGCAGTATGATAATCGAAAGACGAATCCATACAGCAGCAATAGGTTCATATTAGAAGGCAGTTACATGGAGCAAGTAAGCGCAGCCCTCACATTCGTCCAGTTCTCTGAAAGAAGAACCATTTTCGCGAACATAAAGTGCTAGATCTAAAATTTTGTCAACCACACTACAATTGAGAAAAGACGAGAATATTGCAAGAAAATACATGAAACGAAACCAATGTGAAGAGGTAGATTTTGTGATTAAAATGTAAATTTTAAAGCACTTATATCCGAAATAATGCAGCGAAATATAAGTACATTCTTTGAGGGCCGCTGATAAGATGGAGACATTTGTAGTCCTAGAAAAGTGGAAACATTGGTAGCGGAAGTGTAAACAAATGATTACACAGCCGATAGGCCGTAAAATCAGCTCAACACAAATTTTGCGCGTTGCATTTTGGTCAGTAGATGTTTTTTATTTGAGAAAAACATCTATGGAAGAGGTCGCGCGTGGTTCAAAGATTTAAGACAAAAATGCGAATTTTCGTGGATTATGAAAAGGAATGGAAAGGAAGCAGTGCGCTCAACATTCTGGAAAAAGCAAGAAGATTTAGTGAAGTGAAAATCAGACCTACTGGCGAACTGGTGAAAGAGAAAGTATGAATTGTTTTCTATTGGAGTGACAACCTCACGGTTATTCACTAAGTGATTGTGATGTGCGAAGATCTCGTACTAACAACCGGAATGCACTCTACGAGAAGCCAAAACGTAGCACAGGAGTACTTTTTGCTGGATCTGCGTTGTAAGGGAGTGCAGGAGCTTAAAACAGCCACCAATCGTTCATCAATAAGAATTCATGGAAAAACGTACAAGCTGTTAACGAAGAGCTTGCAGTAGCTAAAAGCAGAATGGGGAATGTCAAGAGCGCGAAAAAAAACAGAAGAATGGCTGTATAGACAGAAAACTGATTCTGATTCAATACGAGCATCCAATGGCGTTTCTTACGGAGAAGGTTTTATAGAAAAAAAAACGAAATCCCGGAATAGCTGCATTCCCACGGTTTTTTGAAGCCTTGCACTCTACCCCCAGTTATATCAACGGGAAGCTTGGTTTTAGATGTTTGATAGAATCGGAAGTAAAGCTTAGCAGCTGCGACGTACGACGTAAGTTTCCAGCATGATTGAGTGCATATTCAAGCAGGAGAGCGGTTCTTATAAAGAGCTTACAGAATTCACTACTCATAGTAGAGGTTGGAACATGAGTACTGAACAAAAATTCTTTGAGATTCCTCAATCTTCTCCAGATCCAATAAATCCGAAAATAATATAATTTAGAGCGAAAAGTCTTACTCTTTTGAATTCTTAAGGCATAAATCATAATTTTTATATCGCAGCAACAGAACTTCTTGAAATAAAACACTCAAATTGCGTTTTCCAGCTTTTAATCCCCAAAAATGCTGAAAACAGAAATTCCAAATTTGACTTTTTATAAGGGTAATATAATCTACGCTTTTAACTAAAATAAATTTGCTTTGATAGGACGTCTCAAAAAGTTGTAATTTTATTCTTATTTTTGAGGTTTGATATAGGATGTGATAAAAACCCTAATGCGTACAAAAATTTACTGCATAAATCATACAACGAAAATACTATACAGATTGAAACGCTAGTCAGATCTTTTTTAAAATGAATTTTTTGGAATTTCTGGTTTAAGATTATATTCGAACCCAATATTACGAACTAGTAAAACTAATAAGGCGACATTTGTACTTTTCGAAAGATGTGGCACTATTCGTCCCTTATGAATGGAAGACGTTGATCATAGCTTTGGCTGTGTCAGAAAAACTTGCAGAATTCTCAAAAACTTCCGCTACTGCCCTAAAAGTGCAGTTCAGAGCATGAACTTCGCTAGTGAGTTTTGCACACATACAAGCTCACGCTGCTGTCATAGTGCAACAAAAGAAACGGGTTAAGTGTCGGAAAAACCAGGCCTTGAAATTAGAGATTTTATTATAGTGTAAAGGAAGGCTGCACGATGGGAAAGAGTTCAAATTCTTTATTCTCAAGGATTGGTAGTCATTGAAGACGAAGGACAAGGATAAAGCAATGCATCCAAAGATGATCCACAGTCTAATCCGCGGTAAAACCACGAAAAAATTTACGGAGGAAATTCGAATTTTTAAAAAAATCATAAAAAATATATTAATTACTCACAGATAAATACAAGACTATGCCATTTTATAATTCAAACTTATTTTTTATTCACTTTTCGCTTTTATTTTTATACCACTGAATTTCGTCGAATTTCAAGACTTAACCAGCTACCATTTCGACAGTGGCGTACCAAGCGCCTCACACCCCCCCCCCCCTCCCCGAGCATGGGTCGCAAAATTTTTGAAAGTTACTTACATGAACTATAAAAATGTGCAAGTGACTTGTTTATACTTGTTAATTGAAATAATTTTTGAAATTTGTCAAAATTTATTTTAGCTTTATAAAAAAATTTTTTTCGGCCCGCGAAATCTTTAGGAAGCATACCAAAAAAATTTTACGAGTCCTTCGTCAGAAAAAAATTTTGCCCCCCCCCCCCCTCTTCTCCGAGCGGAAAGGATACGAAATTGCATTTTGTAAATAACATAACATGATGTTTCGACAGTTATTTTGAGTATTGGAATATCAAAGTTCAAATATGCGGTTTCACTTTTTCATATTTTCCATTCTTTTTTTGTTTTTTTAACTTTTGAAAGCTTTCAAAATGTTTTCCTATAACCTTTGAACCTGATGATTATGGTACCATAGTTATCTTTTGACACGAACTGTCGCCTTAATTATTTATGAGAGATAAAGGGATACTTTTGAAATGGAAAAAATATTTCAAAGAAGTTTACGTACAAATCTGCATTCTCTAATTCTATACTTCTATAGTAATACCACCCATTTCAAGCTATCTATTCTCGGATAGCTCGCATGCTTCAATATCCGTCCATTGTAAAAAGTTCTGGAAACGTTATGAAACTGCCATTACAAAGCCAAGAGCATCTTGCACAAAAAATCCATCAAAAACTACCCCATCGCTCTAGTCCCTCTCCCTCCCCCCCCCGTGCTCCCGCTCTTTCATAATGGCCAAGGCTTGAGATGTTTGAGCGAAGAGCAAATGCATAAGCTCTTCGGAACTATCTGTCGGGCGCAGAGGCCACGACCAAATCATTATATAATTAACGAAGGATTCGCACATGAACACAACGTTTCCGTGCTCTAAACGATGATTACCACTACTGGAGAGGTTAGAGATCCGAACATGTGTTGTAGTTAGACTTTTGGAAGCAAAACTGGCCGAAGTTCCAGATTTCTAATCTTTTAAGGCGATGCTTTGGCTAAATCAGTGACTTTGGCGCAACTACCGTATCCCTGCGCCGACTCTACAAAAGCTTGGGACAGCTACAGTATACCTACAGTGCAACTACAAAAATGGATTTATGCGCAACAGGAGAAAATGTCATTTGTTGGGATCATATAATTTGTGAATAAGATTCGGTCAAATTTGTTGTTTTAAGCATTGTGAAAAATTTGGTTATGAAATACTCCTGCAGTGCTAAATGTAATTTTTCATGTTTCTCAACACCTTTCTCTCCCCCGCTCCGATAAGCAAAAGCTGGTAGTCCTATTTGTCAAAAGTACGACTTATCCTGACCAGTGAACGTCATGATGCTGCAGCCAAGCTCTGGAATGAGGGCAAACCAAAGTGCGAGTGCACCTTGCGCATAGTAGTCCACGCAACATAGTTCGCAATCAAACATCAACTTTTTTCAATAAAATCTAAAGACCAATTTGTCTCACAATTTCCAGAGAAATACCGTACTTCAAAAAAGGTACATCGAGTTTCAAAAAATTGATGTATTAATCAAGAATGCAAAAGAAAATCGGTCACAACTGATTTTAACTCTTGTATTAGCTCACTAGTTGTCGAAGAAACACAGAACACCATCGGGCAAATAAGAGCCAACTTTGTCAGAATTTTTGGATACTTTTTTTAATAGAGAATGGTCTAATCTATAGCTTCCATGTCAATTAAGCTGCAGCTATAATATTGAGTCGCAACATTTATTTTCTTACAATCAACAAATTTTCTTAAAAACTCCCTTGAAGAATTTCTCTCATTTTTGACTAATTTAGTAATGTAGCGTTTCGATAACACATGACACTCATAAAAAAGCATTTTTTGGATTTCTTGAAAATTTACTCAATTATTTCTAGCAAATTTCCAACTCGAGTCGTTGAAGAGCATTAACGTTTGAACCCCATTCGTATTGGTACCCAAGCTTCCGAAAAATTTCAAAAATCTTAAAGGATAAAGAAGAGTGAGAATTTTTTGAAGTGTAGTAACAAATTCGCCCTTATACTGGTGTAACTCATGTTTGTCTCAATATAGGCCAACTATGTGATGACTTATGGAACTTCTGAAGGAAAGGGCAAAGGCTAATTTACGAAGTCTCTGTTATAATATAGCAGCTACTATCCATTCTCGCCAAGATGCACCGCAGAACTTCTTTTTCATCTATTTCCTGGAAGCAGAATTTCCTACAAAACCTCTAAGGCAATCGCATTAGTAAACCTGACAAACTCAGAGAACAAGAACTAAGGAAAAACAAGCGTGTTGTCCATAGAGAACAAGTCCTTTTATCCCCCACTTTGCATGTGTGAACCTCTTTCAACCTCATTAGGATATACATAATTGATGTCGGAAGCATTGATGGAAATCATCTGCAACGTAAGGATAATGATCTTGTCACCTATATGCTTGGATATTAACTTCGTTGTACGTTGAGTGCCCTTCACACTTTACGGACATGGAACGGAAGTGCACGTTTCCTGAAGTACATCCGTTACAACTTCTTAGCAGGCTAGTAGTGAGTAGCCAATTATCGAGAGCGAAGTTCTAAAGAGCTTTTTGCAGATACACTTCTTACCGTATACCTACAGTATCACTACAGTGCATCATAATTACAAGAAATAATAGGTCGTGGTTAGACTTGCTATTCGATTGATAATGACCCAAAACAGCAGAAGTTGTAATTCCAGCAGCTTTTTATTAATGAAACTATTACCGTATACCTATTGTATCACTACAGTATGCTGCATTCAGCAAAATGGATGAAAATGAGGGAATAACTGGAGAATTCATAGAAATGGGGGTACGAGAAGAAATTAGCCGATTTCCTAAGTGGAAGCTAATTTTAGAAGGCCGTAGAGCTGTCAAGGTCAATGCTCACGAAGAGTTGCACGAGTTTCACGATAATGTTCGTCTTTCGTACTGCAGCGGTACTTTCAGGATGAGTGATTCCAAACTCGTCCATCGGAATGACGTGAACTCGTACCAAATCTCTCGGAAGTCGCGCTCTCACGGGATCATTAAAACTAATGCCAGTGATATCGAACACATCGTAAGCGATTATTCGAAGCGAACTACACACATTTCGTAGTAAAATGTAGGAAATCTATTCGTCGTGGACACATCTGCAAGCAATAGCGAGGATTTTTTCGTCCATTGTCATCGCGTACAAAAACCATACACAACAATGCCCTGAGGTTTTGTTCACGGAGCGAACACGTGCACATTTAGCGACACATTAAATACGTTTGCTGATACATCTGGTCATTGTACGAAAAAGATGAAGATTTGCGAGCTGTTAAGAAATGGAAAAATGAAAAAGCCGCAAAAATTTTACTTATATAGGTAACATTCTGCTACCTTTGAGCTATGCATTAGGGATAAGTCCAGCACAAAGTAGGTAGTGCAGGTCTTTGCATGTAATTTGCAAGCGAACTCTTGCAAAGTTGGAAGTCTCTTGAGCAAAATACAATACTAACAAATCAAAAAGCATTTCACACTTTATATATCTTTTTCAGCAAAATTTTAGAATATTTCACAACATATTAGGGTGTCTCATAATTTTTTACCGTTTTTATTACAGCCGTCGTCTTTATGTATCTTTCCACCAATTTCGACAGAGCAAAGAAAGTTCTACAAATTAGCTATCAATAGTCTGCCCAACTTGTATTCCATGTGAAGTTTTGAACTTTACCGTAAATCGTACCTCGGCTTCAAAAATCTTTAAAAAATCCCCTTTCATCCTAGCATATGCTTGACACATCAAATATTCAAACGCACACTTTTCATACTTTCCCCATGGCTAGAAATAAAGAAAAAATGAACGGAGTAAAATGGCAAACTCCGCCCCTAAAAGCCCTGAGCTCCTCCCACATGTGATCATATAGTTCATACATACAGAAATACAACCATGTATTTGTAACCTTTGTAAGTGCCCCAGTTATCGAGAAATGCTGATGTCTAGGGTAAAAACGTAAAAAATTATGAGATACCTTAATAAAATCTTTTTTTGAGCCATCATATGAGAGGATGATCGCTGAGTTATTCAGAAAAGCCGCCGAAAAAAACTGAGATATCCGATCAATCTTTTGGAGCGTTTATTAATTTATTATTTGCTCAACATTTCCAACACTGCGCAGCAAATACTTGTTTGTTTATGACATCAAAAACGTGAGGAATCTGTCCTGTTCGAGGTACGAAAGCAGAAATCATACTAAATGAAGTGATAAGATCTAGAAGAAGCTTCCTTCAGCGGTTTTTACGAAAATGAAAAATAAAAATATTTTAGCGGTAGTGTACCATTTGTAGATAGTCGAAAATCTCCTGGTCATGCACTTAATATAAGTCATCTTATATTGCTCTGCTCCTTTCAAAAAGTCTAAAAATACCAGCTTTGACTAAGACGAGACCTCTTTCTTTTAGAAGTGCAAACCTTTTCAATTTGTATCGGACGTCAAACCAAAAATGAATACATAAATAAATAATTTAGTAATCACTGCTTTGTTACCAAGTACACCTGAGCTGAAATGAAAATGAACCTGAAGCAAAATGACTGACAAAAGGTCTTTGAGAGATTTGGGTGAAACCAGGTTATAAACCAAGTCTCAGGGTGTGAAGAAGGACATTTGATGGACTGAGAACTAGGCTATCTCATAAGATTAGTCTGTGAAGTAGGATTTGACAACTATAACGCTACACAGTGTAGGTTATTCGAATATATTACGTAGTTCATAAGTATTAGAATTTCCAGAAAGTCCCAATCTATTATGGTCAACGCACGTGAATTTGATATAGCTAGAAGAGAGAAAATCAAGAGCTTTTTATTTTTTTTTTATTTGAAAGAAATAAGTGGCATAACACGGCGATAAAAGCTGGTAAAGTGATCAAACTTAATTTATGCAATTTGGTAGCTAAAAGTGCTAGATCCAAGAAAAGAGAATCCAATAAATTATGTATCTATAATATTATTTTACTTTATCTGTTAATTATTACCTATTTTAGTATTATATTTTTGTTCAAGCTTTCACGACCCAACTTTTCCGAGTGCAAGCGTGCTGATTGGATGTTTTAACTAGTTGTGAAGATTTTAGAGTTTTCACCATATTTCAATTTTGTTTCAATATGAGCTTGTGCATAAACAAGCAAACGTATATGTAAAGTTTCTAATTCGCATTGAAATAAAGAAACTGGCTATATGTCATAATATAAATAGTAAATAAAAATCAAAAATTTGATTTACACATTTTTAGGTAAAATTCTGTGATATTCGAGCGCAGAACGTGTGAACGAATTTGATTATTTCTAGGCTTTCTCAAGCATCAGTATATTACAAGATAGTTTCTCACTATTCATAACTATAGTTAATGGTGTTTTTGTTTCTGATTCACAGAATGGTGCAAAACGTCCACTACGCGTGCCGTGGCGTACCACGAGAGGCGTATTTGAAGTTTAAGGTCGAATGTAGATATGATTGAGATAGCGACCTCTATCCGTAAGTGCATGAGATTTGTAACGCTACGATCCACATCATAGCTGCTGACATAGTTTAGAGAAATCTTTTTCATCATTAGGAATGCTGAGAAAGAGGTTGGCTGGGGTATAAGAGGTTCGAAAAGAAGCAAGGAAAAGGTAAGCTAGAAAATGAATAAAAATCACTTTTAACGACAGCAATATTGTATACGAGTGTAAAGAGTTTTCAAGTACTGGCAGTCAATGTGTGTATGATGTCTTCGTTGAGTAGAAGAAATAGAAGATTTATAAACTCTCTAAACCACATCCGCTCGTCATCGAAAAAACGAGATGTACGAAGCATGATGATAGAAGACAAGTAAAAAATCGAAATGAGGTCGATTTTGGACCAAACATTGAGGACTCTGAGGAGGAAAAGCTCACAGTGTGTGATACTCGCCCAAGAAATAAAATGTCAAACAATCAAGTGAAATTCAGAATCAACCGCTAGCTCCCCTAATTGAGTATGCGTAGCCTCTGTGAAGCCAATACGATAGCATGTTAGACGTAATGGAAAGCATTGCGAAAGCGGAATGACCAAACCTGCTATGGAAAAGCACTTCTCTTAGAGAAGAAAGAGTTTGTAATAGTGTAGAATATATATAGTTCGCATTACCGTGACGAGAAATCAGAAAAAAGAAGAACTTTTTTTTGGGTGAGGTTCAAGAGAGTGTGGTTTAGAGGTGAATAATAAGTTATAAATAGTTGTAAGAGTATTTTGTGAAAGGAGGCACTGAACTATGTGTGCCTTTGTCTGCTCAAAATAGTCGATACTTATAAACTTTATGAGCTAGGTCCACTCGTCATCGAAAAAAAAAGAAGTTCACACGAAAGCACGATCAAATGCCTGTAAAAGGTCGAAATGAGGGCGATTTTAGACCGAACATTCGAGGACTCTGAGGAGGAAAACCGATATAGTGGTCAATTGCGCAATGGACAGCCCCATGTGCCAGATGGCCCTTCATAGAGGATGCGTACCCGAGAGAGAACAGGGACAGACGTGGAATGGATGAGAAGGGTCGTCGCCAGGAGTGGTAAATCGCGTGTGGTGGACACGGCTATGGCCGAACGCCACTCGCCACAAGTGGATTCGCTGTTCTCAACCCCCCCCCCCCCTCCCTTACAATAGTACACGGGGGATGAATAAGTGGATCCGCAGGGTCTTCGGAGCCTCACCCCCCCCCCCTCCACCCGTTCTCCCCGGCTACAAGAGTACAAGAGCCATGTTGGTATTCGGTTTCCCAGGCAAGGTGTCCGTCCCATCAAGTATGGACCAATCGCCTCGACACTCGCCAATTGGATTATGGATTCCATATATCCAAGTCAAGCAATCTTCCAACAGGACATAGCACTTCCTGTTTTTCTAATGTTTAATCTTCCTTTGGTAACAAAGCCATTCGAGAAAAAGAGAAACGGAACAAGTGCATATGTCTGCGTAGAAAAAACTGCACCAGCTTCTTTTTTTCCAGAATTTCTATCCCGTTAAATTGTCGAGCATAAGTTCCTTATCAAAAAAGATCACATCTGCGTTTCGGTTTGTCACAGACTTGATCCCTTCGATATGCTCTTTGGCTCGATAGGAACAGAACCAATCCAAATTCAAAAAGATGGTCAAAGAAATAGGGTTTAAATTCATTAGGTTCCTAACATTATTTGTTTATCATCAACGAGCACATTGTTTCATACTATGAAGGTAAGAATCATGATACAGAATATCCTCGTCTTTACCCTTACCCTTTCAGGCCAGACTGTGTCCAGTTTTTCCACTTCACACTCTATAAGTAGCTAGCTAGAAAACTTACAAAACATCCATCAAAAATTTACCTAAAAATCTTAAAAGCGGAGATAAATCCTATTTGTGGAGCCCAATACTTGCGACTTGCAAAGAACTCTCCAGAAACTTATTTCCCTTCCCCACTATCACACTTTTTCCAGTTTTTCTTCTGGTTTTTTCTCAAATTTCCTCTTCAGAAGAGCCTATTGTTTGAAGTTCGTAGCGTAAGAACACTCAAAACGAAGAAAATCTTTATTTTATTCTTCACGCAATATCCTCGTCGTGCGTCCGCATTTGTTTTTTAGTCCGACGTAAGCTGAAAGAAAAGCATGAAGGACTGCTAAAAATAGGATATTCTGAATTATGATGGTCTTTACAAAAGTCCGATATGCTATCAACAAATTGAACCTATTTTCTTCCCCAAATGCAGCATTGGACCTTCATATCCCATATCATGAGCAGGATTTACAACTAAAAAGACAGTTGTGCATTCAAAAATCACTCGTTTCCACTATGTCAAGATTTTTTTTGCCGTGGAGCAAGAATGTTCTAGGCATTTACTTTTGAATTTTTCGTTTATACTGAACCTTGGCGCTTTAAGCTTACGTTAACATCTCTTATTTGTTAAATTATATCCATTCACATACAAGTAATCTAAACGTGAAAAAATACACACCAATTACCGATTGTTATATCTGTTAATTAGTTTTTTACTTCTAGTATTTTTTGACACCATTTTTTTCAGCAGAACCTCATATTTTCAAAGTTTTATGACAACGTACAAAGGTCTCTAATTTTTTGTGACCAAGAAAAATCTCCGAAAACTGCAAAAAATATATGATTGCTTCTTGATAGTAAGAAACACTCAGTTTAACTGCGAGCGTTTTACTGGCCAGCATGACCAAAAATATTTTTAGCTTCGTATACACATAGAAAATAAACAGTTTAAGGGTACTTTTCGAGTGCATACTCAACTATCTCGTTCCTATTGTGATAGTTACTATAAAAGGTTTGTGGCAGTTTCTATATACGTCTGCCATTTTTGTACGATTAAATAAACTGCAAATAAAATAAGGCCTCCTGCTAATTTGCCGAAATAGTCGCTATTATTGCGTTTATCGTAATTTACGTCTGGTGCCCTAGTTCTTTAGGCTTACCGGACAACTCGTAAACAAACACGTAAACTGTGAGTTGCGCCGGTTTTGAGTAAACTACGTTAATGCAAGGCAATTATAAATCATTTCAAGGGTTCCAGAAAGCTCCAGAAAGTGTTTCAGAAAGTTTGGAATTTGCTAAGGGCTTGTTTTGATATTAAATACTATTTATAGGATCTATACCATGGTATCACACGAGGATTCCTCAAAAAAGTGCATGTTAAACCAATAAAAAAATCCATAGACACGAAAGAAATCTTTCTTTTTCTCAAAAATTACTTTCTCACTATTATTACTACTATGATTATCATGGATGCTTGAAACCGATTAAAGTGGATGAATTTTGTCGCATTTTTGGGAAAGTCAATGCAAAAGAATATTGCCTACGAATACATAAGTGACGAGGCTTTGGCCCAAAAAGAAGTAGAGGATTATTTTTGACGTTTTTAGAAAATGTTAGTTATACACATTTCTAAACTGAAACACAACTTTATGTTATTTACTCAAGTTCATTTTTTTTTTCAACTATTCAGTATGTATCCTTGCTAGTAATTTCTCTCGACATACATTTTGGTTACGCTTTGAAGCGTTCTTTCATTCGTAATAGATTCTTATACCCATATCTTTTCGGCAAATGTAAACAAAGAAAACATTACATAAAAGAATGTGCCGGCCACAGGTGTCCCCAATCGTCGTCCTGTATCCGATCTCAAGAATTCAGCCACAGTTTTGTAGTTTGCATGCAGATCCTTTGTGGAAAAGACGTACAGACGTGTTAGTGGATCGGTTGTTTTGAAAACAAGTAGAACCCAAAGTTTGCGGTCTGGAACATCTGGAAGTTGGGAGTGAAGTCAATTGGCGAAGAAGCTAAGCAGAACCATAGTTTTTAAAGGGAAAAAAGATAGCAGATTAGCCATGCAGCGAAAAATACGTACATTCTCTGTTAGGTGCAGGACGCTGTGGATTTTCGATATTCGTGATTGGAGGAGCGTTGTAGACTTTTTTCGAGATGAAACCACCATCAGCAATAGGCTTAGTCAAATCCACATATCGGCCACCTTCCGATGATCTGTCGTAGTACAGCTGCATACTTTCTGTTGGCGTCATCGGATCTGATTTGTCAAAATCATAAAAACCTTGATTTTCTCGCGGGATTCAACAATTCAACGACAGTAGAAAATTACCAAATAGCAGTACATGTATATAGCTTCCTTGAGTTTGTTCCACGTATAGCTGGACTCCTTTTAGATGTGCTGGCTCCAGAAGCTTAAACGGAGTCAGCACAAAATGGTCACCCGTTCGGATTTCTGGATCGTGCATGGTAGCAGAAGTGTGGACATTCAACCTCACCTTGAATTTTGTGAAAAAAGTTGCAGTCATAGTCGAATAAGAAAAGTATTAGGGCTGATACACTGCTCCTGCGGTGCTGACAACACTTGCGCGTAAAGTTGCCGGAAGGCACACTTTCCAAACGCGCGAATGCTGTCGAGACCGCAAAAATTGAGCTTCAATTTACTGAATCACAAAAAAGTCTCAAGACTTACATATTCGACTGCTGACAGTGGTGGACTAGGAACGATTCGTGGTGATAGCTTTACTTCTTGAAAAACAGAAGCAAATGAGTAAAGTGTGGATGTTTTACAGCAAAGCGATCGTCCTTCTCTTGGCAAAAGATGCCCGTTGGCAGCTTCCACGCACTGAAGTAAAGAATTGATACTTATTTTTTCATAGCCGGCAGATGAAAGACTAGATTTAAGTTATCTGAAAGAGCAAAGTGTACATGTGTAGCAAGAATCTTACAAATCGATAATCGATTACTTGTGCATGTCTGTTATCGTGTACATCTTTGAAATATAAAAAGACATCGCTACTGGGCTACTAATCTACATGAATGAAAACTCATAAAATCCTTATGAAATTGTCATTTCCTTAAAAACCCAAGGATTGCATTTATAGGTCTAAAAACCTACCGTATAATCCCTAGGACAGATATTTACGATTGATGGGTCGCAAAGCATAACTTGTGGCATTCGAAACGCTATCGCTCCTCCGGGACAGACTAAATTTTTGATAAAAAAGAGAAATTACTTCTATAATTGCTAGAGGCACGGAAACTTTTTCCAGTATGCACGGAAAGAGCGGAGTGAGCAAAAAATGTAGAGCTCGGTTACTCGATGTGATATTTAGAGATTTGACGATACATTAAAAAGTTTAGAGATATTTTCAAATTAATTTGGTATAGTTGAACTTGTAAGAGTCGCACATACCATTCGCCTTCTCTCTTATGGTACATAAATTGTCATGGTAGTCCTTATTAAACTGGTAATACACTGACCTGGTTTCACATGTTCCGGTTCTAAGTTTCCGATTTCTGCGGAGTCCTAGAAAGTTTGGTTTAGAGGTGCTTACGTAAGCCCTAACGTAACACGATTAATGAGCGCAAGATTCATATGCAAAATGTAATTAAATCCCCTTGCTAGATACGAATTTTTTGCTGAGGACCATGAGACGAGGAGAACTAAAGCATAGGTGACTGCAAAAAGCTGAGGAGTTTTTCGAAATCGATGGTCAAAGGCGAAAAGCTAATGAATTTTGAAAATACTCTAATAGTAAAATGAAAAGGATAAAACTGCCTGTATACGATCACTACAACATTTGAATGTTTTCCCAGGAGCTGAAGCGCAGAACGGATTTCGGCCGGTACATGTCAATGGATTGTTTGGTGTGCACGTTACTGCAGAACCTGGAAGAGTTACCGATATTATATGTTTGAGAAAATCACCTATAAATGGAAAAATTCTCACCTTCCGAGTAATCCAAACACTGCGACAATAAAGGAACGTAAGAAAGATCGTGCGATTGCCAAGTAGCCGAACATTCTGAAAATTTGGCCACATGCAAGATGGAAAATAAGAAAACTAGCAGTAACGAAAACACGTCAACTTTAAAGAGCAGTCGTCAAGCCTATGCCCTCATCGACGGGATAAAGAGAAGATTAGATCATTTTTGATACTGCTATATCGATTTGACCTTTGTTCTTACACAAACAGAATGTAATAGAAAATTGAAACGTGTGGAAAAATATATACGATAAACTGCTATTTCCAGTCAAAAAGATAATCAAGCCCAGTTTCGATTAACAATGTTTCCATATATTATTGTAGAGAACGCGATTCATTTTATCCTAAGAACTTTGCCTTATCAAGATAATGTAATAGATTTTTACCAACGATTCATCTCAATCAGAAATAGTTCAAGGGTTGCTTCAAACTTTGTAGAATATTGAGTAAAGTATTAGTGCTTCCATTTCGAATGCAATTTTAGTTATAATATTAGGTCGTCAAAAGTTCTTTCGCATCAAATTCAAAAATTGATTTGACTGCTTTTATTTTTGTATGAAAGAGTAAGTCATGCTCTTATAGCGACATCTTAGATGCTTACTAATGATCATCTGTTGCATAGATAGGAGCGCTAGAGAAAAAATTAGTCAAAATTTGAATTTTCTGTGTAGCGTCATAAAATATCTGAAGCTTGCAATAAAAATCTAAGCCGTTGTTATCATAGGTTTTATTATCCACTCTTAACCGAGCAAAGCTTGTGCTGATTGAACGTTTCTATAAAAAGTTATGATTTTCGAGCAAGCAATACAAAAAGGCAATTTGATTTATTTTGGCATTTTTCTCGTTCATAACTTTTGATAGAGATATTCAAACAGCACAAACTTTGCAAAATTAGAAAGAGCAGGTAATAGAGCCTAAAATACCAACCGCTCAGGTTTTTATTGAAAGTCTCAGGTTTTTTATGACCCTATACAGAAAATTCGAATTTTGACTGACTTTTTTCTAGCGCTCCTATCTATGCAACAGATGATCATTAGTAAGCAAATAAGACGTCATTATAAAGAGCATGACTTACAATTTCATAAGAAAATAAAAGAAATCAAATCGGTTGGAAAAATCAAAGGTTATGAATTTTTGAATTTGGTGCCAAAGAACTTCCGGGACACCTAATATATTTGTTTTTTATTTCAAAAAAGATTCCATACTTTACAAAAAATTAAAAGATCCTGCAGATGGAATAATCAAAGCACAAGAGCTCGATACGCCTTCATACTAATATCTTTGAGGTCTACTCAATTGTTCTATAAGCTGATTCCGACAAGTAGACCTACCCGGTCTTTCTGGAGGAGGGATTGGTGGTTGCGCTTCGACTGTCAGAAAAAGCCGGTAATACACCCATGGTACGAGTAAAGTAATCATGCTACACTCGTGATGACAATGACAATACATGGTCAAGGTGTTGTCACATAATCCCCGAGAATGAGCACGCATCGGCTCAGTCAACATGCGTGCTCACGCACTTCTTAACTATCACTATCCAGTGGTACTGTAGCATATGCAACGCATCTGGCTTGTTTTTCTCGTATCTTCGGCAATCTTTGCTTCTGAAGAGGAGAGCGAGGAATATGTTGGCGATGGTAAGTCGTTTCATTCAGCTAGGCTGGGGAATGCCACAGTTTTGGTCTCATTTGTCTTCACTGTTAATTTTCCGATTTCAGTCTGTGAAAAGCCATGGCAAACTCATGAAATGAACATTCTAGCCTCATATTCGCAATGCTCTGTATTTCAAGACGACGGTTTGTATTTTTCCATTTTCCACTGATTTCAACTATTGAAGTCACAGCTTTTGAAGAGTAAACTTCGTCTAAACTAACGTCAAACTGCTTTTTTCAAATTCGCTAAATAGCAAATACAAGTCCACATTATACTAGGTTGATGCAAAAATAATGGCCGTAGACTATGGGTTTTTGAAGCTAAAAGTGACTTTTCTGAAGAATCAATGCAGATACCAGGCTGAAATGTTACAGTTCTGCTTCCGAGGCTTCGTGGTACACAATACCTGAATTAGAGTAAAGGGGCGGCAGGGACAGAGTATGCCAATTTTCGATTTTGGTTATTTCTTAAATTCTAAGTGAGAGAAAATTACAGCAAGTGCACAAGTAATCGTTACTATATGTCTGCTAAGTGATGACCAAAGGGAGACTTGTAGGGTTTCCCTGGCGAAGATTCAATTTTTGAGCTAGCCAAATGCTCACAGATTTTGGCATCAAAGTCCACGTAGACCGAATGTTTAGGTAGATTCTTGGTGGTCACTTTGTAGAGCTTGCTTCGTTCTATCGAATGGCACCCCATTCGTATATTTCTATACTCACATGCCTTGATACCGTATGCTACGGACATTATTTCTGCATCAACCTCATGTTTTCATAAATGAGAAATTTTTTCATCATGATAGATCGGTTATTCATATAGTCGCGTTTTGAAAAGTATTGACCAAAATGACCCATTCTTCTCATGTCAGTCGTAAACTATACCTCTTCTCTCCATCAGTTCACTCAGATTTTCTAGCGGATTGACTCTAAAATGTTTATAATTGTGATTTGCCAAATGTTAATTCTACCATGAAAAACACAGAGCTGCTTTCTTCATGTATTTACGAATCTTTCATTATCAAGGTGTAATTTGCACCCCAAACGACCCAATTGAATGCACCGGAAGAAATCCCGTTTGTGTACTTTCCAAACTGACCGGTGACTATCGTTGTTGCTCGGATATACCGCAAGATCTTGGCAATCCTCCAGGCAATCCTGAACAGATCAAGCCCAGTAAGTTTAATGACGTCTGGAGCTGTTTCGATAGCAGTAAGAAAAGAATATTTCAGTATGTCCATACGGCGCTTCATCTTATGATATTCCATCAGTGTTATTGTGTGACCCAGAAGAAGAGAATTCATGCCCTGAGGAATATACTTGCGAACAAGTGAGTACAATCGAGCTTGGTTCCACTTCCACATTTCAAAAAAAATTCTTGAAGGCATTAAATCACAAAATGACTGCTCCTCATCACGCCCACCTGTGTTGCAAAACCTCAACTCTAGAATCTTTTGAGAATGGTAAGTCTATGATAGTCCAACAGTACGGCGCTGCTAGCAACATTTTTTTCTCACTTTCAGTTTTTTATGAGACTAAAGTAGGCATCAACAAGATGTCAGGAAATCTATCGATGCCTCTTTTCTACGTCACGTCAATTTCACCATCCATTATTCCTCATGCTCCATTACGCGGCATCGATTTTGTGAGTATTGTTAGTTTAACCGAAAAAGACATACGTACGGCCAAGGACACTGGCAGGGGTCATATGTAGGGATTAGGTATAACGCACTCAAGGAATTCAGTTTAGCAAGAACGACTTGCCATCTGCAAAATACACATTTTCAATAATCTCATAATGCTAGAATAGATCACATAAAGGAATTTTTATCTAGCTGTTTCTACCAAAAGACTTTTTCCAAAAGCTTTATCTGAGTCCAAGTAAGTTCTTCTCAAAAACTGCAAATGTAATGAAAATAGAGAGAAAAAATGCACTCCTGAACACTATGATGGAATCTTTTAAGAGGATTTTTAGACTGAAGCTCTTCATATGAATCATGCAAAACCATAGGTGAGCTCGTCAAATTGTGGAATAATATGCATGTGGCCAAAATATGTGTAAAATTTTCTGTATATCAAACATTTATGCATCGTGCTTTCATCCCACCTAGAATTCTCAGGAAATCTCACAGTCTGGCACTAAAAGAAACAGCAATTTTGATAAGCAAATTGACAGCGTACTGGTTATTACTCTTTTGTATTTGTGTGTATTATGGAAATAATATGAGACCATCACCAGCTGAGCTTCATTTTCATCGTGGTAGAAGGATTTCCTTCTAACCGCAGACTTCATTCCCAAGCAAATCAAAATCAAAAGCTTCAGGTCGTCCTTCATGAGCATGCTCAAACAAGCGGTAGCACTCCTCCAGAAATCCGAACCGGTGACCACTTCTCCATGCTTCCTTACCGCTTTAGAAAACCGGTCTATCTTCGTAAGGTAAGGACGAAGTAACATAGTTTTCTTGCCCTACAGAACTCTTCCTATGCAAATTCATTTCTTTTACTTTTGTCTTGTTAAGATAGCTTGCAGGTTGTCCTACTTCACGATCAAATGCTGCATGAGTTTCATCACGTACTCGTGCTCTACAGTAAGTCATTTCCTCTTAGCAGGCATGATATAGTTCCTACGGTGACGGCAACATTTGCGCGGGAACAAATGCTATGCTGGATGCCAAGGATTTGCATGCGATTCGCGCGACAAGGTGACGTAGAGCGTACACTGCCATAGCTTGCGCGCAAACGTTGTCGGAAACACAAACAGAATCTTAGCTGTGAAATCTACTAAGCTACTAAGCTGCACGTAATACTCGAAATACTCATAATTTTTCGCACTTTAATTTGTCTAAATACTCAGATCCACACGGCAATCCAGAAGCCATGCACTTCTACTACAACAGACCTACAACTCTTAGCCGTGAAATAGACTTAACAGTACCAGCTTGGGATGAAGGGATATTTTTCCGGAATATGAACAGAGTATTAACAATTCAAAGCGACCAAACTTCGACAAAACAAGGTCAGCTCGCTACGACCTCAGCTGAAGTTCGAAACATATCCTACCGCTTTCAGTGCGAAAACTTTACATAGTCTTAGTATTTCAAACAAAAGTGCGACTCACAAGAAGAAATCAACAGACTTGGCACGATTTCACTGCAAACTACACGTCATTTACGGACTTCCTGTCTAGCGAAACTGGGAAATACCTCGGGGATCCCGTAGCTGGCAGCTATTTTTATGTAAGCGAGAGAAATTTGTTTTCTATCAATCCCAACCTTAAACAAAAAGCTCCATTGTCAGTTTTATCATCCTTTGACTCAAAGCATATATTACAGATAACGAGTTAGCTGCAAATCAGATGGGATTTACAGCTCACTGTTCAACCTCACCTGTGCTTGATGATTATTTATTTTTCCATGATATATGTCACATACTATGAGCAATTCGTGGAATGCACTCCTGACGCCATAGAAGAACTTGGTACTGTACAATACATGCATGTTGTTACAAATCTATGTACATATAAGTACCGGTACCATCGAGAAAGTTATCATAAGAGCGAGAAGAATTAAAAGCCTTGTGGAAAGCAGCACAATCACCTGTTGACAGAAACAAAATCCGTTGGATCACCTTTTCCGACTAGGAAAAGCTGGTTGGAGTCTTCAGTTTTCGAGAGCAGACTGCGGCAGTGTTGTGTTATGTCAGTGATTTCTTCGGGTTTACTGAGTTTCGAGTCCAGATTGAAAAACCTAAATATCAAGATGTAATTTGCAGATTACGAAAAATAGTCCCCCCCCCCCCGAAAGATATTCGTTTTCAGAGCTGAACTTGAATCGAAATTTTTTTGAAAAAAATGTTAAATGTTTACGAGTAAAACAAGTCATTTGCCCAAGTAAATCAAGTCAATAACATGTAAGACTCTCGAGCACAAGACATCGATCTCAATTTACAAATCAAGTCATTTCCATAATCCTATATTGGGTGCACAATAAGTAACTTGCTGTGACCAGCTCAACACATTTGAAGATGGAGTGAAGCAGACAAGTGCGCCAACACAAAAAAAAATTTTGTGATCCAAAGTGATGCTGGGACATCACCGCCCCTGCTGCTTAAGTGTGATTTTTGTTGAAAATGTCGATTACACGAGAAAGCTCGCCGAATGAGAATGACTGTATGTCCATCAGACGGCGAGAAAAAAATATTTCGATATGATTCTTACTAGCATCACTAATTAGAACCATTTCGAAATCACTGATCACTCTTGAACAAGAATTGATCCGTGAGTGACTGACCTCATTCAAACTAAGTTTCACAGATATCACTACTAACAACATAGGAAACAAAAAAACTACCACTGATTTAGCTAAAGCAAAATGGCTCACATCATTCTTCTACAATAGTCGCCTACGAAAAAACAACGAATTGCTTTGGAAGTACTAAGATCGTTTTGAGCGACTATTTCCAATTCAGTAACAGGATTCATAGGAAGAGCAAGTGCATACTCGATAGAGAAGAATATGTAAGCGTCAATCACTCAATAAAGCTAAGAACTTCAATGCAAATGTTGAAAAGTCCTTGAAAACGGCCATGCAATGAACAGGACAGATAAATTTGAGCAGAGAAAAAATGGCTCAGTGGAGCTTCATCGTTACGACTTTGTAAAGCAAATCGTAGAGTATCTTACAGCAATATAACATTCGAATGAAAAAAAAACAGTAATAAGCGTATAAGCATAAACACATGAAAACGTGAATTTAGAGGAAAACCATACCTGTTATCTTGACGAAGGATAGTGTACCAATGACGTCCTTTCCAGAAAGGAATATAATTTCCAGTGGGGACGTTAACGATTATGGCATCCAGATTTTCGAAGCGGATTCGCTCCACAGGTAATCGACTATCGAACCAAACAACCATAAACGAAGGTCGATGCACGTAAGTCACACGAGGGAAAAAACAAAGATGTTTACCTGATAGTCATACATTCCTAAAGCTGACATGAGCACATTAACGTCATAATTTCCGAGACCAAGCATAGATCTGGAATGTCAATAATGAGAATGGGAACCGATTTATAGCGAAGGTCTACACAAGTGATCTAACAAGCTTTCATAGAAAACTTCTTTTTGCAACTTGCTCTTTACAAATGCGTTTAGCATTCAGTAACAAGATTGACACAAGAACTAATAATGAGAAAGCACGTAGGATGCGGTTGATAAAGTTATGAATTCCAAACTTGCCTGTGAGGATTGAACCATCGTTTGTCGCTCAGAGAATAGCATATTTCATCTAATGTCTCAGCGGTGAATTGCGGTTTTTGAAACAATGCATTTAATGCATGAACTAAGCACATTTGCCGCGTCTGCCGCTCGTGGTACATCTAAACTATAATTTACTGAAAAGTAAGGCGGATATCCACTCTCAACGATAACTGCACAAAGCTATTTCACAAACACAGTTGGCGAACAAGACGACCCAGATAAAATCTAGCACATCACGCGATGTTGCACAACAACGAGGTAGCCGTGACTTAGTGCAGAAGAACGGGATCATTTTCGAGATGTTTATACTCTTTGATTTTCCTCCAATTAAAAGCACTCTGAGAAAACATTTTTGGGGGTACAGGTTTGGACATTTAAGAGAGACATTATTCGTCAGAATGAATTAATACCCGACATTGCGAAATGGAGTGACTGGTACCGCATATATCAGTATATCATTACAAGTGATGGGAAAAGGCCGGAAGAAGTCCCTCTTATCAAACGACTCACCAAAAAAACATCTTCTCACCATTGTGAAATAACTCTTATCAAATAGTTTGATATTACAAAGAGATTTTTCACCATAACCGGCAAAATGAACGACACGACCCAACTTAAGTTAAAAATCATGAGCCTTTTTCCGCGCATGTAGCCGCAGCAGTAGAAGAACAGTTTCCAAATTGCCCATCGTAATGCTTTAAAAAAACTTTATTGGTGCGGGTCAAAATAAATCAACAATTGATGATCTTTAACGTCAAAATTACATTTTATTATGTAGTGATAAGTCAATCGTATTGCAAGAACATCAGATCGAAGCGCATGTATTAGTAGTAGAGGTGAAGAGATTGCAACATAATTTCACAACACAAGATAAGACATACACTGAATTTCTTGGATCGAAGTACAACGTAAAACTCTACCACGTCTTGGTTATATGGAAAATCAAACGTTATCTAATCAGTCAATGCAAACAATGGCTTTTCATCAGAAGTTATACACTTAAAATGAGTAAAGTGACTTGATGGTTGGATCGATGTTGATAAATAAGCAATGGTACAAGTAGGGCGGCACAACAGCAGAATTAACAGTGAATAAAAAAAATAAATCAGATAGATACTGTGAAAAGCTACCAGTCATGATTAGAGCTCGTCCTTTTCTTCTCCGGTAGGTGTTCCGCCGGCTTCTTCAGCGGTATCAGCACCACCACCTGCGTCTTTGTACAACTTGCTAATGATAGGTTGTACTTTACTTTCCAGATCCTGAGATAATTGATAGAAATTAATACTACTAGTGGGAAAATAAGGAAGCTACTCACCTTCTTTCGTTCTTGGAGCTCCTCTACAGATGCTTCACGATTGCTTTCGAGCCAGCTAATTGTCTCGTCTACAGCAACTTCGATAGTCTTCTTATCATCAGCATCAAGTTTACCACCAAGTTTCTCGTTATCATCGATTTGATTCTTCAGCGAGTACGAGTAAGACTCCAGTTCATTTCTTGCTTCCACCTTGATAAAAATGCATCTTTGTGATGAGGCCATTATCCACAACAAGCTCACCTGCTCCTTGACTTTCTTGTCATCTTCAGCAAATTTCTCAGCATCATTGATCATTCGCTCGATATCCTCGGGACTCAGTCTATTTTGGTCGTTGGTGATGGTGATTTTATTCTTGTTCCCAGTACCCTTGTCTTCAGCGGTGACATGGAGAATACCGTTAACGTCAATTTCGAAGGTTACCTGAAATTTTGTGGATTTTATACATATATACACCACTAGTATCAACTGTCCGCAAAATTCTTCATTCAAATAGCAAACCCACTTCAATCTGCGGCACTCCCCTAGGAGCTGGAGGAATGTTGGTTAGATCGAATTTTCCTAGCTGATGATTGTCTTTGGTCATTGGGCGTTCTCCTTCGTAGACCTTTGATCACGTTTTCAAAGATGCAAGACTACAATGTAAATGAATAATGTACCTGGATAGTCACAGTGGGCTGATTGTCGGCAGCTGTGGAGAAGACCTGAGATTTCTTGGTAGGAATGACAGTATTGCGAGTGATAAGCTTGGTCATAACGCCTCCGACAGTTTCGATACCGAGAGTAAGCGGATTCACATCCAACAAAACAATATCTCCTGTGTTCTCTTCTCCGCTGATTACCCCAGCCTGTACAGCAGCTCCATAGGCAACAGCTTCATCGGGATTGATACCACGCGAAGGCTCTTTGCCATTGAAGAAATCTTTGATGAGCTGCTGGACCTTTGGAATTCTGGTGGACCCTCCCACAAGAACTATTTCGTGCACGTCATCCTTCTTCAAGTCGGAGTCTTCGAGGACCTTCTGAACTGGCTTCAAAGTTGCGCGGAACAGATCCATATTCAGTTCCTCGAACTTGGCGCGAGTAAGAGTTTCCGAGAAGTCTTCGCCTTCATAAATTGCCTCCACTTCAACTTTGGTTTGATGTTGAGTGGACAGAGCTCGTTTTGCCTTCTCAACTTCTCTACGAAGCTTTTGGACAGCCCGATTGTCCTTGCGGAGATCTTTGCCAGTTTTCTTCTTGTACATTTTGATGAAGTATTCCATGACACGTTGGTCGAAGTCTTCTCCTCCAAGGTGAGTGTCTCCGTTCGTTGCAAGTACTTCGAATACTCCATTGTCGATCGTCAGCATGGAGACATCAAATGTGCCACCTCCCAAATCGAAGACAAGAATGTTTCGTTCTCCTGAAAAGTTCATGCTCTTCTACTTTCGAAGGTGAGTAAAATTTAGCAAAAACAGTCCCCTTAAGGGTAATTGCGAGCAAAAAGAGCAAAAAGCAAAAACCCCTACTAAGGAAAGGAGTTACACCTAGTAAGGAGATGTAGCCACCGTCCTCTATCGCAGTTCGGAATCAAGTGAGCGTTGAGAATTTCAAAACATACTGAGAGATAAAAATCTGGATAAACTTTGACCAAACGTTTGTTCTCGCGCAAATAAACCAAAGAAAAACTGCACAAGTAGTGCAACACTCTCAAGATACTAACCTTCCTTCTTGTCGAGACCATATGCGATGGCTGCTGCTGTAGGTTCGTTTATAATTCGAACAACATTCAGACCAGCGATTGTTCCAGCATCTTTAGTGGCCTGTCGCTGAGCGTCGTTGAAGTAAGCAGGCACAGTTACAACTGCATTCTTGACTTCTTTTCCAAGATATGATTCAGCAATTTCCTTCATCTTTGTCAGAACCATTGCAGAGACTTCTTCCGGAGCAAACTGCTTGTCTTCTTTGCCAACTTTGACAACAACATGCGGCTTGTTGTTCTTGTCGGAGACCTGAATATAGGATTTCAGAACTAAACTGTAAGAGTTGCGACTGACAAACCCTGAACGGCCATAGCTTAATATCGTCCTGTACGGTCTTATCGTTAAAATCACGACCAATCAACCGCTTGGCATCAAAAACTGTGTTTTCGGGATTGATGGTCAGCTGGTTTTTTGCAGCATCACCGATCATACGTTCACCATTTTCTTGTGAAAATGCAACGTACGATGGGGTGATACGGTTTCCTAAACATAGGGAAGTCGAATAAGATGTCATTCCAAGTTTTTGTGTACTGCAAAGACTTCAATAAAGGGGCAAAACGCAAACTGGATTCTTGAAAAAAAAAAACTGCGGAGGTGTTGAAAATGAACTTCAAATATGCTGACCTTGATCGTTGGCGATGATTTCAACTCTTCCGTTTTTGTACACTCCTACACAAGAGTAGGTAGTACCCAAGTCGATGCCAATGATAGTTCCATATTTGGTATCTTTAGTCTCCTGGAATGGCACAAATGAAAAATATGTTAAAAAAAGAGTATGAAAGTGGTCGTTTACCTTTTGTTTTTCCTCTGACAGCGCTCCTCTTCCAGACAGTAACAAAAGAATCAGAGATAGGAACTTAATCATGGTTCGGCTATCGAAGATTGAGGTAAACCTGAGATGATTATGAAATTAGGAAAACTCATGTTATTAATTGAAGCGAGGACGTGTAAGGTGCTGCATACGATGACAGAAACACCAAAAACCCAAAAGCTATGACTTTACGTAAGAACGTAGATACACATATCCCGACTAAAGCGGCCACATATCGGGGTCATCGCTAGGATTCTCTGGGTCAGTCCGCTTGCCCGCCTTGTCAGAGACGCAGAGGCGAGGGAAATTCGCGCACAAGGTCGTCTACTACTTTGAAAAGTGAAACAAATTGGGATCCAGATACTATTAGGGTTTACAGACATAAGTCCGCTAAGAATTGTAACATAAAGGGGGAGGAGTTTCTAATGTGCGAAAAAAAGCGGCAAAATTGCCAGGTGTGGGTCCATACTTGACGTCAGGTACCTAGTGCTCTGGTGCATTTGCACAAATCTTCTTACTGTACCAGAGTGATCGCCAAAATTTACGCATCAATTGACCAGCATTCAAATATGGAATTGTTATCTAGTAGCTTTCATAGTGATCCTAATGTCCCTGCGCTGAAAATGTGCGCCCATGACCCACAGTACCATGTGTTTACCGTCACATCCACTAGTCCATTAGATCAGGTATCGATGCAAAATTTGGAAATTTCTGTTAAGGCGCAATTTTACTGGGAACACCTGTCATCAGATTTCGAAAAAAAATACTCCATAGTCCACAAATTGAAGAATACAGTACTCCAGGGTAAATATGCGCGAAAATGGCCCTAAAACGCATAATCCTGGTGCATCTTTTAGCTTTTGCGCGCTAATATTGACGGCTACACAATAGTACTGTAATGACCGTCGAATCACCCGTCGGACTCATAGTGGAAAAATAAATGAGAAAATCAATTCTATTCTGTTATTTTCGTATCGTAGGTAGTTCTACCTGTCAATAATCACTATTACTTGCCTTCATGCACTGAAATCAGTTTTTTGGTAACTTTTATAGGGGAACACTTATGACTTTGAAATCTTGTTCAGAGAGACATTTATTACAGCACAAAAGTTGGATTTAACTGCATAACCAGTATATTCGATATGTATTGCTCCAACAAAAAATTGTATTTTCAAAAATAGAGAAAAGCTGCTACTATAAGCTTTGAACTTCGGTTCCTTCCAATTCATTCTTCGTGAATCACTATCCTTCGATATTACTTATGACAGTAAACATGTATAACATCCTCTTGACATCTCATGGAAGATCATCTGTCACAATGGGTGTACTTGCTAGACAGGCAATCTTGTCAATCCTATGATCCTGAAACTTCAGATGCTGTCATGCGACATAACCTCGGCATGTTTCTCTTCTTTCTTCTTTTTTTTTCGTTTACAAAATTATAATAACGTAACCATATGAATGAAAGACGATTTTTAAGAACAACGAATACTGGGGGGATTGGGTATTTCAATTTTTTGGGTTTATAAGAAGGTGTTGAAGGAAAGTAGTTTTGACCTGGACCACCTGTTTGTGTTAATAACTCTTTACTGTCTTTCGAAGAAGGAAAAATATATTAGAAATGTGAAGTGAACTATTTCGAAAATACATGAACGAATTTCTCTAAACGGCTGTCCAACAACGGTAACCGTTAATTTTCACCTATACAAAATGGTGCAGTTAGATTTACTATCTCACAGGGGCAGCCATTTTTGATGAGGGGATTTGAGTTTTCCAAATTTCCTGAAACGAACTATTCTTGCCATTGTAAAATTATGACAAAAACCTCTAGCGGTTTTTGCATCACTATGGTGTGAAGCGTCCTTCTCTGAAGTGCTAAGAGAGCTCTGATACTTTTTTTGATGCGCTGATGTAAAGTATATATATGTAGTCTCCATAAAGCTTTCGAAATTTACGGAGGAAGATGGAGACAGAAAATTTGAGGTGAAGTTCGAGATGTGATTAAATTATCCATGCCGCTTTGTCCTTCAAAAAGCTCACGATCAGAATTGATGTGCACGAAAATCAGGGTGCAAAAGTACCCATGTTCTAGAATTTGCCAACATAAAATGGTACGTCTATCTCTGCTATCTAGAAAGCCAGTTCTCGACCTAGAAACTCCGTATTCCGAACTATAAGGAAAATGTATTAGTGGCTGTCGACAACTGAGATTTTTGTGAATTCCTCAGGTTTCTAAGGTAAAATAGTGAGCAAATGAACAATTTAGCAATTCGACCAAAATCCGAAGTATTGTGCTTTTTCAAATCTATAACATTGCTACGCAGCGTTCTGATGCTTCAACGAGTAATCGCTGCTCTCAAGATGTGCTTGAGATTCACTAACAAGCATAAGATGGCACGGAAGTATAATTTTGCTACATTCGATGATTTTTGAAGCCCTAACTCAACATCTTTATCTGTTCTTCATCCTTATCAAGAATTCATTGGTTATACGTAGTCAAAAGCAGATGAATGTCTCTAACTGTCAGAGAACAGCTGTGAATTTATTGAGCTACTTTGAGCATACCTAAACAAGACGTTCAAGTATACCTACTCGAAAATTCTGCAATTCGGTTGGTATCAGGTTGTCCCATATTTATATCGATATACTGAAAAAAAAACCTCTTATCTTCGCGTATTTGCAATCGCTAAGATTGCCGAAGTGCCAAAAACTTTGTTTTCAATTTTGGTTTCATGGCCTTTTCTTTCTCTAATTGCAAGAAACTCTGCTTGTCGGACATTTCCACCAGATAATGCATTTTCAATTTCTCTCAGTTAACTCATCGATAATAAAATCTTTGATATGCATAATAAAATACGAAGTTTTTTTATAATAAAAATATGTGCATAGTTCGGCCATATTTTTGAGCTTTTTAATGGATTTTTTTGTGATTTTTCAGTGCAAGACTTACGCATGCGCAAGGCTGCCTTGACCATATTATTATATTCAAACAGTAGCAATTGCTTGAGAATCTACCCTGTATCTTTTTTCAGAAAATTCTGGAGATTTGACAGCTATTCTGTTGATAAGTTAAACTCGGTAATCAGTTAGGTCCCATTTTTGCCTTGTTCAATTCCCATCTTACAAGAGAAGGATACTCAATCGCACTGACGATTGGGTAAGCGGTGTTTACCGCGTATACCGTCCCAAGACGGTGATCTCTAAACCGCAATCCATATCCAGGGCCCGGCACGAGGTCGGCAAATGACAAGCTGGAAATCGTTCTGGGGCCAAAAAGCAAAGGGGAAATCGTTTTTGCGGGGTCCGGGGCAGAGCCCCGGAAAAAAATTGGTAGTTCATGCTCGCTACTTATCTTGACATGTTATGTGCCTCAACAGGCGAACACTGGAGTTCGCGCGCGTCAAACCGCGCCGTCGCTAAGTGCCGCACGCGCGACGTCGCCCAAGCGATGCTATTTGTAACTGCATACATGACTAGTTCTCAATGTGTGTGTAACGATATGGCACCAAATTTTGTGTGCGAACGGACAGAGGTTAGTGGAAACACAGTATGAAAAATTATGAAAAACCTATGTGAACGGAACGAGTAATTAGCATTTTTTCGAGAATTTCGCAAAACTGGTAAATGAAAATGTGAATTTAAACGGCTCGTTTGGAAAGCGCAGATGAACGATATGGTATGAAACTTGGTAAGTACATGCACACGGGCTTGCAGGACTTAACTGAGGAGTTTCATTGAGAAATTATGTGACTGAAGGTTGTGGCAAACTTTTTTCTGGAAATTTTGCGCTACCAAAGAAATGGAAAAATGGCTCGTTTGCAACGCAGAGGTAACGAAATCGCGCGGGCTTCGGTGTGTATATGCGCAATAGGACTAAGTAATAAAGTATGAAATATTATGAAAAACTTATGTGAATGAAGAGTTTCCTTAACTTATTTCCAAATTAGGTCGGCATTTGCCGACCTAATTCCCACCTGAGGTCGGCAAAACTCTCAGTTCACATAATTTTCTCAAAATTTTTACATAAATCTGTTGTACACCTAAAGTTTACTACATGGTGAAATTTTGGTTCCGAAACTCCTCCTCTTGTCCTTGTTGGAGCCCAAAATGGCATCAGCAGCCCAGCTTTCTAAGATAGAAAGCGCGCCCCAGTCAATCGATACGCGCGGGAACGGCGTCTCTCATTCCTATGACTGCGTTTCTTTGATATTTTCTCATTCCCTGATCCTTTTTACTGCTTATTTTTCTTCCTGTTTCCTATCTTGGTACAGCAATTTGAGTAATATGAGGAATTTGAGCAATTTGGGCGCTTTTGAGCGCTTTTAGGCGAAGTGTGGCCGGTAATCTCGTCGCACAAGCACAAAACGTCATTTTTGATTCGTAAAACTTACTGGGATCAAAGGGGTATTCGTTTTGGAAAACCCCGTTTGCCCACCTTGTGCCGGGCCCTGTCCATATCTGCTATGACGTCATTCTGTAGGAGTTATAAAGGACTTTTGATGCAGTGGCTAGTGGCTTGCACTACGGAGCTGGACGTCGTGGGTTTCATTCCTCTGGGATGCCACCCGTTTTGCATTTTTGTAAATTTTAGCAGGCAAGTTGAAAAACCTGTCGACATAAAAAAAAGTTGATTTTCACAATACAAAGCAATATATTAGGTTGGTGCAAAAGTAATGCGCGTTTTTCTAGCCCTTGTTTCAAGATAGCTTTTCTCCATCGAAGTTTCTCCTATGAAACTTACCCAGCATATTATCGAAAAGCTTCTTTCATGCTCTATTCAACGGTGGTTGAAAGAAGCTTCTAGCCTCATTCGTTAAAAAATTATAGAGCTTCATATAACCGCATTCAAAACCAGAATTTCATTGCACTTACTTATTCGGCCAGAATTCGAGCGCAAGTAAAGGCATTCTTTTGAAAATTTAACTACTATATATAGTAAAGATTTTCTACGTTATGCATGTTTTACTGTTTTCCTAAAAATTACTTAGACTGAGATCTCGGCGCCTCAACATGAGTGATGGTTTTAGCCATTCTGTGGCCCATAGATTTCCTTTGAAGAGGGCAATCGCCAAAATTTTGCTCATTTCTGTAAGCGTAAGGGTGGGCCTTCTGTTGATAGTTTTTGCAGAAATGTGGAAGCTGTTCAGTACACAGAAAATCAAAAATCTCCATATTTTGGGATTTTGAGGGCTACGAAAAAATGTCGAAAAAAGCGGACAATTTTGAAGATTATTTTTTTCCTTTTCGCAAACATTCTGTGCTTAAGCCCTTTTGTACTTTTTTTTGTACTACTGGCTTGCGGCTACAAGATAGTTAACTTATTATTTATACCGGCAAACATTGAAGGAAGTTATGATCAGTTAAAAACGAGGTTTCCGAAAAAAATTTTTTTTGCTTATCAATCCATATTTTTCCACCGATTTGCTATATTAACATAAGTTAATGTGCGCTGTATAGCGAGAGGTTTGGCGCCTCTGGTGAACTTTGCCGCACTGAAAAATATGGATTTTTTAGAAAGTTATAGCACGTCAAAGTGAGAACTAGCAAAACGCGCATTACTTTTGCACCAACCTAATATTTACATTTATTGGCACTGAAACACCGTCTAACTTAAAAAAAACACTCGCTTTTAGCCTTTTTCATCAAAAACTTTACTCAATTTACATTGAAAGCCCCTATGAACACATCTGATATGAAAGCACAAAATGTGCAAATGTCTCTTCTCTATGTTAAGCACGAATTCGGAATTTTTCAATGTAAAATTGAATAAGTATTCAGTGAAAAAGGCTAAAAACGAGTGTTTTTAGGTTAGACAGTGTTTCAGTGCCAATAAATGCAAATATATTGTTTTAAACTGTAAAATCAACTTTTTTCAATGTAAACAGGTTTTGCAATCTGCCTGCTAAGATTTACAAAAATGCAAAACGTGTGGCCTCCCAGAGGAATCAAACCCACGACGTCCAGCTCTGCAGTCCAAGCCACTATCCACTGCACCAAAAACTCTTTATAACTCCTCCAGAATGACGTCATAGCAGATATGGATTGCGGTTTAGAGATCACTGTCTGGAGACGGTATACGCGGTATACACCGCTTACCCAATCGTCAGTGCGATTAAGTATCCTTCCCTTGTTAGTTCACAAGGAGTTTGGCACAGCCAGCAAGCGTCATAGGGTAAAGCACAATTAGCTAAAGTGATTAAGCTTAAGCTAAATTTTTAGTGAGACTGATAAATATTCTATCGTAATTAAGTTAATGTTTTTTTGCGGAAGTCTTGATCAGATGAGTTGTGATTGAAAAAGAATTTTTCGACATTTGAAGATTTTCAAATGCAAGAATATTTGCAGTGGCTCACATATGTATGATATCTGCAGGTTTTTCTGCTTCGCTGTAAACGACTTTGTGTGACTTCAAAAAATACTTTGAGTAGTTGGATTGAAGAGGATTTCGTGTGCAGATTTATATAGATGTGCAATTTTCGAATTCTGGAACATATTTGTGAAGCTCACAACCTCTTTTTTTTCACATGTATCTCAAACCTTATGAATTCTTTACTCTGAGGAAAACTATGTAACAAAGAGAGTATTGAAAGACTTTCGGAGTCTTCACATGAAATCATATGTGAGAAGAATTTTGAATACTCTAAAGCAGACTTCGATGTACTTCTTACTTCTTAAATTTTTTGTGCAATGATAGCCTGGGCGAGTCACCTATCGCGCAGAGTAAACAAGAAAGTCTGGCGGGAATTTAAAAATTTCTCTCTACAAAAATAGGCTTATTGACTACCTAAGGCTACAATTTTTAGGTTATCAAAAATTCGACAGCGATGATGAACATGACTCCAAAAAAATTTTTTTTTCGTGTAAGAAGCAGCTGGCTGTAAATCGCTGTTGAACGTCTCATTAGGGGAAGTGGACCGCTTATTGGGGAAGAAACAAGGATGAAAAGGTTACTAGCAACTGCTTCTAGAAGGTTTATAGAGAAAACGTTTACAGAGAAAGTTTGTCGTATGACTAGTATAAGCCAAAATCATTTTTATTTCTTGGTGTGATGCTGATACTTTGTCCTAGAAGAATGACAAGCTATAATTCTTGATGTTTACATGTACCAGTACTTATGACAATACATGAAAGAGGATTTATGTGTTACCCAAAAGAAAATCTGTTTGTTGTCGGAAGCCAAAGCCGAACGTAAAAAGAGTAACCCTACATTGTATGGAACTCTCTGAAATTCAATACATCTTTGACGTCTCTGAAAGTACAAAACCAAGCCTTTGTTCAGCTTGACCGGTCGTACATACTCGAGCACATATCGCGCATTGATCGCTTTGCACTTCTATCAAAACTTATTTTTCAACAACATCTATTTTTGTTGCTCGAACTTTTTATATAGCTTGTAACATTCAACAATCCCGAATTAGGAGCTTTGCTAAACTCCTTTTCCTTTTTTATTACTAAATACGTGTCTATACGAGTTAACCGAGCACGTGCTCGGCAATCTTCATACTTTCAAGTACTCTTCTTCGAAACTAGTGTCTCCCATGCTTGGATCTCGCGCTGCCCAGTCGAAGAAGAGAAATTCAAAAGCGGGCAGCTTGGACCTCTCTCCTTCATCGATTCTCTTTAAGTAGATTACCCCCCTGCAGAGCACACGTTACTTTTGGCCCTTATACTGCATCTGTTCGTCAACGTTTTCAGCAAAAATCTCTGCCCAAAACTTTCTCAGATTTCACTGAATTGCGTATTCCATTTATTGAGTTCCTATTAGCAAGACACTCATTTATTATGTGGCTTGCGAGAATTTCATATGCTCTGCGCTTTTGCAGATATCATTTGTTTCCAGAAAAGAACGATGTAGATATCATTTTCAAGAAAGTGATGGAGGCTATTCCTTGCTACTCTTCCAGTCCCAGCTACAAAATGTCTTTTTTTTTTTGAAATCGTCCTAAAACTAGGATGACCCGGAAACGAGCGAATTTGACCATAGTGTATAGTGAAACCGTTTCTTCTTTCTTAGCCAAGTTGAAAACAAGTGGCGCTTTCTCTAAAAATTGCAGTTTTGCAATAAACTACAGCACAGAATTTACTGAAATAAATAACGGCGATTTCAGAAAATTTTTCTATAATGTGAAAGATAAAGCTACTATCGCCATCTAGGTAATGGCTTCTAGCTCTCCATCTGAATATCTCCCACATCCATTTCCACTTTTCTTTATTGTGCCTGCAATGGAAATCATTAATGAGCGCTTTATCTCGTCTCTTAGCGAATAATCCAATACTTGAGGAAATTGTGGTGTGGACATTTTGTCAGGATAAGCCGGCAAAGACCAAAAAAACGAATGGTTATTGCGTTTTCTCAAAACCACTTTTTTCATTCACTTCAAATTCTTGTTAGTAAAACGTTGAAAAAAGGCATTTTTCGGGTATAAAGGAGGATATATTGCCTATGAAACCAAACTGCATGCCAAATTAGAAATTTACTTCCAGGTGACTGATCTGAGGTGTTAAATGGAGGCAAATAAAAAGTGTTGCTAATCGATAAACCGTAATTACAGCTGTCTCTCTTTAGACGTGGAATATTCATTCAAACCTGACTATTGGCATTATATTTTTCTTTTAATTTTTTTGTAAACTTCCCATCTTACACAGTGACTTAGAACAGTGACGAGAAGCAACATGAAATGATAGAAAAACTTTATCCGATTTCGTTGCTCTGCAAAGTTTGCGCGCTTAGAATTTTATTTGGAATTCTATAACCGCTCCTTAGAAAAGTTTCTTGCATTTGTCGTCGTTGCACAAGTTCTTTTATTGTTTGCGAATAATTTTCTCGTGCACATTCGCAAGATAATCTGAGAGGAAATTTACATAAACTTATTGCTTTTCACACCAGCTTGTTATAGCCGAAATTGGATTGTGTGATATTAGAAGCCGAGCCCAGCTCTAACATCCTTAGCGGTACTTGGGAATTAGCTTGAAGTGGCCATATGATGAATGTGAATATTCTCGACTCATTGGCGCAATCTACATGTGTTCGCAGCGAAAATTCGCATTAGATTGCTTGGGTAATTCGACCATCGTTACTCCATATTTGCATATGTGCCTGGACCGAGGTAGGAGATTCTTAGGGGGGCTATCGATCTGGTGTCGAAAATTCGTAAGACGAACAAGCAGAGAGCACGTCAGTGTCAGAGCGAAATCATAGCTGAACGAAGCGGGCGACGACGAAGTGTTCAGCACCTCGGGGGGGGGGGGGGAGTCGGGGATCGATGCCCGCAGGTGCCGTAATTGGTGTTCGTCGCGGCCACTCCGTGTTAAGCGCGCTATGCTCGTCGCTGCCGTGGCGGACCCTTGACAGGTCCCCGGTCCCCCCGTCGGCCCCATCTTCCCCGTATTCTTCGCAAAGTTCTGTGTGAATTCTGCTAATGCCACCAAAGAGTCGACATAAAAATTCTTGCTGCTAGCAAAGGTATTCGCTTTTTACCAACCATTGCTTACACACGTACGTTTCCGTCGATGCAGAACGTTAGCATGCTTCCGCACATATTATGGACGTGTGTGCTGGTGTGTATATGTGTGTTCAGCACATTACATATGCTTTTCTGCTCGTTTTTGCATCGAACGATGTGTTCTTTTTCATCAGACAAATCTGCTCATTTTCAGTATGATGCATTTGGATCAAATATGGTGAGGCTCGATTACGCTCACGCTCGGTAAGTGTGCTAAAAATTTTGCTAATCATTTCACAATGTGCCAGATGACTATAGTTTTGCAGTCTACTCTAAATGTTGTGTAGAAGGTTCAGAATGTCCCTTCGAGGATGTTTTGTCTCGGCTAAAAATGTCACGATGACGGGGGGAGGAGGTTTCGTCGTCAGAAGAGCTAAGATTCTCTTTGTTTCCAATCTACTCTAGCCCCGTATCAGTTTTCCCTTTCGAGAGTTAGACCCAAAAAAAAGTGATCCTAAATAAAATTTAGGCAAAGTTTAATATAGTTCAAACGTACTATAGTAGCACGTTTTCACTACAAATTTTATAGTCCCAGCTATGTTTTGGCCATCTGGCATGTGGGCGGCTGCAGCGGACTTTGCCAATTGTTCCCTCTCACTTCCCTCGCTCTCCCTCTATTGCGCCTCTCAACATTCCACCATCAAAACTCTCAGGCTTTTCTCATGCTTTAGCACCTTGGGTCATTTTGAAACAACTTGTTTCGGCTCTCTTTTGCAAATTTTTCGCTTATTTTACGCTCCACTTGCTTTAACAATGTAGTATGCAGCAACGTTCTAGCTTTTTCGTGCAGCATTGTCTGCGCCGTTTTTATCGGCACTTGCATCTCTTTGTAAAAATCGAAACATCTTGCTTATTTATGAAGCTAAACTATTCTTCATAGCTTGATCCTCTGCAAAACTGCTCTATATTGACTTTAGTAAACTTGCACCTGCAGGCAAGAGCAAATGAGGTAGTAGAGATGCTAAAAATAGCATTACCACTGATGTTTGCTATTCGTTTCTGACTCATACCCAAACATTTTGCAGGGCGGAAATGTCGGGTATTCCGCTCGGCGTCGGTGGTCCGCCGCCTCCGGGGATGGATGCAAAATGTGGACGATTGGTCTGTATAAAAGTACGAATGCTAGACGACAGTGTAGCCGTGTTTCATCTTGGAGTGAGTTACTGAGTAATTGACACCAAAATGCTCTTACACTTCCAATCTTGCGGTTGAATCGTCTTGCCATTCTGATGCAAACCGGCTGCCTTTGACGATCAATGGGCGGCCGAAGCAAAAGCTGTTTATACGCAGCTGATCAGTCTCCACTCGGATATCAATTTACTCTAGCGCTGTTCACCACGAAACTCTACACATCGAACATACTTAGCCGAAAAAATGACTCGAGAAAATGGATTATGCGAGAGCGCAATTCTTATAAACCCTCATAGCGGTATTTACAGCACAAAGCAATCGGACAAACATTGTTGGACGAAGTGGCCAGACACTTAAATCTCCTTGAAAACGATTATTTTGGTTTGGAGTACATCGACAATTCTGGTTGCCATGTGAGTGCGAAAGTCTTTGTTAGAAGTTGTTGCGTCATAATCCTGACTAAGCCCAGCTTATAACACTTTCTGACTTTTCGGCCACCCGTCGTGATTGTTTATTAGAAAGTGGCTACATGACCGTGAACGAAAGACATTGTTTGGCACAGACGGAAAAAAGCACGCTCGCAACGAGAGCTTGAGAATTTTTAGAAGAAGACAATTTCACCGATCTTTTTACCTCTGATAAGTAATAAATACTGCAGCATAGAAGCAAATAGTGCATCTCGGCTTTCTTTTGCGGCTGTTCAAACGAATTTCGGCAAGTAATCTTGTGAATGCGAAATTTCAATACCTCGTTTCCTTCCAATTCGTTTTTTCCGCGGTTTCGGAAATTAATCTTAGCGAGACGTTCAGTGCATGTGAAATGCAATTCTAACAGCAGAATCAGCTCCCTGAGAAAAAGTCGTCGAGGAAATTGAAGAAATCTTAGAAAATTCAGACAATTCAATTTCAGTGTTGGCTCGACGCTGATAAGCCCATACTTCGGCAGATCAGTTCCCATGCAAGTGATGCTAAATTTTATTTTATTGTCAAATTTTATACTCCAAATCCTATCGACCTAGAAGAGGAGTATACAAGGTAAATTTTCGTACCAAAATCTTTCTGAATTTCGTAAATGCACTTTAATGCCTACGAACACTGTTGCTCTATTCTATCTCTATAGATCATAAATTATTTTATTTTTCATATCTTTTGCCGAACTTCTATTGTTAGATGTTACTCCGAATTTTGCTTCTTCACTTGCTAAATTACTTATGGCTGAATGTTCAAGAAATTCACATCCATAATCTCTTATTCTGCATTTTTATGAAGTAGAAAAAAGATTGGAAAGGAAAATGGATAGAAACCCAAATGAGATGCCAATCTATGATTCGAGAAATTTTCCAGGTATCTTCTCACACTTCAAATTCGACGGGATCTGTCTGTAGGAGAGCTGCACTGCGCAGAAACTACGGCAGCGCTTCTTGCGGCCTACCTAGTCCAGGTACTTCGGATTAACTTGCCTCGAAAATATTTACATAATTTGTAACAATTTCAGTCCGAATGCGGCGATTTCTCAGCCGAAGACTATCCTGATGCTACTTACCTCTCTCACTCTCGATTTATACCCCATCAAACTATTGAGTTTCAACAGAAGGTGATGGAAAATCACAGGAACTTGATGTGAGTGCTTATACCAAATTTATACTTGGCTTGGCCATATTTTTTCTGATAATACTTCAGTCTTGAAAGAGTGCTTCACAAAGCTTCAGCAAAATCTCTTCATGACTCCATTAAGAATTCAGCTTGCAGTTATTCGGGCATGAAACTTCTTTGTGATTGCCCTTTTCTTCACTTTTTGCAAGACATTTGTCTTTTGCGAGGCGAAAAAAAATTGTGCCTTAATGCTCGAGAGAGAATGGCTAAGTACTATATTGAATCCTTCTTCAGTCGCTAATATCCACAGATTTACTATATATCTATCGATCGTTATCTATAGCTAGCTAATTAGCGCTCATAGTTCCAAGATTTAATTCACACCCACGCATTTCACTGCAGAATCTATAAAACACGTCAATTTATCCATGTTATCCAACATTTTTCGTGACGACATGTTTCATATTATATCCATACATCTTGCATCCGGGCCAAGACCAAAAAATCCATGACATCTCATTCGTCATAGTAGCAGTTGTTCATGTATCGATTTCCGCGCATACGTCAGAAGAATGATGTTAAATGAGATTCGAGCAAGTACTTTGCTAAAAGCCGCTCTTAGAAATAGTAAATGTGAAAGTAAAAGTTTTAAGTTCCAAAAAAAAAGTAATCACTTAGAAGAAGTTGTCTTCCAAAAAAATCTGATAGGTCGCAAAAAGCACTTCCATAAGTTCTCCATTGATAGATCATTATTTTTGATTGCGTTACAAAAATTCAATTAAGTATGTAAAAACCAAGCTCTTGCTGAGTTCTGAGCATGAGAATCTTTCCGTCTCAACAATTTAGTAAAAACCCTTTGATTGGAATTTTTCAGTGGTATGAGCCCCGGTGAAAGTGATTTTGCAATGCTTGAAGTTGCGAGACGATGTGATTTCTATGGAATCAAGCTTCACCCTGCTAAGGTAAGTTGCAATCGTTTACCATATACAGGGTGTCCCAAAAAAATGTATCGAACGTTTGATCGTTAATATCTCTCTTCCCAAAAAGTCTTTCCCTTGCTTTAAGTACCAATCTGTAGAGCTGGCTTCAACTTAGATTTGCGTTATAGAACGAATCAATCATCTCTCTTCATTACTGTAGGATTACGGTAGAAATTTCAAAGGGTTTTAAGCAATGAAAGGCCATATTTTGCCCCAGAAAGGAAACAAAACAGTCTGAAAACTTTTACGCCAGGCTAATTGGAGTTGCTGATCATAACTGTAAAGTTACCAATTTATTATGATGCTTCATTGAAGAGTTATGCCAGGTAAGAGGTTGCGGCCATTTTTTCAATGTTCCTAAAAAGTACGGTTACACCGTTTAGAAAGCTTCGCAATCTTGAGAATAGTTGAGTATTGAACTCAGCGTCCATAAAAACCCCAATACAGAAGTTTTCACATTTTTTTGAAAAATTCTGAAACGGCAGCTTTTTCCATATTGACACCATATGTTTCATGTTTCTACCGTAATCCTACAGTAATGAAGAGAGATGAGTGATTCGTTCTATAATGCAAACCTAAGTTGAAGCCAGCTCTACAGATTGGTACCTGAAGCAAGGGAAAGACTTTTTGGGAAGAGAGATATCAACGATCAAACGTTCGATACATTTTTTTGGGACACCCTGTATATGCTCCTCATCTCAATAGTAAGGAATCGGACCATTTACTCAAATTTAAGGGAACTCGCACCTCTGAAGTCTATAGTTCCCTACTAATACCAAAGCTGTGTCCCCATCAGAGGCGTGTAAGATCGAGCAGTAGCTAATCTCTTTCTCTCTGCTAATCTGCTCAGAGTAATGTCTTCAATTTCATCTTCTCTTCAGATTTATTATTTTATTTGTACGGGTTCTCAAATCCCTTGGGTCTACAAGCATACACCCTCATCATGCTTGTGATGATATTTGCTATGTACTTGCGCAAACAGCATGAGGACATTTTTTTATTGCTTCTCATAGGCTCGTTTACCCTCAATAGTACATTGAATGATTCATATCTTGAAATTCTTCATCTTTTTTAATATGTGCTTTTTCTATCTCATCGAAAGATTTACAATTCATTCATGATTTTCATCTTCTTTGGCGAGCCTATCTACAATTTCTGCTAATGATATTCAGATGATCAAGTTCATCGATCTTGTTCGCCTGTGTTTGCTTTGCAAGCTCATTTTTAGCTGTTTTTTTTTCTCAGAAACAAAATCCTTTGCGGATTACGGCATTTACATCGTTAAGCATTACTCTAACGTAATTTTGAAAAAGCTATGCAAGTGTCTTGCAACATGTATACGCTTGCAATCCTATACTCAGCGTATTTGGTTTCATATAATAATGCGTACACGAATAATCTTCTACAAGAAGTAGGAAAAACGTCTTAACGTGAAATTTCACGACGAATCTACCTGCAAATGGTTTTTAGACAATTTTTCCATCTTGATAAAGCTTCATTTATTTATTATTTTCTATCCCCTCATCCTATTACCTTACAGTGGCCTTGTGTTTTTGTTCATGTCTCAACCAAGCTTTTGTAGCTCCGTTGCCAATCTTGAAAAGTTTTCGGTTTGTTTGCTCAGCTTTACCTTGATTTTCTCGAGGTTCTCTTTGTGTTTATTATTCTTCTGCTTGTTAGAGAGAATTCGCTTTAGTATGAAAGCAATGTCCACAATTTTTTGGTTGCAGACTGCAAAGAATGAAAATACTGAGTGACAAAGTGTAGCAAATTTTTAACCGTTTAGATATTTTAAGCGGTGTTAGGCTCTCTATAACTTGGGACTGGTGCATTTTGATTAAAATTATTTTTATTTAGGATATTGAAGGCACTGATGCTAGACTAGCTGTGCTTCACCTTGGCATCAAAGTCTACCATCAACTTCAGTGTGTATCTACATTTTCTTGGGCAAAGATTCGCAAGCTCAGCTTCAAACGCAAGAAATTGCTAGTCAAGCTTCATCCTGATAGCTATGTAAGTTGCTAACATTCTTGATTTAATTTACATCTCTCTTTCTTCGTTTTTAGCAATACTACAAAGAGACCATACAATTCGTCTTTGATTCACGTAATGAATGCAAGTCTTTCTGGAAGAAATGTGTCGAACATCATGCCTTTTTTCGTTGTTCTGCTGCTGATTGCACTAGGAAGGATAATCGCCTATTTAGCAAAGGTTCATCGTTCAGGTAAAAATGTGTTCTATTATCTTTTCAACCAGTTATTTATTTTGTCGCGGAAACGAGCTATGAAAGATTTTTCTTATTTGCTGCATTTTTCGAAATTCTGCAGGATTGCTCTTCACCAATTAAGGTGGATTTTGAACTTTTACGAAAAAAAAATCGTCCTGTACTAGTGGCTTTTCACTTTTTTACAGTTCAAAATTGGACAAGCGTGAGCTATTCTGCAGAGTATTTTTATTTTGGGAGATAATGTAACAGTTTTCTTTGCTAAGTCAATATTTGCTTCGCTTCACATTAATGGCAAAAGAACTGTCTATGTTGACAATTAGCTTTTTTGACGGATCGAAGGTATAGGGAATATTTGTGGATTATATGGCGAAGAAATGAGCAGCTTTTGTGATTTGATCTCTGATTATGCGATCAGAAAATTTTTTTTTGAATATGGCAAAACCGTTTTCAAATAGGACTCGTGATAACACCTCGGAGCATGCTTAATTTTTAATTGTTTTTGATGCTGTGGAAGTACTAGTATTCTATTATTAAGCCGCTCTATTTGAAATCAATATGAGAAATTCGGATAAAAAATAGTCATGCGGAATGCTTGAAAAAGATCCATAAAATGTTTGGCCAGCTCGTTTATACCAAGATATTGGATACGGTGTAAGACAAAAGGGTATGCTGGCATTATTTATTAAAAGAATAGCTACATATATATCTTATTAGTACAAGAAGAAGTTGCTTTCCGCGTACTAAGCTATTTTGTCATCAGCCTCTCATTTGTTACGTTTTAAGGTACCATGGTCGAACACAGAAACAGCTGATCGACTATGTTCGTGAACATCACAAGCGAAGGGAACCTTTTACAAGGTAGTGACATTTTTGTGTTATTTACAGTACTTCGCAATTTTTAGCTCAATTCATGTTGTTTGATGCAAAAGTAGCCTTTGTTGCTCTCAAAATCGCTCACAGCAATAAGTCTTACAATAAAAATTCACCTGGAATCAAGAACCCACGAATAGAAAAATTAGCATCTTGTTTTGTACTTTATTCTGTCAAATTTGAACAGTGTCTGTATTTGAAGAGAAAGAATATTGGCAGAATTTGTAAATTATTTTTGAAGGTTGAGTAATAATTGAGAACCCTCATTAACTACTTTTAAACGCGTTACGAATGACCTCTGACATTTTATTTTTTGCCGAAGCTTGATATTTGTACGAAAGAGTTTCCTATGTATTATCTAGTACGAAAATCAAAATTCAACATCAAAGGGGTGTGATGGTAGCTAATAATAGTAGATTGACGACTGTAGTAGTTGCGTTGCAGACAGCATTTGCGCGTAAACGATGGTAAAGTGCGCTCCATGGCCACTTTTATAAGCACAAGTTGCAAGGAGAGGGTCGGAGCGTAGTGGCACGGTATTAACCATCGACTAGTACTTTGCTAATCTTTTCTGCGGATGTTTCTTAATCAAGCTCAAACTTTTACTTTCTTTACAACAGCATTTCTAACCGGTTCAATCAAATTAGCACCGACTTTTCCCGAGAAAGCTGTAATAGATTTAGCTTGTCCGTGAACAGATATAGAACTGCCGCAAAGGAAATCGAGTTGTACTAGTTCTTACGTTCGAGCAGTACCCCCTAAGCCCTTCGTTTGTGAATTTCTAACGCCTCGTAATCGAATTGTCATTTCAGGCCTCTGCGGTCAGCCGCTTCGCCTCGCTGCCCTCCTCCATTCGCGCTCTATTCTGTGGTGTCAGAACGCAAGAAGAATGGAGGCTCTCATCCTTCCGTTTCGCAATTACCGAATCAGTCACACTCACAAGACAGTGCAGGTACCTTAGATGCGCGTGGACATCGACACGATAAAGAGTGTGCTGAACATCAGAAACATCGTACAAAACAAAAAGTTAGCATACCTAAGGAGCCGCCGCATGAAAAGGAGAATGTGTCAATATCGTTGCCTAATGTGCTTAGTGATGACATACAGGTTGTTTGTAGAGAGCTTGAAATTGAGAGTGCCGAACCGCCTAAGTCATTATCCGGTGATAATTTCAATAACATACGTCCTGACTACGATAATATTAGTGAAGACTCGTACAGACTATCTGATCATGAACGCTCAACTAAGTCTGACGTTGGAGTGCCGTCCAGAGCCGCCACTCATAGTGCTACCTTTAACACCTCGAAGCGTGCTGGTAATGTAGTAGTAAAGCGAGTTATATCGCAGTCGAAGTCAACTCCTCAGTCCACAGACGAAGAAGATTCTGCCAGTAACTCTGTCGCTTCAACTTCTACCGGTCGTCGACGTCTGAAGGAATATCCGTTCAACTCGACAAGCTTTGTTCCAATCGAAATTGATGGCCCGAATGTTGACATCTCCGTCAGGAGAAGCACCGGTCCTATCTACACCTCGACAGGAGCGCTACTTCTAAAACCGAAGGTCATTTCAACACATGAGAGCGAGTATACAACTGTGAAAATCGTCTCGGATCCGATAGCGCCTAGCACTTCTGTGGCAGCTCCACCGCTTCAACATCAGTCGAAGCAGATCCCGCCACAGGCAAAGAAGCAGGTCCCGCTGCAGCCTGTGGCTTCTGTAGCTCCTGTTCCACCTGCACCTCCACCTGTAGCTCCAGTGAGTGATGAACCAATTTATGGAGCAAAAGGTCCACTACCTGGAAAAGTCATCACCAAGGAGACTATGGTCATCACACCGAATGGAGTGAGAGAAAGAGGACCGAAACCAGCAGTCATGCCAAAGCCAACGAAAGCCGTGATTCCTCAGCATGTAACTCCACACATCGCTAAATCACAGGAACTTCCTGATCATCCGGTGGTTCGAATGACGGAGGACATTCCTGCAGTTGTACCCAAGAAGGAGGAGCCGAAAGAAGCCGAAACGAAAGTTAGGGCACCACCAACTCGTCCGAAGTTGATATCGGTGAAAAGCGAAGACAGTCCGAATGTGGAGAAGTGCCACCTATTCAACAGCGAAATCCCTTACACTTTGACTTTGAGAAAGGTTGACAGCGCCGAGTCGCTGTCACTGACTACATTCAAGGATAAGCCGAGGGAATACGATACTGGATCGTTGAGAAAGCTTTCGAAAAGTCCGGATCAGTTCAAGCGGCGAAAGTCACTAGATCTTGTGCCACGCAAGCGACTTCCATCGCCTAGAAATTTCTCCTCGCAGGACCACTCCATTTCACCAACTACGCCTGAGGGAAATGTGCTCGACTATGTTCTGAGGCATCGTTCTCAAAGTCATGAGAGGCCTGAGAGACGAGGCAAGCGAGGAGATGTAAGGAGGCAAACGCAGCCGGTTCGCTTCGACCTACCTCCGAGTCCTTGCTCACCTGTGAGCGGGAGCACGCCCTTCATTAGCTGTCTTCACGATGACGTAGTCGACGACAGCAAATCCGAATCCAGGAGTTTGCACGAAGAAATGGAGAAGCTGGAAGGTGTGCTGGGGCTGAATGTGGTTGCCCCCGAAAAGGAACAGAAGGAGGATTCGGAAGGCAGCGACTCGCTCCCTCCTCCGCCGGAGACGGTGGTGAAGCCGCCTCCGCCGCCACCACCTCCGAAACCGAAGGGAATAGCCGAGCATGTTGCTGAGCTAAAAACGTCAGTCATTATGACTTCCGTGGTGAAATCGACTGCTACTAAAGAAAAAACGACGGAAGAAGCTAAGGCATTTCGACAGCAGGACGAACAAACGCCATTCATTGACGAATCTCCTAAAAGCTCCGAAGAAACGTTGCCGGTTTCTCGACGAACTGAGACGGGACTATTGTGGACAGACTTCTGACCACACTTCATTCTGCAATATGATTCCTTTTCCATGTGCATGTTTATGGGTGCTAGAGGCTTTTTTCTTTTGTTTGTATAGTTGTATACTTGCTTGCGCTTTCTGTGTGACAGCTGCGTAGAGCTTCACCTTGCACTCACTTTAGCCAACAACTCAAAGGCATCTCTTCGCTTCTTGTGTCTTGGTGGTCTATTCAAACTGGGCATTTCGAAAAATACATTTAGAACGTAGGTCTTTAACTCGCTTGAGAATTTACTTTTGAATATCGAGATTATCCCGGTGAAGAGTAAATTTAAGCTTTTTGTTTGTAGTTCTAGACACTCAGAGGGCAGCAATGATAAATTTAGGTGGACTTACAAATTCTAGAGGCTTTCTTATCGAGACCGATAACCCCAAGTACATAACGCATTCAAGCATAGTCTAGTTTTGCTGTTGTGCTTTACTTGTTACTTCTTAGCCAAAGAGTTATACGGTGGGTAGAATTACAAAACGGATTCGAATGCCACATTCTCACGACGTCACTTTGGTGTAAGCTCGAAAAGCATGCTGCTCTGTTCCTCTTCCTATTTTTCGCTTTTCGCTTTTTTTTCGCTTTTAGTAGTGCGGTGCACTCACAACCGTTTTCACACGGACCTAGACACACATACACACAGGCACATTGCGCACACCCTGCCTCATGTGATAACCACTGCTTGGATACCTTGTGCCTTTTGCCACAACAAATATGGTGCTGTTTTTTTCTTCTTTTTCATGTAAACTTTCTCATTAATAAAGATTTACAAGTGTTGGATTTTGAAAAGAACATCGGACACCAGAAGCGAATAATGAGGTCTTTGCTCCATTTTACGGTTTGCCGCGTGACAAAGAATAGTTGCATACACATGAATCACATACACCTTATACCGTATCGGTACCGTATCACCACAATTATACAGCATTGCATTTTTCTCACGCAGCACCACATTGTTAATAAGTGCAAGGCTCGAAGTCACATAAATACGGTGCCGTTTAAAATGTTATTTTGTCATATGCTATACTAGATGATGTTGTTGTAATGATTGTAATCATTATGAGATATTTATGGATTTTGTGTGATCTCTTCCTCATACATGTTCCGCTGTATTTCACATTCGTTTTGCTTTGAACATGGTTGTTATATTTATGATAAACCTTGGCTTGAATTTGAGTTATGTATGCAATGGACCCCTGCTAACTTCTTCAGGAACTGGTTTATATATGATATTTTTGTAAACGTCTTTGAAAGAAGTCAGCATAACGATTTTAGCAAAGGCAATGTAGAGCAAATGGTCGATTCAACAAGATGCGAATGCAATAAAAATGTCTCATGGAATTGAGGTTCAACATTGAATTGTTTACTAAAGTCGGTTGGAGTACGCCAGAAAAATTGCGGAAAGAGTGAGATCTAAGTCATACTGCTTCTCATTCTCTCTTCTTCGTTTAATTCTTACTTAGGAGTATTCTAAACGTTGTACGTTTCTTAGATTCAGGGACTATAACCATAAATTAGTAATCTGGAAGCTTTCTATTTTTTCTGATCTCTGAAATGGATGTTCCTATTCTTACGCATCGCAAGAGTGAGAAACGAAAAATTCTCAGTGACATTTTGAAGAAGGGACCATATACAAAAAATCTAGCCGTGAATCTTCCCTTGCCTGATTTTTCATATTTTGGCTGCTACTTTAGTGATTGTGATAACCTAATTGTAGGCACTTCCATCGACTTAAACATTCCTCAACCGTAATATCTACAATCTTATCGAAGCTCTAATTAGTACCCTGAGCCAGATGCATTACAGCTTGTTAAAAGCTAATTTGAGTCCTTTGTTGACTGTTACACTTCAAATATCATGAGTAATACCTGCATATATGTCAATTATAACAGGCAATTTTCAAAGTACTCAAGTCCATTTACACAATCGCGGGAGTTTTAGTGTGTCTTAAAATAGTATAACAGGTGTGAGTGGGTCAACAACAACAAGAAGTGTCTATGGAGTAAATTCTACGTTTTCATCGGAAAGTGCTCCGACGTCCGAAATCTACAAACTTTCGAAGAAGTGAGAATAAACTCATAAAAGTTTTTTCCTGTACAATGCAAATTGAATGAAATGTGTCCAGAGTGGGAACGAGCACTAGCCTGACCTCACACTTATCGCAGCGAATTTATGGAAGCGATTCTAGCGAAAGCGGTAGCGAATCCATCGTAGGTACAACTTATTCAAAAGGTGAATTTTCGTCAGAGGGTTTGAAAGAAGACCCTCAGTATATCATCTTCAGACTGTCGAACGGCAAAATCATCACAAAGCTCTTTGAACACCAAGAAAAGCCAAAAATCATCTACATCCACACGGCTTGAGTCAGAATGGCTCGACTGGTCACTTGTCGGTATTGATAGCGATGATCTCGCTGGATACAATAAAGAAGTAAATGCTTAGCATACAAATTTACTCAAGAAATGTAATATGAATAATTAGATCATGCACTCTGATGTTTACAACTTTATACTCGAAGATCTCCTGGACCATGAGCGAACCGCTGCTCGAGATTTCCGTTTGGTTTGTGAAGTGAGTTTATTTGCAAATCTTTTCATTTCATCGTAGCTGGTTACTGTTAATCACCTTCTATTTAATTGTTGTTTAGTAAACACCCTATTAGACTTCTTAGTGGTCTTATTTAGAACTTACCTCGATTGGTAGAGCCATTGTTGGAAAGTTCTGCAGTGGCTGTGCAGTTGACCAAGAAACTCAAAGAGCTGAGGGATGCTCAAGCCAAGTTCTTGGGAGAGCTGAGTAGCATAGAGTTAGTGTTTCTTTTTTTGCTGTGGAGCCTTGAGAGTCGTAAGAATCTAGAACGTGAAAGTACTCTTTGGCTTTGGCCACACTTTATCCGTTTACCCGTGTTACCGGTGTTACCAGTGTTACACGTGTTACTGGTGTTACCCGTGTTACACGTGTTACTGGTTTTACTAGTGTTACCGCTTTTATGCTGTTGAATAGTGAAAAGTAACAATATAGTCTCATTTTAAAACGCAATATTAATGGCTGGTGAGTAACATAATAACACTAGCAACAGAGTAACACGGGTACCACGAGTAACACCAGCAACACCGGTAACATGGGTAACACGGGTAAAGTATGGCCAAAGCCTTTGCTGATAGAAAACTTTTGGCTGATCTCGCAAATTTTGTGTATATTTCTTGTTTTTTAATTAAGTCTAAAGGATAAATTAATTTTTCGTTTTCTTTTTCCGCTTATTAGCTCCTCGTTTCTCAGAAACGCTTCACAACTTGCACAACGATTGCTATGCATAACGCATAATGTTCTGCCAATTTATACCTCACTCCTGGAACAATACCCCATCTACATCGCTGCACTCGATCAACTGAGCAAGAACAACTTGGAGTTTCGCAGTGCGATCAGGTTGTTGCATATTTTATAGCGATTCTTCATGCTTGGAAGAGTTTTTTTCAGTAGGCTTGAGGAGTCAGGTCAATGCTACATAGCTTTCAACTGGATTCTGTTAAAAATTCTTCATCGATTGATTGCCTGGCGACCGGTACGTTACATTTTGTAGTGCCAAGATTTCTTTCTATTTTGGGGCAAGTCTTGATACTTTTGGCCAGGTTGAGTGTACTGAGTACAGAAGCCTGCTTTGGCCATGTGAACCTCCAACAATTTGTACCCATTTCTTGGAAATGAGAATCGCTAATCGTAGGCTAATAGAGCGTTTAACCAATCGCTCTCATATGGCAACAACCCTACCCAATGAGCGCGCTGAACTACCATCAATGAGCGAGCAGGGACTGTCCGACCGAGCGCGCAGGACTATGCGACCAATGAGCACGCAGAACTATATAACCAATGAGCGCGCTGGAATGTCCAACCAATGAGGGCGCAGGACTATCTGACCAGAGCGGCGCGCACTACTACCGCACTGCAATCCTTTGCCCTCATAATTATATCCATTCAGATACTCACTCGACTCATCGAATGGCAGTTATCTGAAGGAGTTGGTGACAGCGATATTGGCCCAGTTCGTGTGGCTCTGGAAAAAATCTCAAAGTTTGCTGAATCAAGCAGCAAGCAGAGGGAGGCGATATGTGAATTTGTGGCTCTCCTTCAACTCGAAGGAGACACAGGCACACAAGGAATGTTGACGCAACCGAGCAGGGTTAGTTTCGTTTATGGTATTCATAAAGAACATGAAGCTTTGCACTCAGCAAAAAAGTTTGGCTTTACAGTAGCCAACAAGGTCGTGAGCACAAATTTCGCAGCGTGGTTTAGTTGTTTGTAATCGCGGTGCGTGCTGAAGGGCTTGGAATTACCTGACGCGGGTTTTTTCAGCTTTTTCGCCACTTGGATGGACACAAAGCTCCAAATATAAACTCGTCTTGATGCAGTTTGGATAGATACATAGAACGCACATTTACATTTGTACAAGAGATATGCGCGCGCTATATATACCTAATTTGCGCGAGGTGCACCGCGATTTGGCAAATTGCCAAATAAGTACAGAATGTGCAAATTAGGCCCAAGGTCCTTAAAGTCTAGGTATACAGCGACCATCTACATCAAAACACAAAAGCAATGAGCGCCATACTCTTAGAACGCATGTGCAACAGATCGGGGCAAATTGGCAGATGGCCAAATCGCGCCGCGATCAATGTATGTAGCAAGTCCATTTAGCGTCTTCTGCGATTTGGCTGGGTTTTACGATGGTCACCAAGAGCTCTGTCCCCTCGCATGCTACTCCTGTTCAATGACGAGGTTCTAGTTGCTCATCGTTCCAGTGAAACTCCATTTGCGATAAGTGTGGAACTCAAACTTAAAGGGCTATTAGTAAGTAACTAAATATTTCACTTAAGAATAATTAGTCATCTATTTTTTCCTGGCTTTTTCTAGGTGGAAGATGGAGATTCGTTTAATGTAACTGGAGAACGCGATGACGTGTTTACGCTACATTTAGGGAAGAAGTCTATTATTCTAGTTAGCTCCATAAAAGATGATTGGGTGAAGGTAAGGTATTTGAGAAATCTTTTAGCGCAGATTTAATCATCTAAGCTTGATTAGGAGATAAGCACAGCAGTGAAAGAAGACGTCAAAAATCGTCTCGATCTGCCTCCACTCAAGTTGGAGAATACTTCACGATTTCCAAACGGCGACAACCGTAAGTAGAGCATTTGAATAAAAAATGCAAACATTCTCACGACTAGTGTTCTTTAGTGGAAAGCGTTGATGAGCCCCAACTGAAGGATCGGCGGAAGCTTAGCCCGTTGCAAGTTTGCTGGCATCGAAAGACCACATTGAACATCCGGCAAATTCATGATGTTGGTATTCTTTTGAAGAGAAGATTTCGAAGACATGTAGTTGTCCTTACAATCTAAAATCGCGATTTTATCGCTAAGTAAAAATTCAAGTTGTAGAGGTAATCCTTAGCAAATTCTTCTACAGTGATTTAACCTGAAAAATCGTAAATAGAAACAAGTTCTCGCTATCTGAGAACCTAAGATTCATTCAAAGGCTCAAAGTCATCTATTGTGTTTAGAATCCTTTTATCTTTTCTGCCTTCAAAAACCTGTCATACAAACCAAACTGTTTTTTTTTCATTTTTCCTCGACTAAAATTTATATCAAAGCCATGTTTCAGATTGTTGGTGTATCCCACTCAGGATATTTATTGCGAAAACTGCGCAATTCAAATGGATGGCAGAAACTATGGACAGAGCTCACATCCCATACGTTGTTTTTCTACAAAACTCATCAGGTTAGCAAATTTTGATGGTAGTGATCTAATAAAGGTTGATTTTCCAGGACGACATACCTTTAGCCAATCTACCACTGCTAGAGTATAAACTGGGTATGCCATCGGTGACGGATCATGTAAATCATTCCAACTGCTTTAAACTTGTCTATTCAAATCACGAGTACTTTTTCCGTACATTCGGATCATATTCATTCCAAAGGTAAGCTATAATTATAAACTATTACAAGTAAGAATATATGCTTGTTAATGAGGACTAACTATTTATAGAGTTGAAAATTATAGTAGAATCTCCAGTGTCAGTATAGCAAGACTTTGTGGCTACAGCATAAATTTCTGCTAGTCGCCTATTAGTTTGAAAAAATTATTTTTACTCAATATCATTTTCATCACAAGTGAAAATATTCAAGAAATTTGTTTCATTCATTGACAAAACCAACAAAGAAAACGCATTAGAAAATATTGTTTTTTATGGAGAATCCCAAGTATGAAAACCTCTAAGAATTTACACCGAGTTTTTTTATTATTGTCTTGAACTCATTTTTGTTTGTTTTTAGATGGACTGAAGCCCTGCGTAAGGCAGCCATATCACAAGTTGTTCCCGATGTCGTGACGGCTCTTTCTCTAAGGATCTGATAGATTTCTGCCCCATAAAAGCCTTTCACTTGAATCATGGTCATACTTTGTTCGTTTTTTCGTTGTTCGTTGTCAAAGTTACATGTGCTTGTATGAGCATTTCATCATTGTTAAATAGGATACAATTAGGAATTAAATGTTCAAGCGTTCAGTCAAGTCCAGCAACAAGAAGAAGTGAGCGCAGATACAATGCCCAAATTGTCCAATTTAGAAGAAATATGTGAGAATTTCGAGAAATAATACACGCATTTACGAGCTCAGCTGCAAAAACTCGACCTTATTTTTGATATGGGAAGATAAGACAAAGCAAAACACTCTTTAAATGCTGATAGTTTACAGGTTAAGCGCAACTATAACAATGTCTTTATTGAATGATTTCAAATGATAAACCTACGCAATCAAACGACAACAACCAAGAAAATCGTAACCTGCAATGCGAACAAGTTACATATCGATACATAACGAATCTCACATAAGACAAGCGAACAACATAATCAGAGACAAACGAGAAAGAAACACATAAACAAGTGGAAAAAAATATGATGTACGGACAAGTGAATGGGTAGTTTAGGATGAGAGATGATGACCACTGACCATCATCAGAGCATTGAGATTATTATGCACTCCTGGACGCTTGGGTACATATAGAACACACGATTCTGCTCGTTGTGAAAGGGACAGTAGATATGGCTTCAGGAACTTCCCCTATTTTCTATTCTGCTCTATTCTGCTTGCTGAGCCCTAGTGCAACATGTGATTTGTTCTATCAACCGAGAATCTTCTCTATTTACTAAAAGAGCGAGCGATAATCCTGCTCAGCCACCTGACCCCTACTGCGCGTCAAAAGCACAAACAAAGGTTTGTTCCTGAAACCGCTTCCTACCTCATAAGTGAGTCCATTGGGCAGTCATCTTTCCAATTTGATGCCAAATGGATAATTTTCGATGAGAGAAAGTCATGGCCGAACGATGAGGCAACTAATTAGGGCAATTCTAATTGGCTGCATCTTGGAGCATTTACAGAAAGCACGCGATTGGCCTATGATGCATGGCAGTACCGTATAGATGCCTCACAGTCGTTGTAACGGGTCCTTCCGCAAGCGACGAGGAGAAAAATGCCCGAATGGCATATACGATATATGAAAGTGAACGAAAAAGATGCAGTAACACAGGCCTAGCCGCATATTCACAGCAGTCTGAAGACGGAGAGACAATTTCGCACAACACACACTGGCACGATCTTTGTAGCGCAAGACGAGATAGAAGTGTCATAAATGGAAATCGAAAAGTCATGCTTTGAACCAGACTGCTAGATGATATGATAGATATGCAAGACGAATAATCAATAAGTACAAAAAACACATATTTAGGCATAAAATTCTTTAGTGGAGGCTTTTGTGTACGCATAACTTGCGTATGGGCGAGGCTTGGGTTCTTCCAATGCGTATGAACCTTCGTCCTTTTTTCGCATCCGATATACAATAAACATCACCAATAGAATTGCTGTCAGTAGACCAACCACGGTTCCGCCAACGACTGCTGAAAGTGAAAAAAATAGAATAATTAAGAAAAATTCGCAAGAAAATAAGCCATCGTTTCACTGGATTGGAGTATTAAGGGCCGGGCATTTTCACGTGATTTCAGTCGCGACGCGATTTGGCAATTAGCCAGAAGTTTAGATTCAACACTAGCAAACTGCATAAGTATGATGTGTTTAACTTAAGTGGATTGATGAAGTGCCCTATCTTCTGTACATTCAAAATGTGCTTACAATGAGTTATGGAAGCTTGGAATATTGCCAAGTCGCGTCCCGAAAAAAATCGCGTGAGGTATGCCCGGCCCCTTACATAGCTGAGAAAGCACACTTGCTGTGATAAGCAAAAATATGAACTTTTCAGCTTCATCTCCCTTGTTCAAACATCCTACTGCTGCTTCCTTTTTCTCCCCTGCGCTGGTTCCCAACTCTTTTGCAAGGAAAATAGGATTAGCGTAATGAATCCAGCCGATACATTGGATCTTCACGTGCTTCCGGTCAACGAATCTTCACAGAATTTCAAAGAAATTGAACAGCAGCAAAAAGTGACATCTTCTAGGGCTTTCTGCCAATTATCTAATGTGGATGATTCCCCTAGATAATTGCTGGAATAGCTACACTGTGCATATATCATACTGGGATAAAAACTGGTTCTGAAGGATGTTGTTAACTACTAGAAGATCATCTTCTTCATTTCGCTTTCCTTTTACTCTCAAATTATAAATCCCAAAACAAAATCAAATCTGAGATAAATGCGCAACGCCCTTTTCAATAATAGATGGTCCCATTTAGGGTACAAATTGTACCATCAAAACGTTGATATTTCACTTTATTTTACTGCAGTAGTCAAGGGCTTTTGCCAGCATGAAACTAAAAAGGGATTCTTAAAAACTGATTAACACGGAAAAAATACTAGGTGTTAAAACGAACATAATCTTCTACGCCATCTGAGATTGCAATCGTGGGTATTTTTGCCCAACTTCGCACATCTTCGGCCCCCGTTCCGGCCCCAAAATCTCTCTCCTTCTTCCCCACAAGAAACTGAAGCGCATCTGCATAATCCCTGGCGTCAGATACAAGAGCGCTAATTTTTGCATAACAAGCTTTAGGCTTCGCCGGATGACCCCGTTTCTAATTATAGCATCTCCCTAATATGGGGGCAGGAGGTGCGAGGAACAGACATGTCGGGGGGCACAATTATCTCTTCGACACAAGATGGCCACTGCACTCTTCTCTCTCGGGCTCCTACCCTTCCCCCGTCGTCGTTTGGCCCCCGCCACACAACCATCTGCCCTCCTTGAGCAAATAGCGACCCGGCATATCAATCATCACAGCAGTATGCAAATATCAGCACGTCCACTCGGACGCCTCTTCTCCGCACATGGCGGGATGTTCAAAAACAACTGTACACACATCGTACAAGGGCCCGGCGCTTGCTTGGCATATTCTTCGAGTATAAGTTAGTACAATTTCCGCCGAGACTTCACGCATAATTCAGCTAATAAGATCAAATGACCTTGGCAAATTAGTCACATTGTTACGGAAGTCATTAGGAGTCGTAGGCGCAATATGCCCTAGTACCGCACGACGAAAATCGCGCACATATGCTAATGCAAGCTCTAGATTATACATAATAAGGCAAGAATAGCTAGGAAAAGCAGCAAATCTCCACAAGAGTCAGAACAATTCCGAATGTTTAGAAAAACTGAATGGACACCTTTTTAACAATTTGCACGCCACAATATGGTCAGCCAATTCTGCTGAACCCCCCAAAACAACGAATTGAACGATATTGTCCACGAATAAATGCGATAGCGCTCGCAAGAAAATTCAATTTGGTCGTTGCGGCTGCTTCAGAAGACGAACGGAAGCTCTGACGACCGGAGCACAACGTTTGAACACGAATTACATCTTGGTCAGTTGAACTTCGTGCAAATGTGTCGGTAAAAGGATATAGCGCATAGAAAATTCTAGCAATTTCAACCATGTTCTCAAAACTCCTCGATATTAAATTTTCACAACCAAAGAGAGATACCAAGAGGAATTTGAAGAGCAAATAGGTCCTCTCGGTAGTTAAGTGCTAAGGTCGGAGGATGATGTCAGAACCGAAACCGACTGTACCGCACTACCGTAAAATTACCGTATACTTACCAGCAAAAATTCCAGGCTTGAGCACAGGATGGAATGGTGATTGTGTGGCAGCAGGATCAGGCGTTGTAGCAGGTTGAATGACGGTACGACGTGTTGAAGACACTGTCGTTGTCGTCGTTGATGACGTTGTCGTGACGTCATCCTTAGAATTTCGATTTTAGAATCAAAAAAAGTATTGAAAATCAATCTGTCCTACCTTTGGCAGTTGTCGAATAGGCACAACAGGATTGAAAGACTAAAAAATATATTTTTATGATTTTATCTATCTGAAATAAAACTTACATGATCCAAATCCGAGGATGGCTGTACAGGAGGGATATGTGTAGTCGTTGTGGTCGTCGTCACCTGTGGTCGTTGTTGTATTGAAGGTACAACACTTCCTGACCCTTCAACAACGTCGACGATAGAGGCTGAATACGGTAGGTATACGGTAGTTACAGTAATACTTCCCACAAGGATGTAGCTCATCAAACAAACCGCCTGATCCGTGTACGGTATCGCCATCTTCATCGTCACTACCATAGCCCGAACCATGGATTTCGACGTCCGGTGACGCAACAGAATGTTTTGTCGCAGAATCGTCCCCGCTTCCTTCCACTATCTAAAAAAAGAGAATGGAGCGGAGTCTTCGCAAATCCTGTTATATTCAGCAGATCGAGCAAAAACGTGTGCGCATAACGTTTCAGCTAGGTTTTTCTAACAGCAATGTCAGCTTCATACAATTTAGCAATTCAACACAAAAAAACTTCACCAACCTCGCTTTTCTTGATCGTTTGCGTACTGTCATCGATCGCTCGTTTATGCGTTGAGGAAGGGGTCTAAAAAAGAGAAACTGTGGATAGATTGAAGAGGATCAGCTTCAGCTCAATGTTAAGTGCACAATTTCTTCAACAGTGCGTTTATTTGACGATAAATAAGTCCCTCACTACAGAGCGAAAACTATCTGTTTGTTTGAGCTGTGAAAACATGCACATTTTCACCGTCTGGATCTAAGTATGTCCTCAGACATCTGATTTATTTTTCCCTTCTAATCTCAGTCAATGATTAGTCTCGTAGCTTTTTGCAATACACAAAGATTGGCAGTTCATCATATTTTTACCTTAAAGATTTGGATCCCTAACAATGTTGTTCTATACACTGCCAATTGCAAATTTGTAAGCTTATTTGTCCTCCAACAATCCAATACATAATTCATTGATAGCGTAATGAGCAAAAAAGAACCCAGACATCAAGTATGATTAGTTAGTTGTTCCATATTGCCGGTGTGCGTACGTTCAAATAGGGGGGGGGGGGCGATACCAGCAGTACCGTAAACCTTTTCGCTGCAGGACCATGTAATGGACGAATTATGAGAGGGCCTATTACGTCCCAGGTGTGCTGTTTATTTATTCTCAATAATGCTATGTAGTCTATCCTTGCTCTTTGAAGGGTCTCTCAACACCACGCTGGGAACACATCCACCCATCCAGCACCTTCAATTGGAGGCATCCGCAGCGAATGGTCTACAGATGGTACAGTATTACGTAGCGGCAGCGCAAGTGCGCCTATATTAGGACGGTTTCTACGCACAAAATGCATTAAAATGATGTTTTTTTTTCAAGATTAGATAAAATTCTTCCTTGCAGCAGAAATTTATGTCCAAAGCAACGGCAAAGCTAAAATCTAGCGCACTCTCGGCTTTTCTATACATGTTGTGACAGGCGATTTGTTGCCGCGTAATGCGACAACTGTCAGACCATCTGTGCATATGGCAGTTGTGACAGGTGCACTTAGCACTTGGCGCAAAAAATATTTTTGAGTGGATCGATTCGTATCACCTACATTGGTGGCGGCAACACAGCCGACAACTACGAGAAGCAGAAGACGCATCCCTCGATCAACCCGGGACCATAGTAGACCAGAGAATCTGGAAGAAAACAGCTGAAGGATGTGAACATCTGGGAGGATGAAAAACTAGCAAACACGTGAAATGAACGAACAGATGCAACCATTAGGAAGAGAAAATCTTGACGTAGCTCCGGGTCAAATTATGTACGATAATGAGGATAGATAATGGTAAAATACTCGTAAGAATTCCAAGATGAAGATGTTAAGAAGACGTTGTGCATGAGATTCATAGCAGGCCTGTCTCACAATCTAAAAGTGCAAAATTTTCCAGTATTGTGAAAGTCAACAAAGTATTGAATGAAAGATTCGAGGTCCAAGGCAACACACCCATCAACACAAACCAGTACCCACTTCAAGAATATCGAAACATTTACCATGACAAACATTCTTCAAAATGCAAATAGTGGACCTAGGAGCAGTTTTATGCTCAATTTCACAAGTGCTTCATCACCAAACAACTGTGATCCTGTCCTCCTACATCTTTTTCGATGATCGTTAGACGTTTTTACGAATCAGAAAAGATCGAATGTGAGAATAAAGCGGCAGCAGGTGTAAAATGGGAGCCAGAAAATGCGCATAGCTCCATCACTCCGCACGCCCTTTTCCTCGACACCAATGTCCTTCAAACATTAATTTTTGAATAACGTCAGTGCACGTGGAAGGATAAAGGTGTAAATCTTACAATATTAGAAAAATAATAGTCAGCTTTATGATATTAGTGGTCCCAAGCACAAAGGAGCAATCAAAAAACAAAACAAAGGAGATCAAAACACATTTAAAAGAAGACTTAATTTCTTTATGTCAAAAGTATACCAATAAACTTTACCAGAAAGTACACAGACAATCATCTTTGTAAGCTTACATTCAGAGGATTCAAAGGCTTGCAACAATTTTCATAGAAAAACCTGGAGTGAATAAATGAAGGCACTCGATTATACCGGCGGCAACATCAAACGAACAAAAAAACTAGCTACTGAGAAATGAGGAAAGCATTGTCTTTGTGGATTTACCGACATTAAAAGCCCTAGGAAAGCTATGTGCTTGTAACAGGGATAAAAACGTAATAAATGGTGCAAAACAAGAGAGTTTATAAATTTAGGAAATCCACTGGGGATTTAGGGGATGAAGGTGATACGAAGATGATTTTCAAAGAAATGTTTGCTTTGGAGAACATCTGTCAAATGCAAAGCTGAGAAAACAATAAAACACTGCCGTACTAGTTGTACAACCTGTTAATCGAATGATAGAATCAAACTGGTTAGAGTAGTTTATCGATAATGGCTCAAAGTGTGAAAAGGAAGTTGCATGATTGATTTTTTGAGAGCTTTACAACGAAGGTGTCGAATAAAAGATGACCCACTGTCCAACTTCGAAGAATTATAAAATCAGGAAATGAAAGAAGTAAAGCTGTGATGACAAAGCAGCTTCTCTCACGGATGTTCCGCTTCCGCAGTATCCCAAATATGGTTTATGTTTGTTTTAGGTCCACTTATACTCCACGGATGACCACCACTCCCTTCGCCGTCTCAACATAACTAAAATTATCGATCCTAGTGCCGAATGCAAACAATCTGCTCATGGAAAATTTATTGAAAAGTAGAAATAGTAAACATATATTTCCCTCACAATTCTCAAGAAAATCGTAGCTTTACTGTCCTTTCCGATGATCTCATTCCAAAAGGACAAAGACGAAAAACAAAAGCTTCATATATCCTTGATATCACACAGATGGTCATCGACATAGGTTTCATCTATGTTATTGCATCCAGATCTCTCATATGGGTCCGGATAACGTCAAATGCACGCAAAATGCGTGATGCGTGAAATGGACGATGTGAAATTGCTTGGTCTCCATGGATGTCAGACCGTATCAATTCATATGTGAAGAGATGAACATTGATGCTATAATATAAGCAAAGAATATCAATGATGTGCAATTCTTTGCAAAGTTGATAGAATTTCCAGGAATAATGAGGCATTGAATAGCTGATTTAGATGAAATACCACAACAAAAGGATAATAACTAGAAGAATAAAAATTAAACAATGGTAGCAGCCAGAAGTTAAGGATAAAAAAATTTTTGTGCAAAGAAGAATCACCGGAAGAATCAATCCAATCAATAGCGTTCAGTAGTGATAGGCCCGATCCTTTGCCGCAATTGGCCAAGGGTAATAACCTTGATTTTCGCCTCAGAACGACATCGAAATGCATCTCAATCACTCAAGGAATGTATGACATTACTTTGAACAGACGTCATTCTTTTCGGAGTGCATATACATGGATGAAAATCCATCCCAGCTTACATATACGTTATGTAAACAAAACTGGAAGAAATGAAAACATTGGCTAGGAAGCGCTGCTGTGGATGATATCATATCCGAGGAGAAGTATAGTCTTAATCTATGAATTTCAAGGCAATCATAAGTGGGTCATGAAATTTCTGCCGCAGCGAACCTGATCAAGAATTCGATTTTATCTCGAAACAAAGATCCATCAATCCTGATGTGACCTAACTTTGGGGACAGATAAATGACAGAAAAAAAATATGGTATCTGACAGTTTGGAAGCGGGAAAATTTGGTCAAGAAATAGGAGTAGAGCATGTAGAAAGTGGAAAGAAAATTAGCAAAAATGATAGAGCAGGTAGGATTTATAAGAAAGAGGAAAATATCAACATGGCAAATCGTATATACGAACGGCAATGATCAAGTAGTAAAGAAAAATGGATGAATAGTGGGGTCAGTCATTCATCAAAGTTATCGCGATTAGCGAGAGCGGTGGATATGAGTTATGTGAGACTAATGCTTTTATGTTTCTGGAACAAAGAAACAAGCGTAATTGATTGCCGTGATGCAAATTCCTTTACGATGTCAAGCGGAGCATAGTCATTTCCCCTGGCGAACCTTTAGCAGAGTAATTTAGCGAAAAAAGTTTCCATAGTTAGAGAGTTTCCATAAAGTGCCAGTAAAACGGCATTTTTCAAATTTTCTGATATTTAACTGTTTCATTCTGAACGAGAACTGCAATAATGCATCATCCCATTGAAAAGAGCGACTTTTTTCGAAAGAAATGATATCCAAACAACAATCGATAGATGTAGCGCTTTTCGACACGACGTTGACAGCAGACATTACAATGTGATGGAAGAAGAACGAAGCAGCAAGTTGTACTTTTTGAAAAAATGTCAGGGAATCCCTGGGATTAGAGGGCCGTCAACAAAAAACGGAGAACAAATCAAACATTTACACACTTCCGTTCGTAAAGCAAAACGCGACAAGGTCATAGATTAGTGTACGAAGATGTGTTTCGGGAATTTATAGAGAGAATGACGTAAAATCAAATAAGACACAGCAACCGAGGAGCAGGTTGGGGTGTGTCGGTCAGCATTGGGTAAAAGGTCGAACGAAGGGATAGCACACAGCGGGGACGGACGTAATAGACGGAGACGAAACGGCGGCGAATCGATCGAAAACGTAGAATGACCGCAGAGGGATGCGGGCGGATTCGGGGCATTGCTTCCAGAGAATCCGCCAATCTTGTTCTGGAAACCGACACGGGTTCGAAACAGCTGTGCCGGGGTTGAAAGTCGCAAATTTTCGAGAAAAATCGAGGCGGTCGGTCGCGGTAGCGGCGGAAGTACAGCACGAGATGAAGTTCGGCGTCATCCCATCGTGGGCGCCGAACTTCTTCTCATTCCAGAACCCTCCAGGGACCCGAATGATTGGCCTCGTAAGGATTACGTGAAGGGTCTCGGAAGATAATCATGCAAAGTAGTAGAGAGTATCCAAATGTTTCCAGCAGTTGGCTATGTTTGAAGAATTGTTCGTAATTATTTATTTATTCAGTCTATTCATTTCTCATACATTCAGGGCGCCGAGAAAAAGAAACCTCAAACGAACAAGATACAAGCTAGTCTCAAACCTCAGAGTGCATGGGAATAGGAAAACAAACCAAAAAGCCCTGACCGCATTTATATCCCTTATCACTTTCAACAAAGAATGACTAAAAATGTGTGGACCTTTATTTTCAAGTGGTAGAAGGGTCGCCCTAAAAATCAAGGGAAAATTCTCTCCACAATGGCAAAATCCAGTTCGTGCCTGGCCCTAAATGCTATTTGGAATTGACAGCTGACTGAAAGAAAATTTCAAAAGAGAAAACTGGAACTAGTGCTGCAGCGACAAAAATTCCAGCATTACCAAAAAGGAGGAGGAGCGAAGTGCAGTGGAATGCAAAGCTAATTAGTCTGTTACATGCTGGAAAAGATCATGTTGCAGCCCTTTTCGAAGAGTTAATCCAATAGAACACGCTTAAGAAAAAATGTGACAAAAAATGGTACATCAATAAAATCCGCGTAGAAGTTAGAGCACACAAAGCAGCCGAAAAATTTGCATAAAAACGGGAAAAGAGTATAAGTTAGAGAAAATCATCAAATGAATTGGACCTTTAAATAACTTGAAATTCAAGGAAGATATCAAAGAGCTAGAAAACAGATAAATAATTCAAAATTTTGAAATAATTTAAGATTAGAAAATTTCGAAAAAATTTATTTGTTATTCTTGCGCACCACAAAACTCTGATTTGAGATTCAGTGTAAAAACGTTGCAATAATTACTCTGATTTTTCATTACTATGCAGTAATGTTTTTTGGCTGATTTCTAGCACTCCGTTTTAGTCTTTCATAGGACGGAATAGCAGGAAGATTTTACAATCAAAGAATCTGTGGACTGGCTCTATTAGAAAACGAGAGCAAAGGAGAAAAGTCACAACTTCGTCCACCACGGATTCATTGCTTTCAGTTCACGGAAGATAAGGCGCATGCAATCTGATAAGAAAAAAGAGCTAGAGAAGCATAAGCAATAGATATATTTTCTAAGATTATAATATCGTGGAGATTGTCTTTGAGAGGTTCGGGAAAATACTTTGACACAAGATGAAGAAAACGATTAGCATCCTGAGCGATCATAAGAGTTAGCAAGGTAAGCTCAATGCAAAGTAAATCAAAACCAACATGTGATCTGATCACGATCTCAAAAAAAGTTTGGGATGGGACTTACAATGTTGATGAAAGAGATTTGTAGACAATATTGTTAGATAAGTATGTAAACTCAAGCAGAGATTGCCACCGTCGATAAAACAAATCAAAGAAAAGCCGTAACCTCGATAGATGGGTATCAGTAAGGTGATATATGGTTGAAAGTTAAAATTACAACGATGAGAAACATCTGCGTATTGGCACGTCCTGGAAATAACTCGAGGTGAAGAAGTGGGCTATGCGACAGTAATAATATGTCTTCTTTTGTTACGTATATATCAAAAAGTTTTGAGATTTTGATAAAAAGAAAATTGCATTTTTGTAAAAAGACAAAGCCAGCGCGAATCGTCAAAAGACTCGAAACTGAAATGTCTCTCGGTCCTCTGTGAGATGGCAGTTTTTGTCTGGGGGACTTTACGAATGGCGAGTGATGAGCAGATTCACTTAGAGTGCCTGACTGAATTTCAAAGGGAATCGTTACAGGAGATGCGGTCCTTTCGACACAGCAAAAAGGGGCTGCGTTTCACGCGCAGCCGAGGAGCAGCCACCCACGATGAATAATGTGGTTGCCTTGCAAATGAGCACGCTCACCACACGTCAACGTTCACATTGCTTGTCACAAATCGCTTCCAAGTTTGAAAATTCCATTGGAATCGCATTCAAGGACGCAAAAGTACAACCCCCCGAATTGAATCAAAAGAGGCTTTTCAAGTGTAAACTCGTCTGCCAGGTGTGCTTGCAAATCCTGCTCTTGTAAGCGAATCTAGATGATGTCAAGGTGTAGTAACAAGTATACGAACAGAACTAGCATACTGTTGTACAGGTATAGGTGAAGCACAGTGTGTAAGCAGATGCTGCAAGGTCGGAGAGGGGGCGGAGCGAGAATGTTTACTGTGAGGGGAGCAGACAACTAATTAGAAACATTGCAACTAGCAATAGCAGCAATTTTCTTTTGGACAATAGACTATATTAGTCAGTAAGAGAGGTAGATTATTATTTTTAGATTTACATTATTTATTAGATTTGGTTCACAATGGTCTCAATTACTCCTACTAATGAAATTCTGAAATTCTGAAACAAAAAACACCTCATCGGGTGATAAAAGAAAATAACGTAAAAATATCTTCATGATTAGGCTTCAAGAACTTAAAGATAACGCCGTAAAAAACATCACAAACAAAAGTGGTAAAATACTCACCACCTGAACTTCTAAAAATTCACTTAGATAGAAATGTTTTGCAAAAAAGCTCTAAAAGGTAAATTGAAAAGACTAGCGAGTTTAAAAAATGTAAACAAAAATCCAAGAATACCACTTAACAACGATTTACCTAACAAAATATGAACAAATATTAACCTTTTCAGTGAAAACGAAAAATTCTAAACCGAAATAACGTCAACCAAAAAAAGCTGAAATGGTATTTTTCTGGAAAAAAAGGTTTAGGATATGTCATCTGAGAAAACAAAATTCGAACGTGTAAATAAACTTGCACTTCTGCCACATGGGGTAAAGGATGTATGAACTACAGTATGCCGTCGCTTCTGAAGACTTTATGGCCGAGTCCCGCGTGGAAGGCCTGACTACGATAATTGTGGATGCCGACTGGTTTTGCGGTCAAAGGCGATTAACGCTTGCAGAAATTGTTCTTTGTGCAAGTTCTGTCAACAGTATTGTTTGGAATGTGTGTAGTAAACATTGTCGATCTTCAGGTGCAAGTACTTACGTCCTTTAGTGTTGGGCAGGTGTATTTTCAAACATTTTGTGCTTGAATAGTAGAGTTTTGACTTTTTATATATTTATGTCGAGGTCAAGTTTGCAAGTGAGTTTTCTGGGATGATGTATAAAAAATTTTTTTAATCAGTATGTGAAGTGCTTGTGGTATATACTGAGAAAATATATCACAACTGTAATCGTAGCCGCACTTTTCATAAGAAAAAATATGCATGAGAAATGAAGTAATAAATTCACAATTACATAGATATTCAGACTCAGCAAAGCAATTCACCTAAAAAAAAATTTGCAAGCATGTTTTAGATCGAAATGAACTTACAATCCATGCAACAGCCGATTTCAGTCATTTCAACACAAAGCTGATTTTTAGTAGCATATCTGCACATTTTGCTAAATTATTCTAGCATTTGCAGGCAGTTTCATCAATAAACTTTGAAAAAGCTAGCCACATGTTTCACCATATGTTTTCCAGATGCGACTTCCGCTTCCATTTTCTCTAGTTGCAAGTCTTACAGTTGGGTAATTTGCGTTACAAATTTCACCAATTTTTAGAAGATGGAAAGCCACAACCACTTAGGCCTGAGTGTAACTGCAGATTCAATACCCCATTTTACGTGAAGGGGCAAACAAATAAAGAAGTTATTGGGTTGATTAAAAAATAACTTTGGTTGTTCTTAACGATTCGTAGAAATGTCATTACAGAAAATTTGTGTATAAAAGTATGGTACCATTGGAAAGGGATAATTCAATAAGTTTGAAGTTGTAAGAGATCCTTTACTTACAAAACGAACTAGAACGAGCATAACAAATGCAGCAACCTTTATTACTGCAATGTAAAATTCATACATGAGATACCAGCAACTGAAGTGAAGTGGGCACATAACCGTTAGCCTGAACGAATTTCGAGAAAAGCATGTTTCAAATTTCCCATTGTGAAATGTTCATTACTGCTAGAGATAAGGAAACGTGTTTGAGCACTAATTACTGCGAATTGAAATAAGAATAATTCAGCCTAGCATAAAAAATGGCCCGTTGGGATTATACGAGACGCTTGAACCCAAAGCTAGCGGCTTGCTAAATACAATTTCCGATAGCTGGAAGGAGGACGATCAGCACTTTTGTTTTTCCAGCTATGAGCGCTTGTACGGTTTCCAAGCTTCGACCTTTTACGAGCTGATCGTCGACGTAGAGGATCTCGTCTCCTACGCTCAGCATTGGTGACAACGAAGCTATCGATACCCTCGATATGAAGATGCCTAAATTAAATCCGGTCTTTCTTCAGACAAATAGAAATCTACAACCAAATAGAGCACCTCGTTGCCCATTCATCACTCCTGTGGCTATGTAGAATCCAAATGGTCCTGGTTGCGTTTTTTCAACCATTACAGTCCGAAATCCACACTGATCCAATGCTACCAGCACCGCACGAACAGCCGGAGGTTCCCGTCTTAAATGAGAATTTTTTTTGCACTAGTGGACAGAGGAATTCTAAGAAACAATGAATAATTGTGCGCGTGCAATCTTCGCTTTATGGCTGAAAACCTTCATCTAGTGCAAAACTCGCTCCAAAACAAATTTTTGCGACGCTGTGGTATGCTAGGTATCCCAGCGAGGAGTATGAGTGGAAAAGATGTGTTTTGGAGGCTTCGCATATCACAGTACATAGTTTGAGCAACAACTATCGCGCATGTTATAACCACAGTACAATCAAATTGAAGGCGATGTTTTGCCATTCCTGGTCCCCTGATCGTGCTAGTTCGCAACTCTGCTTCTGTGGGTGTGAAATCGACAAAACTTTGTTCTGCTTTTCTGTTTTTCTCAGACATGAGATTGTGTATTGAGCGGGTCGATAGAGATGATAAACCAATCGCAGTTTTATGGCGTAGATACCCGACCAATGGGCGCGCAGGACTACCCCTTTGATTCGGCTGGGCGGCTGGAAGGCGGAGCTTTGACCTAATTGAGGCTAGATAACGATCAGAGAGCACACCGCGAGAGAGACGCAGACTGCGCCGCGGGCGCGAGCGGCCTCAATTAAGTCACAAATCTCTGCCTTAAAGCCGCCGAGCCAGTTGAATTAAAAGTTATTTTTACTGGGTACTCTCAACTAGTCGTGGCATATAACTCAAGGAATTTTTGGCAGGGATATTAGCCCAGGTATGCTACCGTATCCAGTGCGGAGTATGAACAGATAACAGGTGTAAGCGGCTCCACATATCACAGCAATGAGCAACAACTATCATCATTATTTAGCAAAAATTGTCAAAAAGTCAAATTATCAGGTACTGAATAATTAGAGGTATGGGAATTGATGATCTCCTGTATTTTCCCTTTGTTTCTACGACATCAGTGAAGGTACATTCAAATAACCTGACGTTCAAGCAGGATTCATAGCGGTTGTGTCCGTTTTTCTAGTTTTCGCAAGCAAAAAATTCCAAGCAAGTTCTTTTTAAAGAAGAAAGACATTGCAAGCTCCGCTGCACTTGCTGAGAAGTTGCTTTAAATATAACTTGAGCAATCAATTTGTAACCGCTTAGGTAACGTCCCCATCTTGCCAAAATTGCATTTCTACCAAACAAATATTTCCTAAAATATCTCCCGTTTTATCCCATAAATCTTACACATTTGCGATGTGATGGTTTTTAGAAAAAATTTGAGACCTAGTACCAATCCTCCGCAAACAATAAACAAGCTGCAAAAATTTTTGGTGACTGTAGCACGAAACGCAGTAGCAGAAATAGGTACAAATCTAAAGTCTTTCATCCCTCTTTTATACTAGTTTGTAAAGAAAGTTCCCTGGCACTTGCGAAATTTTTTTTCCAAATTGCTGTAACTTCAAGCAGATTGATTCTTTTTTGAAACTACAAACTTCATTGCAAAGACAATTTTGTCCACAACATATATTTTTCTTGCTGTGCGCAGAAGGGAAAAAGATTGTTGCAAAAAGTGGCCTATTTGTGCAGCATTATCTCAGGCACGATGAAAGCTGGAGAGCTCAAATGCTGTAGTCATGCAGAAGCCTGCTGAGGCTGTTATGGGATCATTCATGTCTTTGCAGGACCACCTGCGAAAAAATTTTTTTTCTAGAAATTAAAAATGCAATATTTTTCGAGTAAGTGACTTAGAAGTCTTGTCATTCTGCATAATGTAGGCCCAATTTTTGATTACTGCGAGCATTGTTAGGGTAATGCCTTACATATCTTTTGGACTGATCATCCAGTCGTGACGATCCCTGCCTTGTAATTTCTGAGCACAAATCGCAAAACTCTAGTGCAGCTGCGGATCAGAAGTTAACAGGCTTCTCAATCAGATCATCCATGATTTGAACGAAATTCTTTGAATTGCACAAAAAATGATCGTAGGAAGAAAAATTGTGAGGTTTTTATGGTTGGAAAGATTTTTATTGATGTGCAGATGAAACACGTCTTGGCATTGATAAAAATCAGAAGCCGTATTGAAAACTTTAGGCTCCCCTCTATGAACAATGTAAAAATCTTGGTGTCAAACTCTGACCGAGCGCCGAAAAAAATGCGTTTAAAAATGAAATTTCCAAAAGTGCCCGGAAACTTTCTTTACAACCTAATAACTGGCATATATTTCGGCAGGATGCACGATTATTGAATAAAACTCCTTGTAATTACAAGACTGGTGCTAGTGTGAGTCTCACTCACCCATGTCTAGAATTGTACTTTTGTTTGAAAATGAGATGGGGGCCCAAGTGCATTACCTAGCACGTTATCGCAAAAATTGAGGTAGTTGACTTCAGTATTACAGGTTCAGCTTTACCTTGGGCCGTAATCCAGAACTTCACATTGAGGGCCAATGCTTGCCGATCTTCTTGACATTCGCTGCAGGGCTAACTGCTCTTCAGAAGATCTGAAAAGTCAAACTTTTTTGATACACAAAACATTATCGGCAATAACTATGTCCTTGACGATTTGCCAGACGTTTAAAAAATAAACGTGAACAAATTTCATATTGCTTAGAATTTTTACGATAAAAATTGCCACATTCCTGCTCGAAAGCTCTCACTACAAGAGGCTCAAAACGCTCCCCGCCCTTCCCCCAAATTTTTTTTGTAAATCTAATTTGATTTTTTTTAATTTCGAAGATTATTCTGATTATTTACAAGAACAAACCAGTCAATGTTATGAAAGAGTGGGCTTTGCTGTGCATCAGTTCAGAGGTTTTGAAATATAAATTCACAGTGTATACTATATCGTTTCATAGAAAAGTCGCATTCTACTTACACTTTTGTTAAAAAGTCTCAAATTTGCACTGCGATCTTTCATACCCATGTCTATAGTTTTTTCTCGGACATTCCTTTACATGCCTGATATTTTGTTTGTTTGTCCCTTGTCTTCTATTTATTTTCATTCTTGTGGCGGCTGTGAAGTTAGCCCACTTTGGTCGTGAGAAGTGTTCTTGTGTGGCCAGTCTAACACTTTATTCTAGAACTGACTGAATTTTACTTGACTGGTCAGGTAAAAGACAATAGATTTACCCCTCGAGAAATAAGAATTTTTCTGTGCATTGAGATAAGCGTAAATAGTCTCGCAAATTCGTTGCTCGTGAGAAATTTGAAGTATTTTAACAACCGAATGACATTCATTTGGAAATGTACATACCGTCTTGCCATCAATGCTGGGTGAAGAGTATTGTAAGCTGGATCTGCAACTCGAGCAGACGATACAACCTGAAGAGGGCCAAGCAGGGGAGCGACAGGAAGCTTCCGCCGTCTCACTGTGTCTGTACTGAGCGAATCATTGCCTATGTGGAGATCCTCAAGACTTCTCAACATGAGATTTTGCCTGTTGTCCTGGACCTAGAATTAGAATTATGAATTTTGATTCTCAAATTACAATGCTAAAAATCTACCTGATAGTTGGGCGCTAGTTGAGGAGAGTAGTACGTCTCGTTTACATCAAAACCCATATCCATTCTTGGCAGCGACGAAGATCGGCTGCGCAGTTTCCTACTCAAAGCTTCATTCACATTTTGCCGTATAACAAAGTCTCTGATTGATTCTCTTGGATTCTCTTTCCGTCTGAAACAATTTCGCATTCGTTAGCAAGATTTCGCTTTTATTAGGGTGGTCGGAAAGTAATTGGACACCTAAAGAATAAATGTAGTTTTCTCAAACAGAAAAATCAATCGGATGTCCAAGTCTTGGGAGATGTTAGTATATGTCAAAATCTTCTGATCGAGGTCTATAGATTGAAAAAAATCGAAATGTCCCATTACTTCCCGATCACCCTAATAAGTGCTACATTATGATGGCATTTTTTCGCACATTTCCTCCACGTTTTAAATTTTGGAATGAAATGTTGCTTCATGCCTGATCATAATTATTTCATATTGATTTTCATAATTTTAAAGTAAGTAAGCAATTATCTGCGTTTTCTGGGAACTCCTATAGGTGAAAGTTTAACTAGTTTAAATACTTGTGCATTTTCCAAAACAATCTCTTTATTAAAAATCCGCTAAATTTGCGAAACGGGCAAGCACAGACTATATGCAGATTGACACAAGTAATAAAATAATTATACCAGTACATAATATAATTTTTGTTGTGCATTTTGGTGTAGGTTATGAATACAACTGCAAGCTAGTCAAAAAGCTATATGGCTGCAAAAATGAAGCAAAACCTACTGTTTAAAGAAAAATTACCTGAGCCTATTAATAGTATATTCATACGATGGTGGCTTGAGCGTTTCCACCTCTTCAGTGGGATACGAGTAGTTGCCCAATCTGTCTGAAAGGTAAAGTTTGTGAAACGAAATTTGGGTAAGGAAAGGAGAAGACTGAATTGCTTAGTTGAATTAGTTAGACTTACACCTATAGGAGTTTTCTCAGTTGCTATGCTCAAAAAATGCCTTGGCGGTATTTTTTGAGCATAGCAACTGAGAAAACGTAGTCAAATACAGGGTGTCCCAAAAGTATGTATCGAACGTTTGATCGTTAATAACTCTCTTCCCAAGAAGTCTTTTGCCTTGCTTCAGGTACCGTTTTGTAGAGCTGGCTTCAACTTAGATTTGCGGTATAGAACGAATCACTCATTTCTCTTCATTACTGTAGGATTACGGTAGAAACTTCAAGGAGGGTTTTAAGCAATGAAAGGCCATATTTTGCCCCAGAAAGGAAACAAAACAGCCTTAAAACTTTTACACTAGGCTAATTAGAGTTGCTGATTATAACTGTAAAGTTCCCAACTTATTATGATGCTTCATTGAAGAGTTATGCCAGGTAAGAAGTAGCGGCCATTTTTTCAATGTTCCTAAAAAGTGGGATTGCACCGTTTAGAAAGCTTCGTAATCTTGTGAATAGTTAATTATTGAACTCAGCGTCCATAAAAACCCTATTACACAAGTTTTCACGATTTTTTGAAAAATTTTGAAACGGCAGCTTTTTTCACATTAACACCATATGTTTCAAGTTTCTACCGTAATCCTACAGTAATGAAGAGAGATGAATGATTCGTTCTATAGTGCAAATCTAAGTTGAAGCCAGCTCTACAAAACGGTACCTAAAGCAAGGCAAAAGACTTCTTGGGAAGAGAGTTATTAACGATCAAACGTTCGATACATACTTTTGGGACACCCTGTATATAAAGAATCGTTAGCTCAACTCAAAAAACTTCCAATAGCCGGGAACCGCGTGGCGGTCCCGAAGCGCGCGGATGCAATCTAGCACCTTTAGCTACTGAGTCACTAGTTAAAAAAGGTGGGCGAACGAACTCCGCTAGTTTTGAGCCGCCTCCGCTGGCAGCTGCTCCTTTTGCAATGTTGTTGCATGTTGCTGCAGGACCAGTAGTCCGCTGAGGCGACTCAAACTGACGAGTTCGTTCCCCCACCCGTTAAAAAAAAAGAACAGTGTTCGACGAGCACGCAGTTGATAAAAGGGACGATGTTTGGTGTATTCTATGAAATACACCGTTTGTCATCTACCAATCTAAAGACAGACAGGCGAGCTAATATCTCAACTGAGTTTCATTCCACTACAAATCGCTTTTTGAGATCTACCCTCAATCTTTCAAATTACTGTGCCGGGGATAGCAAAAAATTGTGGAATTCAATTCAGTGCTCTACTTAGTGTAAAAAAACGAACTATCATTTGGATGAGATGAGAAAATCTACTGAAATAATTCGATACAAGATCTTATATGGAAGCGTAAACTTGAAGAGCAGAGAAATCTTAGCTCAAGGACCTCAGCTGATGCAAACTTCTGTGGAAAAGTGAAATGGAAAGATTCAAAGCTTGAAAGAGTTTTTCTGTAGCACTGAAATACGATAGCATGTGTGCTTACACATTTCTTGTATGCATCATTGTTGAGATTTGAACTCTCTTATTTCATTCCTGCTTCTGACATCATGTATTGTTCTTGATTCGAGAGACAACTTTGATTTAATCAAGCACACCTTTAACTTATGACCTCATCCACGGATTTGAGTTATAAACTGTTGTTCAGTCAAACTTAGGGGGCGGATGTTTGATGAGCGTTTTCACAAAACCACTTTACGAATTCGATTGAAATTAAGTACTGCCGAAAAATGAGGAAAATGGCTATATAAGGAATGATGTGATCAGTCAATTCTGAAGGATGCGGCTAGACAGTCTCGCTTATAATGCCTATCCATCTGAGAGCCTTGAAGCCCTGATAGCTTCATTTTGCGAAGCTCTGAAACGAAAAATGTATGGCTTCTGCTCATGACTCTTCACAGCCTTGATCGGTTGGCTAAATGAGCACTTCTTGCATACACTGTCAAAGTAAATTATGGAGACAGTTTACGACTTTCTAGGGGGGGGGGGGGGAGATCACATAATCACATATACCGACTCTTGGAGCACCCTCCAGAGGAACATTCGAAGCAGATTGTCGTTTCTGGAATACTGTGAAATTGACTCTAGTATTATCTCAAGTGTAGAAAGTCAAGACTACGAATAAAACTAACGACCTCTGCTTTTGCAGTAAACAGATGATGTTGCTGAAATCTGGTAATCCAGTGAAGTGTCCATTTCAGAATTTTGATGGAGAAGATCAGTGACGAAGAGGTCTCATTTCCAACCAATTATGTAGATACGTCCAGGATGTCACAATAAATGTGGCTACTGTTTGATTTTTAATAACTCACTTCTAATAAAGTCTTCCAAGAAGCTTTGAGTGTCGTTTCATAGAGCTGGCTTCAACTTAGATTTGCAGTATAAACACCGATCGCTCTTCATTACTGTATGAATACGGTAGAAACTTCAAACATTGGGTGCCATTGTGAAAATGCTGCCGTTTCAAAAACTTTCAAAAATATTGAAAATTTATGTAATAGGCTTTTCATGGACACTAAATTCAATACTCAATTATGTACAAGGTTGTGAGGTTTCTAAACGATGTAACGCACTTTTTAGGAAACATTGAAAAAACGGTCGCTTGCTTACCTTGCATAACTTCCAATAAATCGTCATGATAAGTCGCAAACTTCACTTTTATACTCAGCAACTCTAGCTAGCCAAGTGTAAACGTTTTCAGGCTGTTTTGTTTCCTTTCTGAGGCAAAATATGGCCTTCCATGGCTCAAAACCCTCTTTCAAGTTCCTACCGTAATCCTATAGTGATGGAGAGATGAGTGATTTGTTCTCTACTGTAAACCTAAGTTCAAGCTAACTCTACAAGATGGTCCCTAAAGCTTCTCGAAAAACTTCATTACGAGAGAGTTATCAACAGTCAAACAGTAGGCAAACACCCTGCATTGTTCCATTATATTTCGAAAATCAAAGGGTAAATCTTTTCATAACAATGCAAGAGTCACTGCCTTAGATTTGGTAACAGTACTCCTTGCTAATTCGAGGCGAATGAAGCTTAAGCGATATGTGTTAACCTACTGATATTACTTTTGTTTTGTTTAGAATTTTTGCAAGGACATCATATTTTTTCAAAAATGTCCCTAGATACTTGGAGAATGTTGTAAGGGTAAATTCGATGCTCGCAAAAATGAAACACCTAAGTGGGAGAAAACAACGAAGTGGGAACTTTAAAGTTTGCTCAGCGTCATTTGGAAAGAAATTTAATCAAGTTAAAACTAAGCTATTGGATTACGAAATAAGTACACATGCGGTGCTTCTGCACGTTCTTAGTTGGAACGCACACAAGTGTTTCCTCCTTTTTTCTTTATTGCAGCTTCTGTCGTTTAACAGAATCAAAGTTCTTCGTTTTTATCGGTCTCGGCCAAAGACTTGTTATTTTAGTCATTTAATCAATGCATTTAATCAATGCAATATCAAAAAGCTTCCAACTTGCTGAAGTAAATTCAATGTGCTTCCTAGTAATCAAGTTATTCAATGTCAAGTACATGAATTTTTTTGAGCTGGAAAAGCAGGTTTTAGAAAGATAACAAGAAAACAAACAATTCAGCGAGAAATTTGAGGTGAAGTCGAAAATTTTCTGCCCTGCTCATGCCCAAAGCATGTGTGGAAGTCTTTTACATAGTATGGGCAACTATTAGTGCAAAAAAAAAAGCTTGCATGTAGTGCAGACACAAAAAAGTTGTCAAAAAGTCAATAGAAAAAAGCTTCTTGCTTCCTTTTTTTTGAAAATGTCAAACGACACTGAATTTTTCGGTTGATGACCTCTAAACTAGCTCAACACATATTCATGTAAACGCTCTCTCCTAGAAAGATTTACAAACGTCCTATTTGCTTAAAAATCATGCACCAACTTTAAAAAATCGAAAAAAATCCCAATATTAAGTTATTCGCACGATGCTCACTGTCTATGAGAAAAGTCTTATAGTCAATTGTATAACTTCACGTAAGCAAGAAATTGGGACAATGGAGCGATCATTTGGCATGCTGTAAAAAAGAATTTGGTGAGTTAGGCATCAAATTGCTAATCAACTGATGAACCTATTGCGCTTATGATGAATAGGAATTTATTGAGAAATTCTGGATGGACAGGCCACTCTTAAAATTTCGTTAGACTGAGCGAAATCTCATTTTATACTAAAAAGTCTTTGTGGTATAACATCTTACCTATTTTCTGCATTTCTCTGTACTTGTCTAGCTGATTCTCGTACGTATGGCTTGGATGGCTTGGTGGATGTGCATAAGCGTTGTTGCTTCTCGGAACTTTGGAGAATTGCGGTTCCGCCTCTGGTGTTTCTGAAAAAGATGAAGATTTAGAAAATTGGTTTTTTGAACATAAACATTACCTAAGCTCGGTTGAGGTTGAGATCTTTGTATGACAGCAGTGGCACATCGTTGAGGTTTACTAGTTGACTGTTCAAAACGTGGAGTAGTAGTATTGGATGTGGATGCACCACTGTTTACCTGAACACGTTTGATTCGCATTCGAAACTTCAGAAGAAAACGAAGATGTAGCCGCTCACCTCGTCAGCAAACCGCACTCGATACGTTTTTATATTTCGCGATGCTGTAGCTGAACCAGCTGGTCGCTGAGGTAATTTCCGAGAAACTTCTGGGTACAGGAGCGGTTTTCTGTAGTGATGTTAGGAAGTGGAGGACGAACGAACCAAACCATAATAACATAAACTAGAAAATCGAGCCTAAGCGAGCGAAACCTGACCTCCATATGATTATAGAAGACGAACGTTTATTTGTTTGGCGACCAATAAAAATGACAATATTATAATTCAAATTACATAAGGAAGAGCAGCATGTACGTTTTGCGATTCTGCGGTTTCGCTAGGAAAAGAAAATAGGTAAGACACTACTTAATCTCTGAGGAATTAGTTGAATTCAAATTATATCATTGCGCTATTTTATGGTAAAGAACGGATCACATGTCTCAAAATTCTTGCTATCACATTTTTGCAAGCGAATTGACTGAAATCAGTTGGTATCTTTCGAATTCTTTTGAGAAAAAGTAGCAGCGGAGTTATCACTTTTGTGCATTCTAACTTTTTCTCAAAGTTTCTCCTTCACTGCTTCTGCTTATTGAGCCAAATTACATAATTGATCCAGCAATTTTTCAATAATGCTTTTCTGCTTTTATGACAAAAGTGAACTTTATTTGACAAAAAAGAAGAAATAGCTGCATCGCTTAATTCAAGCCATTTAGCAGTCTTTTAAAAGTTGGGCTCACTATTCCGATTTCCACAAAGACTTCACTTCTTAAATAATTCTGAACTATACGTAGCATTTACGTCATCACCCTTTGTAGGATCAATGCTTTCCTAGCAGGACCTGTTCTCATGCAAAAAAGTCGTATTGCTTGCTCAAGTGCTTCTAGATTTCCTGCTTTCCGGAGCGATTAAGAAAGCGGGGGAGCGTTGGTTTGCCAGATATGGGAAGCTTACGTAGTTGAAGCAAGTTCTTCGCCATTTTCCGGAAATTGTTGGAAGTTTATACAGAAACTCTTCTAGGACGATTCTATTTTTTTTGTAAACGCCGTCCTGGACTTGGCATTTCGAATCAGGAATCTTGCAACTACAGTTAAACTCTAGCAGCATAGAAAGATCTAGAACAAGTTACTACAGAATTTCGTCCTTCCTAACTACAGTAACCGTTCTGAGATCGCAAAGCGAATAACCGGAATTGCTTTTTAAGATGCGATATGCTGTAGCAGTAATAGAATGCCATAATATCAGTTGTAAGTGCATGAGAATCAGAAATATGCAAATAAACATTAAAACAAAAGTAGGTTGTTGCACATAAATGATTCGCCATTTATTTCTCTTAGTGAATTTCTATTTTCAGCTATCGAATGTGAAATAAAAATGCAGAGAGCTCATTTACAGCCAAGAAACAAAGGTACTATGTTTCCTTGTTATTTTTCGGGCTTCGCCACTAATGACCACAGATTTGCAAAAAATTCCAAGAAAACCGTCACATGCTCGGATTTGATTTTTACATTGAAATCGCATGCATTTAGTTTCATCCGCATATTCTTCTACTCATAACAACGGCGTTGAGAAAAACAGCTATTAATGAGGCCAGCTGCTAAAGTTCATTCAAAGGGGTTTTTTCAGCTTATGCACTTGCTTCTCCCATATCATGACATCATTCGGATGAACAATATGTTTGGCAAACCATAAATTCGAACTAGAGCTCTTCAATAAAGGCATGCTTTTGGCTTTCTGAAATCATAGCGGCTTCTATTTTTGAAAAATAATTTTTATTGAAAAATACCATATAATGATATTTGCTGACGCATGAGAAGCCCAAAAATAGGTTTGATTTGAATACCACTCTTCAAAATGATTTATCTGCACCATACTGAAGTATAGTTGAAGAGATAAATTCTCAGATCTCTTTTTATAAATTAGTAAGACTGCTTTAGAGTTTGAGCCAGACTAGGTGGTTGTCTTGTCCCCCCCCCCCCCTTACCCCTCCCGGAAAGGTGCACGGTAGATTCCGTGGTTATTCGACATGAGGAGATGTATAGATCACTCAGTCGAGGCCAACTTCGCCATAAATTTCATTTTTTTTGTATTTTGCTGACGAAATGAGTTCAGATTTCAGCTATTAGTACCAACATTGCATAATTAGATAATTACACGCATAACGCGCGCTTTGAATAAAGAACATATTATTTGAGTCTGCTGTTGAGAGCAAAAGACGAGAATAGAATGCCCGAATCGACAAAGAAGACGCGAAGAACTTGGCAGCTATTGTTCCGAGGAGGTTTATGGGGTAAAACAGCGTGTCCCTCAGCTGTGCCGAGAGCTTTTCCGCGTGACAACGTCGCGTGGTGACGAAGCGGCCATCAATCAGAAATATAGCAAAGCTGCTATTGCCCCACTATAACAGCCCGAATGTCGATTACTGAACCGAGGAACACTTCGAGAAATATTTGCCAAGCATCTTTTTGGACCATTTATTGCATTATTTGCATGCGAAATGCCAGCAGAAGCTCGATTTGGCGGATGGTGGAAAACTCGTCGCGCAAAATCTAGATTTGCAAAAAAAGTTCGAAGCTCCACAGTCGCTTCGCACAAACGTTACTTCAGAGCTTGAGTTAGACAGAATGACTATTTAGAAACTACTAACATTTAAAAAGGAACCTCTGGTAAGACTTACATATCAATAACAGTTAGCTCCTTTAGTAAGGCTTACATACCAATAACAATTAGCTAAGGTTTAGCTCACAAAAGAAGATTAGTAGAATAGAAAAGAGCAGAGACCTCTTGCACATCTTAATTGAGAAAAGCAGCCTCTTTTTTTTAAAAGCTATGCATGAAGTAGGAAAAAAGCTGCCCTGATAGCAAGCTTAAAGTTTTTTTGCCGAGGTTGTCTTGACAAAAAAAAAGATATAGACAAACTATTCAGAATGTGCTTTTGTATTTAATTCTAGCAGTGTTTAGCGAATATGGATAGCCACTGTCGGCGACATACCTGAAACCTTCGGAAATGAGGTAGTCAGAATTATTGGTATTCGGAGAGAATATAAGAGGAATTTCGATTGCTTGTCTTGGTGAAGGCTGTTCGGAGTCGGCACAGATTCCGCTATCGGTGTCGCTGTCGTGCGGTGCAATCTCTCCTAAATGTATAGATGATTTGTGAGACTTTCGGTTATAAATACGGATAGAAGGAGTGAATAAATGGAACGAAATTGAGGAAGAGGAACATCGTGAAGATCTATTTGACGACCGTTTAGGTAGGCTCTTTATGGCTATTGAAGACATACGGGGGGAACATCTGATGTCGTCTATTTTCAACAAGTGCAGGTTTTTCAGCTATGCGTCGGCGGAACCCATCTTCTCTCTTCCAGCATTCTCCACACTTCATGGCGCGCACCCCTAATCCCAAAATTGTTTAACGTACGCGATCGTAACAATTAACGTGGGACTGACACGAATCTTCAAAGAAGTAGGTGAAACTGTACATACTGCAAGAGTAAGTTCACTGAGAACTTTTTCCGAAAATTTCTCTAAAACTTTTTCTATGCATACAAAAGAAATTTTCTGTGAATGGCACAAAATGCCAAGCCGAGGCGTCAGCATGCCTCGCTAGGAGGATTGATCTTCTTCTTTTCAAAGAGGCATCTTTGAGAGAATCCTTGCATTCACTAGTGAGCTCAGCGAGCAGTCAAAACGAAAGTATTTTTTGGCATTTTCGTCAGCCAATTTGAGTGCAATGTAATCCAGAATTTTTGAGATCAAATTGTGAACTCTGCACTCTAGAAGGGGGGGGGGGGGGGAGTTGCACCAAGGAAAGGCTAAAGTTTTTTTCGCTGTGACCAGGAACCCTATTGTGTTGGACAATTTGCTAAAAAGATTTTTATTTCCAGAAACGAGAGAGAAGGGGCATTGAGACCAAGCTTTTGTGTACTCAAGAATGATGAGTGCTCACAAGATAATTGCAGACTGCGAAGACCGCCAGAAATTTTACTTGCATCAAGATAAGTTCAGAAATTTGCCTACTTGCAGAATATATAAAAAGTTAAAACTTTTGCAGGGCTACCTACCGAGCTGGTGATGCTGAGTGTGTGGTTGAGTTGCAAGGCGAAAATTCTCCGCTTTCGATAGCGGAGAGGATGGATGACGCGACATCGCTGTTAATCTGAACCACACAGCAAATTCATCCAGTAAGAGAAGAGACGTTGAAAAACACAGACAGACACCACAAGTAAATAGTAAACAGCACATATCGAGAAAGAAGGATGAGTGTCAAACTTGTCGAGAAAATATGGCCGAGAGTAACTCGGAGGGCTCTAGGCCGAAAAAGGAGCCACCACACACACTCATACACACACCCCACTAGTTGTGCTAGCCGGGAACAATCGAGGGCGCTGCTGCCTCCCACATGAATACCCTCTTTCAATAACGCAAAATATGCCCGAACTCAAACATCACCACAATACGCGGCCTTTTTTTGGAATCGTCGTACTGCTTGGAAGCGCCTTGTGCCCTTAGCTATAGCATTCATACAGCTTTTTGCAGAAGTTTCCTGTAAATGGGCTCGCTGCACTTCTCCTAGGGCACGAAAAACGATAGGTAAAGGCAGTGGCTAACGCGTATCAGGCTTTTTGGCCAGAGTAATTCCTGTTACCAAGCAAAAACGATGATTTCTTCGTGAATGCGTGTGCTACAAGCCGTTCACTCGTTCGAAAGCACAAAACACCAAAGTTAAACGTGGGCGCGATGAGCACGCGATATAGAACGAGGCTACAAAATGATGAGGCCTAGAGCATAATTTGATAAACAAGTGTGAACATTTAGAATCCTATGGAGTAGTGCGAGAAAAACGGCCATGATTACACGCAATTGTTCTCTTTCGCCCTGCCCCAAACAATGCTGCGTAATGAGGGAGAAAAGGAGCCTCCAAAAGAGAGCCAAAGCATATACCAAAGGCTTTTTGTGTGAGAGCTGCTACTTTGTCAACTGCGCTCTGAAAAGAGAGGAGTGAGCAAGAGTTTGGTATTGAAGCAGCGCTACTGCTGCTGCTGCTCCTCTAACTCCACACATGATAATGGCAAGTGTACATAGAAGGAATGCTGCACGGGGGGTTCTCGAACAAATCGAGAAAATAGTTGTGCCAATTAGCATCACTCGTGGCCTGCTGCTGAGTTTCTTCAGCGAGAACTCTTCGGCACATACGTAATCTGACACTTGGAACGAGGGAAACGCCGCTAACCACTTTGCAAACCAAAAAAAAAACTGTGTGGAAGAAGTTCATAGCCAATGCTGATGCGTGGGCAACACATGTAGGGCTGATAGGTAGCGTATGGTGTCGAAGAAGTATTCATAGCGCCAACAGGGCTCTAGGGAAAAATAATGTAGCACCCACGACGCCACTGAACAGCGGCACTTCGACGCAAAAAAAGGCACTTTAAATCTTGTACATACAAATAAAATGGAAAAGCAGCAAACATAGCAGTAAAGTGCAGCAGAACGTGATTAACTCTCCAAAATTATACATCTCATAGTAAAGAAACCTAAATAACTGAGCGCTTGCGCAGTTCTCATCTTAGCGAAAGAAACCTGGCCGTAGAGGATGGAGGTCAACCTCCTCAAGGAGGTGAAATTGGTCACACGAATGCGAAATTTACGTGCGTAAGAGGTTGTCGCGCATAGAAAATGAGGCACAGCCGTCCGCCACGGAGAGTCCTACGTCCGTTCGCATTCCCTCTAATAACGCAGAAGAATCTGAGGATTTTGGAGAATTTTACTATGAGAGGATATCGATGAGTGTAGCTTTGAGTAACGTATATTATTCCCTTCCCTAGTTTAGCCTAAGAAAGTGAAGTACGGAATATTTGCTGTGCGGATGTGGCTACTTCCGGCAAGAATGATGTTATGCAAAGTGCATAGAAATGATGGTCAACTGATAGATTTATGGCAAAGCAAGATGAGCGATTTGCTTGCTTTATATTAGCTATCATATGTTTTGTGAGGATCCCAATAGAACTGTGAGCAGATAAATGGTTATGGGAGCTGTCAAGGAGAGAAGAGAATTCAGAAGCATCAACGGTAAAAGTTTTTTCCCTTAATTTTGCGATTAGCATTTCTAGACAACATCAAGAAAACCGAGCTTGCGTGGGTAAAAGCACAAAAACATCTACGCAGCAATCATAAGAACGTCGGAAATCTTATTTGTCATATGACATAAGCGCATAATCTGCTATTAGGGGGGGGGGATTACGTAAGGGGAGGTCTATAGAGAGATGAAAATAATTTCGATGTATAGCCTTCGCGCTGAAGGGAATTATATGGCGATGCTCGGGCTTTCCTGTGGCGCTTTGTCGTGTGCGTCGAATAAAGTGGAGGAACGAGGGGAACGGCACTCTGCAGGTTTTCCGCCGCGAACATTCGTCAAACTATCGAAGCAAATCATAAATGCTGAAAAGCATGAATTCGTTATTTCAAAATTCTCGCAGCATTGAATTTTTATGGTTGGGCTGAGGCAGCAGCCGGGACTATGTATGGAACTGCATGAAAAAACTCCGTTCTGCGAACAAAAGCTCCTAGGAGGAGATGGAGCAGAAAGTTGGGTGTTAGAGAAGTTCTACCCAACCAGCATGTCCTTTAATAAAAAGCGTGAAAAGTGTTATGTTAGTATTGAAATGAAAAGAATTGAACCTTCCTAAGCAACTTTTCACGACTGGAGCCTCGTTTCAATTGAATTTCGAAGCGGACTGAGCGGATTGTGTCGATTGCTGCCCTCTTCTTCTTTATTTCATTCAGACAAAGCACAACAGCTTCGCATTTGGGTGAATGCGTGGAGCCTCTGCTACTTTTTTTTCTATGATTTTCCTTCATTATGTTATTCAAAAATAATCTTGTAACGGCGAACGTCAGAGATTATTACTAATTGCATGAAAACAACATAAAAGGTGTTTAAACATTAGTGACGATTCAATTTTACTGATATTTGAACTTTCGATTTATGATAGTACTTTAGAAATTTTTAATTCAGCATGGGAAACTTAATGAGCAGATATCTTGTATAGAAAGCATATGAGAGCTTGCATAATTGTGTTCACAATCAAATAGTTCAAAAAAGCAAATGTACTTTGCAAGAACCCCTACAAATCATGCTATCCCATAGGCTGAAATTCCTAACAATGGCAACAAAGAAGGAAGAGCTGAGTCCGGAAGGGGAAGTGCGACAAAATCTACCACGTTTGTTTCAAATAGAGTTTGTCAATAATTTGCCACACTGTGGGTTTGAATGTAATTTGTACTTGCGCGGTTATACACTTCCTTCGCTCGTTCTTTTGATCACGCTTGCAAATTGCTATGTAAAAACAGCTGCTGTTGGAACAACTTCGGACCTTTTTTGTGTTAGTTTGTAGAAATAAAAGACTGCTCTAGGGTGAAACGTACAATTGTTTGTAAAACGCGGAAGGAAGGATTAAATTTCCTGCATCTATTAGACTAAGGAGTAGGTATAAAATCTTTTAATGCATAACAAATTAAGCAGGGAGCTGCAGGAGGTTCCTTAGAACACAACGGCTATCAAAAACTTGGAACTACTCTAAGACAAAAACCAATGCAAGTCACATTAAAATATATCCCTCGGACATAACTAGAGGTAATTTTCTGAAATGTAAGACTTGTAGGACGTTCAGATAGTATTCTGGAGTAAAGCAAATCACATCAGAAACATTGAATACAGCGGAAAACGCATCGCATCTTAAGGGCACGAAATCCTTAATGCTATCGAAAAAAGCCTAATCGGTTTGAGGTGCTGCTGTGCACTTGATAAGAAGGTGTGAGACTTAAGAAAACTGGAAAAGCAAACATAGAGTCAATCAGAAGGGGGTTGCTCTTTCTAGAGAAAGTTGAGTATTAATCAGAAGAATCTACTGTATCGGAACTGAATATAGCACTATTTGTGAAGCCAAATTTCTTTTCGGAATTCCATATTTTCCCGGCAGTTGTCAGATCTGAAGGCTTATCGCTCCGTTCTTTGAGGACTTCGACTAAGTCGCTACTAACAAGTCATCTTTTTATATCTATTCTAGAATCTTCTTTAGCGGTTTGGACTGATAAAATCTCTTTTTGTCAGATATGAAAGCTTATCGCTTCGTTCTTTCAGGGCTTCAACTAAGTAGTCCAGATGTACAAGCACAATTTACGTAAATGGAAAAACATCCAATACCACATCATATTTAGTCTGGCTGGTAACTAATCCTCCTTAATTCGCTACTGCCTATCAGGAACAAAATGCAAAACAGGTTGCGTAACTGTGAATGTGCTACTGGGTCTTTGAAAGGAGGGCAAAAATCTTCAAAAAAAAAACAAGAATTTCATCAGCAAAGAGTAGATTAAGAAACTCTGTGGAAACTAAAACAGTTTTTTGACAAATTTGCCAAAAGAATTTTACATCTAGCGCTTTCACAAGCGTTCACAAAAATTACATGACGTTTCCAAGTATTCCATGCATGAAATCCAGTTGACGAGGTAAAAGCTGGAAAATCATGATGAGGTACGAATGTGCGCTTCCACTAATAGAAATTTGAGGAAGAGCTTATGCGTAAAGCCAGACGATGGTACGAAAGAGGCTTTGGTGTCTGGAAACGTGAAAACAAGATAATCTGACTATTACAATCACTAGATTCAGTCTAGGTGGAAGTTAGATAGACTGATTTGCTTTGAGGGTTTTATGGATGTTTGTGAGAATTTAAAATCTCACATTTTGCAATGAAAGTAAGAAACTGCCTCTAAAAATATGTATACGTTATGATCACGACAAGTTAGAAATTGCTGATATAAACAGCTACCAGTTCGAAGAGCTTTCGATCTGAAATGCTTGGATAGCTGCACTTTCACAAATGGCTTTCGCTTCATTGATTATACTAATACCAGTCCGTACAAGTTGAAAACACCTGGCATCAGATGGCGTTTGAATCCATCAATTCAGTATGGATGAACAGGAACGGCTACCACATTTACATTTGTCTGAATGTGAGATTGCAGTCTCATTGGTTTAGCCAGATTAAGCAAAGAAATCCATATGCGAGTAAATAAATTTTTGTAAATCTAACTCAAGGATCCACAACTTTTGAAGGCGAGTGAGCTGCTTATGCAGAAGAGTAACTAGTAGAGAATTGTTGTAAAATTCTATGGTACTTCAACAGGTACCGTCCATTCTAATAGAAAAAAAAGAGGAATCCGCTTTGAATGCAGTTTGTTGCAGTTAATACAGTCTGTACGATAACTACCCAAGTTTGATATTTTCCCCTTCAGAAAGAAAGAGCGAAATGGTTCAGGTTAGTTTGATTTTCAATTTTTTGACTGTATTCAACGATCTATCCTCACTACTGATGAATTTCGAGGGAGACCGTAATCTTTGTCTAATTTACGTCTAGTGGCAGCAAAGAAACGACATCTAGAAATTTATTTGTTTTTAGTATTTTGAAGCAAAAGCTCCCAGAAATTAACATTCACTTGTTTCCACTCGTAAAATTATATTTTGAGCCTCAGACACACTCACTTTTTGTGTAGAAATATTAAGGGGTCTGCCACCTTTTTCGTATGAATTCAAGGTCTAGCAATAGATTGCAAAAAACTGTTTGGCTAAACGTATATCTCTTAATATAGTGCCAAACTTTCGTTTTCCCGTTTGATGGCGAACGCAACAATTTACAGCTATGCACGCGAAAATTGGCAAAATTCCAAGGGCTCTATGTGCAATGGTGCTAATCAAATGTGAAGCCATAAGCCATTTACAATGTTACCGTCATAAGCTATGCTTTTGCATTTGAAATTGCACACAACGAGCACAAATTCGCACAGCATTTTTATCATGAATGTTGAGTTATGCTTTTCTAAGAAAAGAGAAGAGCTCGAGAATTTGATTTTGAAGCTTCTTATAAAAACCCAAAACTGTGATATTATTCAGAAGATCAATTTAAGCACGAGATAGTCTCAGCACTTTTGCAAAACTGTGTAAATTAATTTCAAAATCTCGAGCTCTCCTCCTTTGTGTCCGTCTCTGGTGCCCTACTAAATGTTTGCGTAGTTCAAATTCCCCAAACGGCAACTTCAGTTAGTTTCAGTGAAAGCAAAAGTTTCATATTTTACAATCCTCGTTCGATCAAGGGTCATCTGAGAGGGCCTTCACTATTCTAAGAAATAATTTACCCGTTGTCCTTGCTATCGTTGAAGCTAACGAAACAACATGATTTTTTTCAGCCTAATAAATTCTTGGCTTCAATTTCGAAACGAAAGATGGGGTCCAATTCTCTTCATTACTCCTGCTTCAAGAACAGGCATTAACACAAATCCTGAATTGAAAGCGATGTGTTTAGACGGGCAATATTTTCAGGAAAGAAATATTCTACGATTTACAAAGCTACAATGTATAATAGAAATTGAAGACATTATCAGCTGAGATGAAGTCATTTATTCTGCTAGTGTGTATAAGTAACAGTTGAAAGACACAAGCATCAACATCCGCATAGCAGGAACAATTGATTTGATTGAACACTGAACAACGAGACCATTTTGATGGGAGAAAGCTTCGGAAGTTATAAAAAACCTCCACTTCCCCGTACGACTTCTTCTTCACTGATTAAGCTAATACCAGGCCTGTGCATGGTAGAAACATTTGGTATCATTACTGCATCTAAATTTGGCAATTAGAGGAAAGGTAGAAGGGAACCATTGCAATTTTATACCTTACCGATTTTTCCAATTACTTTGGATTTTGGGTCCATAAACTGGGAAATTCGTTGAAGGGAAACATTCGAAAGGACTTCGGTGCGTGAGTATACAGATATCTGCGAGAGCAAATTCAAAGCTATTTTTAAAGCAAAATAAGGCCATTCTCAATAACGTTTCTAAGAATTAGAATGAAAATATCCAATTCACGACAAGTAACTGAAGAAGCCGAGTTAGAGGATTACATTTGCGAAATAAAGAGGGTGTGCTTTTATGGGGTGTGCATCGATTTGATATCGATGAAATAAAAATTCTATAAGATAACACTCAAGGTTTCGAGTGAGCTCACTATTTCAGATTTTTTTCATCTAATTTTATCACGAATAGCTCTTCAGTCGTGAAAAGAAGCTTACATTTTTATTACACCTATTTGCAACAAAGATTTAACAATTCCAGTTGAAGTTCTTCTAATAAGATATAAATTGCTTACAATGGTTCCGTTGTAGACTTCGCGCTTAAATTGAAAATTGCAGAGTACTAAAGTAAACTGAGCTGGCATCATTTTCACAGAAGTTACGTAGTGATCCTCCATCAGTTTAGAATCGCTAGAAGTTTTCAGGATATTAAGGAAGTTCAAAAGTTTAAAACTCTTACATTTTTGTGGTCTTCAAAATCACAGAGTTAAACAAGCTTGTAAAGGACTGCTTCCGAACTATAATCAAATCGAATACAGCGGGGAATTGATTGGAATCAAAACACGGAAGCAGATATCGGAGTCCCTTTTTAGCCTGATCGTTGGTGGCGAAATACAGCCCGTATCTAAATAGGTGAAATAATTTTGTATCCAGAAGTTCAAATGCAACAAAGTCTAGAATCTACCTTTTTTCCCTTCTTTCTGTCTCATAGACGAACTCCTGCACTCCATTATCAGTTACAAATTTTCCTTTGAACTTGAGCTCTAATACATATCGGACGTCAATAGCAGTATTGGCACCAAGGATCAGTGTTTGAATCTCAGTCTGAAAACGAAAAAAGTAAGAACGTGATTGTTTGTAAATTTCTTACCTCTTCGTCGTATGCTCCCTTCCTTACGGACATCGACTTCGGGGAGCCTTCAAGATGGAGTGAAACATCAGTTATCTTTATATTATTTCCTTTATGGATGTGTATGCGATTCGAATCTCGGTAGGAGTTGAAAGTAAGTGCGACGTGCCCATTAAAAGTCTTTAAAGGATATAAGCAACGAGTTAATAAAGCAAACTTCAAGAAGAACCAACCTACTCTGTTTGATTTATTATAATCAGCGAAGAATGAGAGTTTAACTCTGTAGCGTTCAGGAACATTACCATAAGGAATTGACTGAAGTCCAACATCTTCAGGGAGAATGTTCTTGTTCAACAGCGACGCAAATGCGATGGCTGCGTATATGAGACTGAAAAAATCCAATCAAGCACATGGTACAGTACTGATAAGAGTGGTTGTTAGATAAGGTTACAGTACCAAGATACGAGACAGATTCCCATCCATAATAGCAGCACTCTAGCAGAACAGAAGCTGAATTTACGTTGTACAAACTTCTCAACGGTTGGCATGTTAGCTAACCCAAAGCTGCTGCTTGAGCAGGTTATGTTTTTATTGACATTGCACTTGAAAACAAGGTGTGTTCGTTTACACACTGTAGATGCTTCAGAACATTTACTAATAATCTGGGGTAACATAGATTTTGAACGTGGTGCTGTTACGCACTTTTCCAAAAATTGATAATACTAAAAAAACTTGTCAAATCTCAAAATGATATTGGCACAAAATCGTAGGGTATATTTTAGCTTTGTAGTTTGGGACATTTGTAGTAGTCTCTGGAATTTAGCGACCGTATGCAGACGTATGTAAAATTTTGGTCAAGTCAATAAGAAGTTATAAATCAGATTTTTCCAAACCTCTCAATTTCCTACTGCAGTGCTGGACATAATTATAGGGACACTCTAGAAATCGTCGTAATTTTCGTTCTTGTCAGTGAATCTGTCTGAAACTTTGCTGTACGGTGCGCATGTAAGCCTACCATAACTCCTCAGAACGGCTTCCAATCCCGTTGATTCCGAACGGAGAAAAATGGAAAAATTCGAAAAAGCCTGTTTTGCAAGGTGGACATAATTATAAGGACACCTGGCCTTTTTAAACATTATCGCATTCCTTGGCTCCCGAACTTTTTTGTAGAGTTACATCCCAGAATATGAAACTTTTGCAGCACCTAAGACCTGTCATGCTACTCAAGGAAAGATGATCCTTGCATTTTTCGTTTCCAAAGGCATCAGAAGTCAAACTGCGTCAACAAACAGCTGGTTTGAGGAGTTTTCAAGCCCGCGTTCATTTCAAATGACATTACTGGAATACTCTTAGCCTTTTTGATAGATAAGGTGAAGAGCGGTTTCGTAAACTCCGCGTAATCGCTGATTTTGACGGACAGACTCCAACCTCAACATAGGATTGCCGCGCTTTTAAACCACAAAACTCACTTTCCAATGTTCGTGAAATGATGGACTCGATTTATTCTATTGTCTACATGGAGACGCAGCTTTTGCAACAACTTTCAGATTTTCTCTAGTGCTGCAGTTGGCATTTAGATTTGAAATACATTCCACGAAATTTCTCTGCGAGCAGTAGATCCAACACAATCACAAATCTCACTATATCCTTCTCTGTTTCATGTCGCATTTTACGCGGTAGGTGAGATTAGTTAAGATTTTGAAGTTTCAAGCGCTCTCCTGCTCGATTTCTTGATTTGAGTTGGATATGATTGTGCAGGGTGCTCCACTCAACTCTCAACGGATGACAACTGCGGCTGAACCAGAATGTGCAACCCCGAAATTTTTTCCTGACTAGGCACACAAGTTTATTGTTGTAAGTGCATTGTTGCGGCTACATTGCAGGGTTTTCTGTAACTTGAAAATCGAGTTTTGTGGTTTAAAAGCGCGACAACCCTATGGTGAGGTTGGAGTCTGATTGTCAATATCAGCGATTACGCGGAATTTACGAAAGTGCTCTTCACCTTACCTATCAAAAAGGCTAAGCGTATTCCAGGACTGTCATTTGAAATGAACGCGGGCTTGAAAACTCCTCAAACCAGCTGTTTGTTGACGCAGTTTGACTTCTGATGTCTTTGGAAACGAAAAATGCAAGGATCATCTTTCCTTGAGTAGCATGACAGGTCTTAGGTGCTGCAAAAGTTCCATATTCTGGGATGTAACTCTACAAAAAAATTTGGGAGTCAAGGAATGCGATAATGTTTAAAAAGGCCAGGTATCCTTATAATTATGTCCAGCTTGCAAAACAGGCTTTTTCGAATTTTTCCATTTTTCCGTTCGGAATCAACGAAACTGGAAGCCGTTCTGAGGAGTTATGGTAGGCTTACATGCGCACCGTACAGCAAAGTTTCAGACAGATTCACTGACAAGAACGAAAATTACGACGATTTCTAGAGTGTCCCTGTAATTATGTCCAGCACTGTATACAGTTTGATTGTTTTCTTTACTAGCCTGTATTGCGGAATAGAGGGTCAGTCGTTTCCTTTCTCACAAGCATTCATCAAACTGAGCACTGTTACGAGGAGAATATTATTTAATTTACAATAAACAAGAATGATAATAATAAATATGATAAAATGATAATGACACAAAAATTTCGAAAGATTAACTTTTTACTTGTTACCAATTCTTCTTTCCAACTGAGGAGTTCCGGGGAAGACTTAGAAATCAAGACGAACTCCCTAAGAGAAGGAACGAAACGGAATGAGAAGTAACATATATAATCTTCTCTTTTATTTGGAAGAAATTGTCCTATGGAGCATACTGTGGCTCTCATTTTATTTGAGAAGAATTTGTAATTCTCACCACTTTTCACTGCGCAAAGCAGTTGTTCATCGCGGTGTTCCTTCATATTGTCTGAAATCCGGATCCAAGAGGAAATTTGCACTCATCTCGTCGCTACAAATCTTCTGCTCTGCTGCACTGTATATAGTCTGGAGTAGAGGGGGGGGGGCTCATAAAATTCGCAAGCATTGTGGTGCATGGCAACCGCAGGGACCACCAGGTACCTAAAGGAGGGGGGAGGGCGTATCAGGTTGGCTAAAGCTCCCGGACATTTTCTGACTAAATTTGCTATTTCTCGAAAATTTGCAGCTGTACTCCCTCTCGCTTGTTGATGTGTAAGCAAGTGGGAAAATAAGACCAATGGAAGCGGAGTTTGCCACTTTTCAATTACTCGCTTTTCTTATTGTTTGAGCTCAATCCGTAAAAACTCTGCACATAAGTATGCAAGTATATCTGTACTATAAATCAAAGAAGGCGGGGGTTTCATAGCTTATAGAAGTTGGAGATCTGGGTAAGGCAAAATCATATGCTTTGCCATTTTCGCCTGAATTTCCATAGAAAACATTGATAATGCTTGTGCTTACAATAATTTTGTAGAGACTGCTTTCCTCTATCCAATGCAGCATGTCCCAATCAGTGCTTACATCGAAACAAAAACTTTGTCTAAATGCAATGTCCGGGAACTTTCAAGCCAACCTAATATATTAGGTCGTTCCGAAAGTAATGTCGCTTTTTTCGAATGAACGCCACTATTAGTGTAATCAACAATTTTAAGAGATCGTAGGAGTATTCGATGCAGCATTTCATCCTCTTTCTAACGTTTTAACTCCACTGCATAATGTTTAATGAGCTCTCGAAAAATTACCAAAATTTGCGACTCACGCTTTTGCCATGGTCAAATTCGGCTATTTTTCTAAATTTTTGTACCAAATCTCCGAAATAGTACAAGTGGCAGGTAGATAGAGCAAACACTATAGAACACAGAGTAATTTTTTCTTTTCCTTAGCTTGTTTCTCAGAGTTTCTACAATCAATTTCTCAGTGCCATCAAAGGGTGTAGGACGATTCGCACGACCGTAATGGTTTCCACGGGACCACCGCCGGGCGCGAAACACCCTGCGGCGGCTTTTGCCTAAGCAAAATAGGGGAAGGAAAGATTTGCGGCGTGCATTACATGTTAAGACAATTCAAACTCAGGGAAACGTTGGAGACCGCCCGTGCGAAAAGACCGTCTCCCCCATCAAATTCCATATTTAATCAAGTCAAACATCACAGAACAACAACCGGCAAGCGGCTCGGGTGTCATTTGATGCGGCTTTTTCTCCTCTTTCTAGCGATTGTTTTTGTTTCCGATTCATCAAGTTTTCCGGGATAAAATCTCATAATTCAACTTTTCCAAGGGACCTCAAGGTGTACCCGAAATTTTCGAAAGTTGCTAAACCGAAGCGTTGAATGCTCGTTTGGTTTGTAAAATTGTTGCCAAACCATAATCCATCTTTGCGAGTTTCAAAATCCGTAGACTTGTTGGCGTTTGATGCACTTGTGTCTGACAAGGGAAGGATACTTCGTGACCGTGGCCTTCTGCAATGATGAGATGTATATTAATAGATGCGCCTTGAAACGCTGATTCTAAATCTATGTTCATTATCTGTTGTGCGGCTTCCTGAAAGAAATTGTGAGTTTTTTCCATTTTGATTCTACGAGATTTAGGCAATCAGAATCGTTATTATCCAAACTTTCTAAGCTCTGATTCATTGGAGACACTTTTTCTGAACTCAATGTAAATTTTTATTTCATCTGGACGTTCTTTTGTAGCGCGTAAGTGGCCATGCCAACGATATTGGTGAATTCTGCATCAAAAACAATGCAAATTCCGGTTGTAAGAAATGTTCATAACTTCTTTTGGAAGAGCGCACAGCAGATAACGAAAGTAGATTTGTAATTAGCGCTTCAAGATACATTTAATGGTATATGATTCATCTCAAAAGGCCACGGTCACCAAGTATCCTTTCCTTGTGAGACGAGCCCGCTAAAATTCGGTGGTTCCATCAAAAAATCTATACAAAAATTATGACGAGCTCTGGAAAGTAGAAAAAAGTTGTGCTGTTTCCTGTAGGATTTGCTCCATCCATCCATCACTTGGACTCCTTCTGAGGTTTATAAAATTTTAGAAAAATTGTGAAACTTGGCCATCTCAAATAGCATAGGCCGCAGATTTTGACTCTTTTCTGAAGACTCATTGATTGTATTGCAGCAGCTTCATAACCATTAGAAAGAGAATGAAATGCTGCATCAAAGGCTGCCAGAATCTCTTACACATCTTTGTTCCACGAGATGTGGCATACGTTTGAAAAAAGCGACATTACTTTCGGAACAACCTAATATTTATACAAGTGATTTTTGCTCAGTCGTCAAGGCTGTTTCAAGGGCGTCGTTGTTTTCGATATGCCATCAAAAATGCCAACAATTTGCATAAAGCTTCTAACCACCTATGCGCGTTACAGACAGTTCGGTACCTTTCTATTACTTACACTATACCAAAACAATTGTGCATTGTCTTCCCTACAAATTTTAACACTTTGTAGGAATGAAGTTAAAGGCATGCGCACATTTCTGGATGGAAACTACGTACCGGCAACAAATAGTAGTAAGAAAGGTGGTATTATGACAAAAAAAATTATGGAAGATACTGGTTCTAATAATGCAAATCCGTTGTTGTAACCTTTGCACTTTGAGCAGTCACTTTCTTCCACTTCCTGTCCCATATCGCACTTAGAATAAGGATTATCTTTTTCTTGCAATGGTCTAGACGATTGGCGGAAGTTAGTCCAGAATGAATGCAAAGAAAAGTCAGCTGCAAGCATTATTTTGTAATGACCGGTCAATCAGAAGAAAAACCAAACCAAACCCATGAAACACTGTGGTGTAATTCTCTTCAAAGGATTGTCCCTTGTAGCGCAATTACGTCACGTCTAGGGTAAAACATCAAAGAACATTTGAAGGTCTGACAATTTTTCCTTCAATGGAATCCTGGAAGCTTCTCTTATCTAGACTACTTTTGGGTCCTACATGATAAATTTTCGCTTCAAAAAGGTCCCAACTGGAAGGCCTTATTTTATCTTGATGTAACACAGAAAGCTGTATAGTATTTGCCAAACAAATGCAGTTTAGCCTATGCAGTTGATACTGTGAGAAATACGTAAGACTGAGAATTGGAACACGAGTTGTTTCAGAAAAAGGCTGTTTTGACAGATAGATACCGATATGGCTAAAGTAATTCATCTTTTGTATGGATGCGATTACTCATCTTTAACTTTGCGATTTTTATGTTGAGCTATGTGAACTTTCCTCGATAGCACTGATTATGTCTTGGAATGAAGGTCTTGGCTGTACATCTCTGAATATTCGGAAATGGAATTCTTCACACAAGCTAGCTGTTAGGAGATGCAAGTATAGGAGACGATCAGGGATTAGCAACAGAAGACGAAAGCAAAGTTCTCGATCAGGCTGTACCATAGGTTTATAACATCTTTTTCTCATTTTCAAATCTCTGGGAATTTCAACAAAACCTCATATTTTGAATGTGAGGAGGGAAAAAGGGCTATAAACTGGTATTATGACCTCCGCTGAAATGAGTTGCAATAAATTCAAAGTTAGTTTATAATAGTATTAATAGTATATCAATAGTATTTGATAGTAACGGCCTTCAACCTCCACCACTTCTATCTCTTATAAATGCTCTCTTCCTCTTTTTTACCTTTCTAGATTATTTTTTGGATTTAAAAGCACGGGAGCAAACATGAAGGCATTTGAAATTTTAAATTTTCAATAATGCATTTGGAAAGATTTGAAAATTGGATATATGTTGTATGACATGTATGATATATAACACCGCTCATGTAATATTTCTTGAAAAAACGACGCACAGTCGCCCGAGTCATGTGACATCACCGGAGGAGGCCAGAGTCCAAAATCGTTTCAAATTTTTGCTTACGGTAGGTTGCCCAATGAATAGGCACACTGAGTAACCTACTGTAAGCAAAAATCTGAAATGATCCGTGGAATCCTTTTACTCTGTCCAAACAGGCACTTCTGTATATTAGAGGATGCGCCGTGCTGAACTAAGTCGAATGGTCCTTGGATTAAGAGTTCATCCACCCTGAAGCGAGATATGGCCACGCATCGGTGATGTCACATGAATCGGGCGACTGTGTGTCGTTTCTTCAAGAAATACGAGGTATTGCATATCCATATCTCATGTAATTAAAATGAGGATTTCGCTTTGCTAAAAAACAGATGTTGACTTTGCTGAAGTCCGAGAGGAATAAAAACTAGAACCGCGCAGTTTCACATAGCCAGATGTCCGTCACAAATTTCATCATCATAGTGCGGCGTGCTATGGTCTCTACAAGTGTGAACTACGTCGAATGACGTCGTATGATCATAATTTTTAAGAAACACATAGAGCCTCTCGGATTCCTACCCGCTTGATCGGGCTACGAGAAAAGTCTCAAGTCGTAGTCGTCGCCTCACTGGAGTCACACTTTAAAAAAGAGCTTAACCTCTCAGTGTAATGTTAACTTCAGGATCTACTTGACACCGAGGGTGTCATTCTAGGGGCCTTCGACAATCTTATCTTGTAGGAATTCTGAAACACAGCTTTCTCAGGGCTTATGACGATTCATCAGTACATCTAAGAAAACTTCCAGCAATTACACGCATTTTCTAAACGCCTGAGACAGTCAATCTACTTCTTTTTGAAGTGTAAATTCAACGAACATGGCTATGCTTATGCTTTCAGATTTTAAGATTCGCATGGAATGTACACCACAGAGAGCATACACCATATTAGACAGCATACACCATATTAGAGAGCATACGGTTTGCGGGAGGTTTTGGAGGAGTTATGAGCTTTTAATAAGCAAAAAATCAAATGTGCAAATAGGACCAAAATATTCGTAGTATTTTTTAGCGCTTTAATATAGCAGTGATGATAATCAGAGCAACTTTTATAATGAATTCCCTCAAATTAACAAATATATCACACTTGGTTTGCTTTAATTAAGCGGCTGGGAAGTAGCAACTTAATTTATCCTAAATTCACATTTGATTTTTGCTCCAATAAGAACTCATAACTCCTCGTCCGCAAACGTTCCGCAAATAGGGAAAGCAGATTTGGAATCAGCGTTTTATGCTCTTTTTTAAGGGGTGCATTCCAACTGAAAAGGTTACTTCGGTGAACATGGTTCCCTTGTATGATTTGTAGGTTTTTCCGTAACTAGACATTTGATATGGCAAATTCAGATTCTGTTATGTATATTATGTTGCAAGCTAATTGCGCGCAGATTATCTAGGAAGGAGGCCATGCATAATCTGAACACAACCACAACCGTAACAATCTTTTATTTTGCAGTCGCAGACAATAGCTGCCAACCTATATTTTCACTTACATGAATTTGTTGGAAAATTCCTACAAATTATGTCCAATGATTTCTTCTCGCTTACGCTTTCTTCTCCGCATTCAGAACAGGTCGTTTCAAGCGACTATAGTGTTAGAAATGTCAAGACTCATTTCTGTCACAAGCGATTTTTATTCGTAAAAATTTGGCTGTAGTTGGAGGAGCGGGAGAATCAATCAGAAATCAGAAAATGTGTTCCCATGTGACTATTCCTTGAAAAGCTAATTAATGTTGTTGGGTTATAGGTGTTGCGAAACATGCAAAGACATTGCAAAAACGTTGAGGAAAACAATTGTACAATTTGGCAGACTTGAACATGTTTTTCAAAGTCTCAAGATATCGAAAAAAGGATATTTGATGAGTATGATTTTTCGAAACCTTGTACTCATCAATTAACGCTTTTTTGGCAAGCGTTCGCAACAGTATGTGGTTTGAGCTTACTATAACTTCTTTGATTTATACTCGAATGTGGAATCCTTAGTATTAGACGTATAGGCTCATCTTTTGGAGCCACTACCAGTCCATTCTGCTGCAGACTAAGTCAAAAAATAAAAGTGCTCAATTACAAATTAAATTAATATCAATTTGTTTTCAAAAATCTGTAAATGTGGATTTTGTAGGAAACTCCACTACAAGGCGCATACCATAACTTTGAAGAAGATGATGATCTTTGTTTGTAGCTTGAGAAAATAGAAAATTAGAAAATTTGGAAACTTAGAAAATTTATTGAACAAGCACGTAGTTCTATGAAGTATCTCAAAAAGATGAGAAAGCTGACGAGCCTTTGTGCAAATTTGGTCTCATCTACCAAAGAAAAGCGTACTGTAATGCCCAAATTTATTTTGCATGCCTTAGGTCATAAATCTAGCTATGAACTGTGCGCGTAAATTTTCTTTGGCTTCACTTGCTCTCATGAAATCATGTGCTGTAACAAAGAACGAGAAAGGTGTGCTCGAATGTCTATAAATCAGCAAAAATTTTGCCAGCGCACCACCGCAATCACGCTGTCAGACTCGATTAAAGTTGCGTAGCTGTGAGCGGTTTTTATTCGTGAATGATTGATATCCTTAGTGTTGTGTCATCGTCCTCACACTATTTCTCAAAGGTGAATTGTCATTACATGGTCAGTGCCCGAAATGCTGCTTGTCGACCGTTCACTTCGGACCGAGTCCTTCACCCGATCGGGAACTTTTCGAAAATGTTGCTTCGAAAGTGCTTTTCTGCAACTGTGTGGCTACTGGAATGTCGCCGATTGTGAAGATGCGCCGCCCAATCTTCCCCCATCGACGATCGGAATCACCGTACACAGCCTTACTTGGCGCCGTTTGCCGGCAAACTTGTCACAGCACTTTTTCCCCGGGAAGACTTTTTGCTCCCACGTCAATTTCACCGAGGAAGTATCAGACCGCAATTTACCCAGTTCTACTGAACGAAAATGAATTTTTCTTACTACGTTGAATCTTTATTGTAATGTTATACTATTTATACTACTACCTAAAGGGGTTGACTGTTCCAGATGTTCTCAGCCTTGCATTGGCACGATGTGAACACTCCGCTTCTCATTTCTGCCTGGTTATTCATGATTATAATGGCTAGAATACGTAAGTCCTTTCATAACTCGATTCTGTTACTTCGTTTTACTTCGTTACTGTAGTTTTTATTAAAAACAAGGAATACTTCTTAGTTTGAATTCAAAATATGAATTTTTTCCTCCATTCTCACCTTTTGAGCTCCCATTGTTGAAAAAAGTAAGAAAGTACAGATGACATTTCCTCCTTTGCTTACACTACACACATTCGTATGAAATGCGAAGAGCGCGTGGTTGCGACGATGATCCATCATTTGATACCCTGACATGGTGTACAGTCTTTGAAAAGATGATATTTTCAAAGTCATTTGGGGGCTATTGATTATAAGGGATATTACCGCAGAACCAAATTGCGGGACTATATACTACGCAAGCGCAAGTCACTAAATCATTCCGTCCTAACCCTGTTGTCCACAGGCCCATAGTTTTTCTTCCTCCAGTTAACATCGTTCTGTTTTCTGGTTTTCTAAAGGAAAACGTGACCTTTGCGGGAGATATGATCTTATGAAAAAACGTGTTCTACCAGACAGACTTTGCTGTGAGGGTCGAAGAATGTTTTGCAGTAGAAAAATGATAGTTGAAGGAAGAAGCTTAAAGGCAGCTAGTAGATATTCTCTCCTTTCAGTTTTCCATCGATCCAATGTTCTGGCAAAAATATTCCCCGAATCTGCTCTGCTCATTGTTCTTGGTCTAATTGTTGGTCTGATCCTGGATGAGTTGTGGGTGTTGGATATATATCTGCATCCAGGTAAACCCGCAAGGTTGTTTTTTTATTCGAATAAAATTCATTTTTTGGTCTACGACCCTTTCTCCTATATTGCCTAGCTTCGCATGTTTTGTATTTAATTATTAATTCATGAGATATGTTGTAAGTCACGCAGATTTGTTAAGTTCTTTATTGAAAAAAAAACAAGCAAAAAAAACAAACAATGCCCAGGAGAATATTTTATTAATTATTTCAATCAATTTATTAATTAAAATAATCAGTTCAAATAACTTAATGCATAATTATTGATTATTCTGTCAATTTTTACTCACTTTATTATTTTATTATTTTTATAGGAGTACATTCTACAACAACCTCTCTATTCAGAACAATAATCAAAACACTGAAACTCAGCGAAAACTCGAAGAAAACTGGCACCATATTTGAGTCACAGTAGACGTGGATATATCATTTGCAGACTTTTTTTAACTAAAGCAATCATGAGTTAACATATATATTTTTGTGGATCAGATAAGATGTCAAATTTATATGCACTAGTATAAGTCCTGTAGATGTTTTTGACAGAAATCTTTGCGTGATGCAACATCCGAAAAAACTTTTGTGTAAACTTTCGAAAATAAGAAATTTTGCGAGACAGACTGACCTTTAACTAATGCAACTTGTTTGATTACAAGGAGTTTGGAAAACAAATTATTTTGAGAAAATCAATGAAAATGATGTAGAGTTTCAAGGGTTCTACACCTGCAGCGGTTCTGAAGAAAAATTTTTATTTATCTATTTATTTGATTATTAAATGCACAAAAAGTGCGCCTATCATAAAACAGCAGAAAAACTAAATAATAGTCAGTAAGGAAAAAGAAGTAAAAAATACTTAATCTAGACAGAAACTTGAAATCAGTACTGATAAAATATCTCAAGCAACACTCATTCAAAAACGTATAAGAACCAGAATGATACCACCCAACAAAGAATGATATCGAGATATAGCATCCAAATTTGACTACCTTAGCTACCGTTATATAGTTGAGTGAAGACTGTCAGATGCCAACGTGTATTTGATCGTGAGCCTTGAAAATAGGCTTATACTTGTATTTACATGGAAGGCACCCTATTTTCCTATATATCTTGATAAAATGTAGTCCCGAAAAAAATACCGTCTTTATCGAGTTTATAACAGAGTTTTCAACAGCAATTTTCTTCGTGAAAAGAGAGCAGTACAGAAGTATTAAAAGTGTTCTACTAGAATGTTGGTATGGTAGAGGAAACCTATGCATCACAAAATACAATTTATATAACCTCAACAAAAATGGAACAAACGAAAATCATAAAAATGTGTAATTTAAGTCACGTTAACAAAATGGTCATGGCGAGAAATTCAGCTTGAATCCGAAGTTCATTCACACTCATTATATGTAGGTTGAATTGCCGAATTTATGTAGCACACACCTAGAAAACTGCGCAGATTCATTAATGGAGAAAAATGGACTAGCCAATGTGGTATAACTGCAAAGGTTTATTCAGGTGCAGTTTTTAGACCTATTCTTCTTGTATCTCCTGCCTCCGATAGCGCTCGATGCTGGATATTTTCTGCCAAATAATGCATTCTTCCTAAATTTTGGTACCATTCTTCTCTATGCAGTTGTGGGCACAATATTCAACATTGTAACGATAGGTAAGCATATCTACATAAGAATTTTCTTAAAAATTCATCCTTAAAAAACAATTTATTCAAACTTGTGCTTCAGCCGGAATCATCTACGCGTTTCTACCATTGTATCAGTGGTCGTTACCATTCATAGATATTCTGCTTTTCTCGACACTTATCGCAGCAGTGGATCCAGTGGCTGTGCTTTCCGTATTTGAGGAGGTCCATGTAAATCAGCTACTTTATATATGTGTTTTCGGAGAGTCACTTCTGAACGATGCGGTGACTATAGTAAGTTCAAATATTCAACACTTTTTTCAAATTACAGGATTCCGTCTTTTCTGCGGCAGTAACCTGAGTTACTACCGTCAATTACAGTATTTGTAGCGGAAGCAACATCGAAAACTGAGTAAAAACTTATTGAGGTCCTCTATCATTCTCTATCCTCAATGGCTAAGATCGGCAGTGAGAATTTGATTCGAGAAGACTTTATCCATGCTTTTGTCAACTTTTCCATGGTATCCACCGGTGGCGTACTGATCGGACTCGTATGGGTGTGCATCACAGCCTTCGCTACAAAGTTCGTTGTAGTTCCAAGTAGATTTCCAGTTTTGAAACAATCCACCCTAGTTTCGAAACATATCGTCTTTTCTTTCGCATTGTGTCAAGTCAAATTTATTCATGGATGTGTAAATTACGCGACTGAATGCTTGGTATTCTGAGCAAGGGAAAAAGTTGCATGTGATTTGATACATTAGCCCCATCCTCAACACCTATCATTAATCAAATCATCAAATTTACTGCAACTCAACTTGTTCAGATGGTCATACGATGTTCCAATTCTGCAACCTCTCGTTTGCCTCTTCTTTCCATACCTCTCGTACCTGATTTCGGAAAGTGTCCATATGTCAGGAATTCTTGCGTAAGTGGTCCACAAAAATTTTATAATCGAACTTAGAAAAAGCAACTTTTCCAGCATTGTTACTTGCGGCCTCTTGATGAAGCCATACATATCCGGGAATCTGAACGACAAAGCACTAACCACCGTCAAATACTTCTTGAAAACATTATCGTCCTGGTGAGAAGTTGTTATTTGGAAGTGCATTTCATTAGCAGTCTATATAATTAGATACGACATTGCAAGGTCATCTGATTTCTGGCACGTTCCTTTTCTTGTCGCGCACCTGTGGCGCGTGCCAAAGAAAAGGGGTTAGGGCGGGTATAACTAAATAGGAGAGTATCTGTGTTTTCTGAAAATAAAATGAGTGCCGAAATGTGCTGCAATAGGATTCTAACTCCCCCGCTCCCCGACTGTGTTAATAACCAAGTGCGAAAACTATAATGCCGCTGTTGAGACGGGACTCGGAAGGGCACGTCGCGCATTCTGAAAACCGAAAGTTCGCTCTGAGACCACCACGGAATATTAGTGCATTGAGCCAGTCAAGAGGAATATTCTACTACAAATGACGGATGATTTGGTTTAAAGGACAATCTTATTAATTCTATTAGGTTGTCCCAAAAGTAAACTCCATTTTCAGCTAACTTGAGCTGTTTATGTTTTTCTGACTTATGTAGGGTACCATTCGATAGAGCAGAGCAAACTCTACAGGCCACCAAAGATCTACCTAAGTTGTAACTCATGTAAAATTTGGAGCCAAAACTCAAAATTTTTCACCTTCTTAAAAATCGAATCTCCTTCCAGAAAATTCCTACGGACTTCCAACTTGGTCTTCATATAGTAGACACATAGTAGTACCCAACGTATTTGATGGATTTTTTTTCGGGGCTCAAAATTGAGAAACAAAGATGATCCGAAAATGCCAAAATGCACTTTTTGCGGTTTTCTTACGTGAAACTTGATATTGCTCAATTATAAGAGAACATGCAGGGGCGAACTTGGTGAAATCTTAAGTATTACTTAGAAAGGCTTGTAGTATACAATGTCATATGTGGGAGGGGCTGGGGCGGAGTTTGCTTGGACTATCTTATTTTTCTCGCTTTCTATGCGCGGAAAAATCCAGTAAAGGCATATTTGAGTACTACTGTTTTTCTTTGCAGAAATCCAACTTTCTGACTGAATTTTCTTCGATTTTGGCTTCAAACTTTACATGAAATGCGACTTAGGCTAGGAAAAGAAAAACAACTTTAATCATTTGAACAAGGAATTCATTTTTGGAACAACCTAATAGATTTCGAGATCCACGTTTTGGATGAATTTGAATTTATTGCCGCTTTTTGAAATTTCATTTTGTGCAACTTTTTTCGCGCTCAACTGAATGTTAAGAGAAGCACACAACTACTATCCTGCACAGTTCTATAGAGGAAACTCGTTTTTATGGAGTCACTGATAATTCAAAGGCGAGCTTAATCCATCTACACCGAATGTCTAGCAGGAAAATAACGAAAAACTAAAAATTCCCACCACTCAATTTTCTGCAACCAAGCAGCAAATGCGCAAAATTACAAAGTCTCAGAAATAGAAAGCATGGACGAAAAGATCATGATTTAGAAGACACCATGATGAAGTAGGTAGAATCAGAAATTTTTTAGTGCAAAAATTGTTCAAACTTCAAATTCCGCACATGTATGAGGTGAAAATGTTTGCTAAGTGGTGCCAACGTTGCCACATAGGCTTTAAAGTAGTTCTTAAGATATATGAAAGGAATTTCTGATTGTATGGATATTATGTGGAATCTATAAGGTCTCTAAAGCTTCTAATTGTAAGAAGATCCTGCAATAATGCACCAGAAAAGAAATTCAAAACCGTTTCTTTTTCCTTGTTTGCCTTTGGTTTCTTTTGCATAGCTTGCAACAAACCCATGTAACGCACGTTTGTCCTGCAGATTTGTTAGCATTGCACATTATATCAAAAATTTAATCTTCTTTGAAAAATTGCTTCAGCCGAAGTACAACAATTTCAGAGTTTTTTCGAGTGCCCTCTTTTTCTTTCAAGATTGGTTAAGGTTGTGGGAAGTGATCCCAAAAAGCATATGAGGGCAATTGAGTGAAACCCCCTCCCCCTCTTCTTCGCCCTCTTACAAATTTTGCGACGGCATTGGTTAGTGATATGTAGATTCGACAATTCGCCGTAACTTATTGTTAGACCTTGCTATGTCCTTTGCCTAGGCTGCCTACCCTCAGTATCTGCTGAGCTGGAGAATGAAATTTTATTGGTAAAGTAAAAGATCGCGGAGCTGAGACTGAAGTTTGGCTTAAACTTATTTACCTAAGTTTTCCCTCTGAGAGCGGTGTCAATAGATACGACCAACGCCTTGATTGAATATTTACTTCAAATCAATCGAAAGAACAAAAACTTTTACCTATGAAATTGCAAAAAAAGCATCATTCTCATGCTCGTACTCCTAGATACCTCAAATATCTTTCGGAGTCTAAAGCAACGATAATTCAAACACAGACTGGCTTCATCAACCAGCCCTTGAAATAAGTTTTGGAGAGCTCAGATAATATTTGTCTAGTTCAGAACTTTCAAAATCACTCTTGATTGGAAAAGACTTCAATTACTGATTTTTTGACTCCTTGCTGTAGTTTGATCTAATGACCTGATACAAGTCATTTTCATAATTACTTAGGCATAACAGTTTCAAACTTTGACCATTCCTGCACTGCCATTGCTGCACACCAATAATGCCAAAAATTATGAATTCTTGCGATTTTTAAAAACTCAGTAAGTGTGTAGATTGAACACTGTCTTGCCAGAGGGGCAATACAATCTTTGAAAGTTCTTTCACTGGCATCCTTCTCGCAACTACTTGAAAAGGAAGAATAAGTTTCAAAAGCTTCTATCTTACAGTTGCGAAGCGATTATATTCGTATTTCTTGGTCTGTCAACGTTCTCTAAACACCACACATGGGACCTTGTCTTCGCAGTCGTTACTGTCACGGCATGCATATTCTGTCGATTTATAGGTAAAGCTTATTGAGATATGTAGATTATGTTTCTTCTGCAGATTTTCGAGGATTAATTTGCTTCAGGTGTCATCATTCTAACATGGCTGGCGAATCGTAAACGAGTGCAAAAGATAGGGCTTATGGACCAGGTGATAATGGGTTACGGTGGACTTCGCGGAGCTATCTGCTACGGTCTGGTCATGACACTGGGTGAGCCTCATCCACTTACTAATCTGTTATGAACTACTAATTCTATCAAGTACAGACAAGGACGCTATCCCTGCTAAAGACATGCTGGTGACCACCACTATTGTCGTGATCGTCGTTACCGTATTCTTCCAGGTATGTTTTTTTTCGTATACAATTTTTTTCATGTTTTAGGTTTCAAATTAGGAAATTAGTTGCAGGAAAGCCACAGGAGGTTGGGCTATATAGATATAGATAGATATAGATATATATAGATAGCATATCTTATGCAGTCCATGCCAATCACGTGCTCCCTTTTTTCGTAAACACAATGAGCTTCGCGCCTTCGCGCGCGCATGACTCGGGCATTCAAAAAAGCCTCATCGATTGGAGCTCCGCACGCCCGGCCCTTGCGTTGCGCATGCATAGGTAACATGCGAAAGGTAAAGCTGAATGTCTGTTTATATGTATGTATGTCTGTAGTATGTTCCGAATAGAAACTTCCATTTCTGAACCGATCCGGACCAAACTTGGCACACATACACTTCGGGGCGGGATGGATGTCATAGGCTGCTTTTCGTCATCGATCGATATCGATTTTATCGATTTTTTGTAAAATTTGATCTACGGGACTGGGAGTTGACACAGGGGGGTAATCGAGCATGCTGATTACGAATACAATATTATTTTTTGAAATTACTCATTACTTTTATCGATTTTATCGATTTTTTGCAAAGTTTGAGCTATGGGACTGGGAGTTGATAGGGGGGGAATTATCCATTGGTTTTGTCGATTTTATCGATTTTTTTTGCAAAGTTTGAGCTATGGGGCTGGGAATCGTCAGAGGGATAAGTGAGCATGCTGTAAAACACAGCGGGATTAGGGAGTTGGAGTTGGTATGTAGAAGTGGGCACAGGGAAACAGGGATAGGGTTTGGGGGACTCTATCATAGTGTGTTGACAGGGCCGGACGGACCCGGGTAAGCCAGCTAGTAGATAATAAGATTCAGAAATTAGTAACTCATCTGCGGAAATTATTAAAAATTCTAAACTAAGCTGTTTCTCCCAATTTAGAAAGTTTTTCGCTTAATCTGTCGATCACAGGTTAGTGGGTGAAAATTCCATCCCTAGCAAAACAGCTATCCATGCTAGGAGATAAATTCAAGCTTCTAAAACGACGTCAAATGAATGTAATTAGATTTTGCACAAAAACCACAAATCATTCGCAACAGTTTCGTTCCACTGTATCTGTTACGTAAAAACCACTACTTTTTGGTGAAGTTCAAACCATCACTTCAATGATTATAACTTTTGGACATCGTCCAAAACACAAAAAGAGATTGTGCGAGACTAATCATATGCTCATAGAAGGAAAACGGTGGTCAGAACTAAAGAAAAAGCATTCAAATTTATGGCTTCAACAGCTAGGTTGATAGCCAATTTCTCTTTTCCAGGGCACTACAATCAAACCACTGGTGCGATTACTAAAGGTAAAAACACAGGAGCCTCAACAGAAGACAGTTACTCAGCAAGTTTTGACACATGTAAGTCTTCCTCAAATCTGCGAAAGCTTTCACTGATGGTAAGAATTGGAGATTTCCTCTGACAAGAAAAGATACTGTCCCAGACCATTTACTGGAGTAGACAATAAATTTTGAGCTGCTGAAGAGCTCTTTACAAGAGTAATTTATCCTTCCATTCCTTCCGAATAATCAGTGCAAGGTTTTACCTGCTCTTTTATTATTTGAACCAAATTCACATCAATCTCCGTATATGGGATAGAGTATCGCGAAGAACCGGTGTAGAAAAATACTAAAATCCAAAAAAGAAAATGCCATAATCTCCGTTTGGATCGTATCATTGGAGATGTCAAAAGAAAAACTTAGCGACTTTTCTGGATCTCTCCAGTGACATGGAAAGACCGTATGTATGCACAAAATCAAATAATCAAAAAAGTAATCTTTCAGTCTTGTATAGCCGATCCAAGAGAGATGTGATCCTTCTTGAATTCAGGCGTATGATCTTCCTTAGCTAAGTCTTTCATTTACTAAATTCGGATCAGCCACTTTATGTAGTATGTTCGATATTTGAGTAACATCAGACTATTTGACCAGTACAAATGATCTAAAATATCGAGAAATACAAAAACTTTATTAGAAAACGCACATAGCTATTTTGAGAGGATCATCCTGCAGATATTGGAGACGGACTCGAAAACCTTATCGGTACTTACTATTTTACTTCATTCACAAGATCACGACACAAAGTGTCCTGACCCTTGTAAAAAGCAAAAATCTTTATGCAAGCTGAGTCAACAACCAAGCATGATCGTAATGTTTCAGAGTGGTGACGATATGATGGCAGGAGTTGAGGCGATCATCGGAATGCGCGGATCGAATTATGTAAGCATCTTCGCATTTGAATGTCGGCATAGATTTGAGAAAACATGGATTTGTTGATTTAAGGAGAACTTCCTCTGAAATGATTCAATTATTCCTTCAAATTCCAGTGGCGAAGGCGCCTGTCCGAGTTCAATCACAACTACGTGCAGCCAACCCTGATGCGCACGCCGTCATCCCGCGGCGAAAAGCTCATGGAAAAATATTCGGCGCTTTCAGCCGAGGAGCAACGGTTAAGGTTGCTGGAACGATATGGCGTGTAAATGATCTTTTCATTCGCGATGGTAAAAAATTCATAGTACCATAGTCCACTTCATGCAGCGCTCTCTTTCCTAAAATATCATAGTAAGGAGAGTAAGCCTGTGCTTGTAATCAAATAATAATAAATGGCTTTATTAGTGCTGTGTTGATGTTCCTGCAATTAAAATCTGCTCAAATTTTGTCACAGCAATTACGACTTTATATTAATGAAGACTTCGCTTGATGAGAGCTAAATGCTATACTTTTTATTCGTTATTGCAGTCGAATTAGCAAGAGCTCCAAACATCATTTATTCATTGCGCCCATTGCGCTAACAACGTCTGGAGATAAGTAAATTACGATAACCAATCCCTGGAGAGGGGAAATCCCTCTGGCTTTCCTCCATAATACCGTAATAATGGGTTATGTGAGTCACTAAGAAATAACTACAAAAACTTGATACTCGTTAGTTTAATGCTTGTATTGCGCAAACTATCAAATAAAAGCGGGTTCTCATTGTGGCTAAATTGCCGGCTGTTCATCTTGGTTGCTTGTGGAAATTCTGAAAAAGTACTCTTAATCAGTACAGTCAAGCAACAAAACGAACAACCTTTCCTGGAAACCAGAACAGCCTTCCAATCTTCAAAGGAATCTTGTGATCATCACTTTTCAAATATGACACCTACGCAAAAGAATTAGGAATGTATTTAGTCAACATTGATGATGAAATTGAGTCAGCAATTCCGTCACCACATTTGACTCACATGATAATTTTGATGATTGCCTTACTAGTAAAACCTTGAGCATGCGTCATCCCTACAACATAACCAAAAGTAGTTTTTATGAGAGTTCTGGTAGAGCACCTGGAAAAATATACTTTTGCCCAAACGCTAGCGGAATTCGGAAAATCTTAAGACCTCTTTTCGGAAAATTCGAGACAGCTTTTGCCTCTTCCTGGCGCGCTCAGAGTGGCAGGCAGTCCGGAATAAAGAAGTGCTTATCGATTTTCCCAAACGGCGAACCTCGCCAACCTTGTGAAATTTTTTCTGATTTTGAAGCATTTGAACAAACAAAACACAATACATTATTCTCTTAATTACGCATTCGATTTCGTTAACTCTCAGGTTCGGTAACGCTCAAAGATGCTGCCAATGAAAACTATACCTCCACATCAAACCTGCCGTTGAGATCAAAACCACTAAATAAAATCTGAAGTATCAACTAATTTCCTCACTACCGGGAAGCGATTCGAAAAATTCGTTTATGTTCTTTGCGTCCCACGCGATCCCTATACCACACATATGCTGAGAATTGTTTTCCAAATAGTGAGTCATAAGCTTACAAAAGAAAGGGACTGGTATACAAAGATTGAATTTGGTTAACATAATGAGTGCATGGTACTTTTTGCACTGTTGAGTCATTCTCTTCATAGTATGGTAAAGATGCATTCCAAACAGTGTTTGGAGTATGGGTTAACATATGGACAAAAAGAACGTAGAAGATTCCAGAAGAAATTTCGCAATACCGTTGCAAATGATTTCGGAATTAGTACATACTTCGAAGAAGTATGTGGCACTTTAATTCATGTCACAATTTGCGGCTTAACAAAATAAGATTTTCAGACTGCGATTGTTGTGGCTTGATTTCAAAAATCTTCATTGTGAAGGTGTTCACTCACAAACAGCCAAGGAAACTAAAATAGTTGGAAGATTGCAATTTTACCTACATCTTGATAAATATGTCTTTGCCCCTAAAATAGCTTCCGTGCAACAAAAGAAATGCCACGATTCTAAGCGATATTTTGATGACTATTTTTATTATCGGAGCTCAAAAAGTTTGAAGTTCCAGCTCATAGTCGTCCTTTCTGTCTGCTACTTCAACGTGCCAGAAATTGCCAGACACCATTGACGGTATATCGTACCAAAGAAGTAGCCTATCTATCATAGTACCATAATAGAAGGAACATGCTTAGAGGAACCAGAACCTGATCTTGCATGACATTCAACTACTTTGTTAACTGCCATAAAAGTTGCTACATTTGCAACTTTTGTGAAAACGTCGCGGTCTACTAAGAAACCCAGATCCTCTTCGACACGATCGTATTTTCCCCAAATTGGATGAATTGCTTGTATTTAGTAATATAATTTAAATCTGGCATGCGATCTTCTACAACAGTAACTAGTGTTTAGCATTTGGACAGAGGGATCCCGGCAGTTACAAATATTATCACAAAACTAATCCTCTTTGTGGAGGTAAGGAATGTCGCTGAGAAACAGAGCAGAAACTCTTCCATTGTTTAACATTTCAAAGTGAGATTCATCACATCACAGAAGACTTATATAACTTCGACTTCGAAATTTTCTCTACACAAGAAGCTCATGTACATATTGTGTTTCCTTTACATAACAAATCATGGATTTTCTTTGCGATAAAGAACAAATGTTCAGAGGTTTAGCAGATTAATTTTTTTCACTAATAGCTACTTTTCTTTGTGGTTGTTTGTGTTGCTAGGGAATCACTTGTACTCTGAGCACTGTGAGTTCTTTCGGATCTACAAAGTAATCGAAAGCAGCATTGAAAATACACAGTAATTTAAACCTAACTGTCAGACATTACATGACAGATGGATCTAACAAATTATTTGGTCAGAATGCCCTGGTTATGGACATTAACAATCAAGCTTTGATGCAAGTACTCTTATATTCTTTCCTTGACTAAACTTGCTACCCATCTGGCAATGAATTGTGCTAATTTCCACTTATTTGATTGCACCAACGAAAAGCTTCAGTCAAGGACTGTCAAAGATTGTATGTCTCTGATATAGATAGCAGTTCAGTAACGTCGATGATGTGCCCAAGTAATTTCACAGGATGTAGGGCTTAGATCTTGGCATGCTCGCCTCGATCCTTGACTTACAGAATTATGTTCAGTGCAGTGATTTCTCTAAATCCCCACTATTTCAGCTGTTAAAATTTTATCTTTGACTGTAGCTAAGGCATACTGTGGTATGGTAAGTATACTGTGGTAATGCATATGTTGTAGCTGGTCCTACTTCATATGAGGAATTGTAGGCCTTCGTGAAAGTTTTGCCCCCCCCCCCCCCACCTCCCTTTGAAATCGTCCCCAAGCGGAGCGTTGACGGGGAATAAGAGCTCGAGTCTAGACATCGTCTGGCATTGATTCTTTTTTTATAGAGCATTTTTTCTGCGCAAGTGCAAGATGCAAAAGCGTCGGGTAGAAAAAGCGCCCCGCTCGCCGCGAAAACCCTGCGTACTACAAGTTTGCCGTCACATAATTATTCCATCTCGTTGTTTCTCTGAACTGTTATTGCAGAATAGATTTTTATTCGTCTCATAACATCTTCAATCAAATTCCCATTTACTATAAAGCAATGCTATATTTGAGTAGAATCAAGATCTTGAGCACTGTAGTCAGGTTGCAGCCTTCCATCCATCTGTTCTCCAAATTCTCGAACACTGAAGTGGCTCGATGTCGGCACGGGGGCTGTGAGTCAGCTCCTGCTGACGAAGTGCTATTACACCACCATCTGGTTCTTACGGTATCTGTAGAAAAAGGGCTACGCAAGGTGCCCATCAACGTTGTCGTGAAGCAGACCTAAATCAAGGTGGTGAGTATCGTGATTCGCAATCGTCGGCTAGCTGCCACTGTGTGGATGATTCCCTGAATAACTTTAAGTTTGGTTTAGTTAGACGGAGTACCTCACCTGGGTTGTTATTGACTACCGGACGCGTCCTGAGACATTATCAATCCGCTCATGCAGTAGCTGGCCTTGCCAAGAATCTCTGCCTGCTATTCATTTTTTTTTGCAAACCTTGAACATGTCCCAAATTTGAGTGCTGGGGAAGGGTGAATGCGGGAGCGAGACTGGACTGGAAGTGGGAGCGGAGCGGAGCGGCTACGTGCATGAGGAGAAAACGGCCGAGGCCGCGACGGCGCAGCAACAGAAGTCCAACACTGTCAAGAGCAGACGAAGTAGGATAAATGTTATGAACAATGAAGTCATAACATTTAAAACTACCTCAGCTGCTACACTGATCGTGGAAGTCTGATTGTAGGGAGTTCTGAGAATGAGGAGCGCACAAAATCGCAGCGCTCGGGATTTGGGCTGACGGCGAATGCCTACGTGTGCGAGGCGGCGGACCCGCAGACGCGTTTTTTTGTAAGAAAAATCGATAGGCGTGCGAGAAAAAGGGCAAATAGCTCAACAAATGGATGCTTCAGTGTATTTTGTTGTATTTTAGCCCTAAATACAACAATCATCCCTACTTCGAGTTCAGAGCGGTGGGGGAGCGCTTGGAGTTTTTTTGTACAAAAGCTGAAGTGCTGAAAACAGTGTTATCGACGATATATGTCAGTGTGGACATTAGCAGTAGAAATGAATCAGCTAAATAATTAAACTTGCCTACGTTTATCGAGTGGAAGTGGCTCCGGCGTCTGCGCGTGCTACAGGGCGCTTCAGTTTATCAAGCTTTTTTTCGAACATTACGATCGTGTCTCCCATCCTAGCTTCCCATTCAGCAACAGAAATTGATTACTGAACAAACACACAGGGACTATGAGGCACAAATGATTATATTTCGAAAAGTTAGGAAGCAAAAAGAAAATGCGTCTCGTGAAGAGACCATAGGGTCCTAAATTTAACATAAGGATTGATCCTCCGTCCGGCTTACGTATGACGATCTGTGCAGCCTTTTCGTCTAAATTTGTTAAAATTAGCCGAATTTTTTGGTTTTTGAGCAAATAACACGAAAAAAATTACCTGCTCATATTGAAGCTGGAGAAATAGAGTGTGGCAACAAGAAGCAACGAAAACAGTCGATTTCCACTAGAAAGGAAAATTTCAGAGTCTATTAGTAGAACTGTGCGGACCGCCGCAGAGAACGAGCCGGCTGGCAATCGGTATGCGGGAACGAATGTGGACGGGGAATACGGTATCTGCGGCAGCTGAGTGCCGACCAATGAGAGCAAACGCCTGCGCGCAGCCCCGCCCACACCCCTGGCTCTATGAATGCTCCGACGGCGGCGCAAAAACCAACGGAGATCAGGGACAGATCACCGGCGGACAGCAAGTTAGTGCCACTACTTGAGAGCCAAACTACAGTAAGACTCAAACACAGAATATATCTTCTAGTAATCTCTCTCAGGAGTCGGTCCTCAGCACATGAGCAGAGTGACGCCACTTTATCAATTTCGCACACTAAAACATGGGAATACGCACCTTTTACGGTAATAACGGTCCAAAAAATAAGAAATACAAACTCATTAGCCATTTTTACGCATTTTCTCTCAATTTTTACCCACCAAAATACAATTTATATGCTAGATACCAGAACTGATAAGAGAGATACAGAAAATCCGTAAAAATGGGGCAGTGGACGGGGGAACGAGGGAGAGCAAAAACTGGTAATCTGAGCAGCAGTCACCTGTACTTTCAATGCACTTTGAGTTCAAGCGCGCACCGCAATGCAAATCTTCCGTCCGTACTGCGCAATGTCACGAAATCTGGAAAAGAAAACTTCAGATCAAAACGGATATTGCAGAATTTACACTGAAAAAATAGAGGAAAGATATTTTCTGAGTTTGGTGAAAAATAGGGGAAACTTATGTGGATGCGATTGAGGAATATAGTGCGGCGTATATATAGCGGCGTGGAATAGTGTTGCATGCAACAGCAAACAGTGCAATTTGTTGGCTGGAAGTGGCGGAGTAGGGGATGAGGTAGACTTCATATAGAAATGACTGACCAGGTCAGACGGGTTCAGGGTGCAAGCGCACGAAGACGAAATGGGTGCGGGCGCCAGCAGCGCATATTCATTTGTGGTACATGTAAGTGCAGTTTGGTTCGAGCGGGGCAGTGCCGGGCCGTAACACAAAGAGTGCATCCAAAGAACGCGTTCGTCCGTCTGCAGGGTAGGAGGGGACGACGGGACGATCGAGCACTCTGCGCCTGAACGCCGCCGAGCGCACAAAAACCACCTCGGCACAAATTGAACACCATGAATACGTCTCAACATTCCGATCCAACTGACACCCCTTCCTCCGGCTTCCGACGCCAACTATAAGTCCATTAAAATATCCGCGTCTCAAGTGTTCGAAAATAATACCTGGCATGGGACCTAAATTGAGCGAAATTCCAAGTCACAGGAACGAAAGAGATTGTGCAAAAATGTTTTGCGCCCTGAGTTCGAAGTATGACTCAAAAATCTTACCGATACAAATCAAGGGGAAATTTTTGTGTTGAGTTCTCCGCAAATTACCAGTTCCTAACAAAATTTAATGCTCGCAATGCAGTTTTCACAAGTTAACTGCTGCTAATTTTTTACAGCTAAAAGGTACACATGAAGTAAGCTATCTGGTTCAAGTCACAATTGATATCCTCACAGTCTCAGAATCGGTCTGCGCCACAAAAGGTTGCTTAATTGTGTGCTAGACACAGAAGAAATAAGAATTAACGTAATTTCGGTATGGTAGCAAAAGCGGGTTTACATGACTTGAATGTGCCTGAGAAATTTACTATATTGCAGATCCGAAAAGGGGTTCGATTTTGAGTTAGCACAGAAGGCTGTCAAAATCAAGAAAACCATAGAACTGAGACTGTCTGCGCCGTAGTTTTAAGCGATTGTTTCTATGATGCAAGCTGGAGATATGAGCTAAGCCGCGCATATTTCATTCGCAGTATCTTATAAAGCCTGGTATCAATAGAAAACCAAGATAGATGAACATTTTCTATAGCACAAAACAATCATTTTTGAATGATTAACAAATCGTTTGTCTAGTTTTGCGACTTTCTACAGTGGTTGCTTGAAAAGAGCGCTTAAGTTAGCGCTGAATCATGTGACACCACAATTTTTTTGCAACCGTTGACGACGTGTGGCTCACTATGAATCAATATGATTGTGGAAGAAAAAAACTAGCCGTGCAAAGTTTTCGTTCGATTTGGATACGTTTGAACGATTCATAAAGCGCATTAAACGTTCACAAGTGTTTTCTAGCGTACTAGCAAGAAAGGTCAGACGCTTTGCCAACTGCTAGAGTGCCTCATCAAGTTTTTGACGAAACATTATATCCAGTCGGTAGACGATGAAAAAGGACGAGCAGATTCTAGAAAGAACATCTTGCAGATTATTGTGCTCATTTATCGCTGTCTGGTTCTTGAACGGAGTTGTGCAATCATGCAGCAGGTACGTAGTGATTTTGCAAACAAAATAGAAATTTTCAGTTCATTACTCCTCCTGAGAAATAATTTGACAGAGTTTCCACCGTTTCCTGAATTAATGTGATTGATGTACGAACATATGAGCTTAAATGACAGTCTCATTAGTCATCCAGATTTTTATTCAAGATTCAAATCCGTATGGATTTGATCATTATATTAGATTGGCACTGCATCCTAAATGCGGTTTGACTACCGCTTGTTGAAACCTCAAAGCTTGCTTTCAGATTGATGTAAGTTTGTGGAAAATTATTTGCTGAATATACTGAGTGTACTGAATGTGGGCTACAGTTTAGTCCCATTATCGTTGCTTCCACAAATTATTTTTTCGATTAGATCAAGCCAGACCATATCCATCTCAGCTTCAACATACGTTAAATACTTTTGATAATCAAATTTGGTAGAGAGAAACAAATGATTCTGTGGCCTCAAACGCTAATTGTAAGTCTCAAGGTCGGATGTGACGGTAGAAAAAAAAGCATCGCTGCACACGGAGAATTGTCAGCGTAGGATGTGTCATGGGTGCTGCGCACGTCTCCAAAAAACTCAGCCCGATGTTTGACGTGTCTGTGTTCATGGGCGATAACGGCCACTAGTGCTAGTATTTGCGGATAGTCTGGAAATCCATTAGACAGCTAAGAGTCTGGATTTTCTTACCAATCCACAAGAGGTTTATGATTTTGCAAAGGCTGCTAGCTCGAAGTTTATTTCACAGTCGAGGTAGTGATAGCATGCGGCGCAGACAGCTGGCTGCTTCAGACTGAAGCGCAGTAGCTTCCTTCCTCAATGGTCCTCCACCAAAACATTCTTGCCATAACTTATAGGAGGTGACTTTGTGGGCTATACAAGAATTGTGCTCACATGGTCAAAGCAGCAAAGCCTTCAAATAATAAAGGCGAAAACAGTCGGAAATACTTTTTTCTGCTATAACTTCGCCTATTCTAGCGTAAAGAAACTGATGCATCCAGGGACTTCTTATACTTTAACACATTGATCCAGCACTCACCAAAATAAGCTACTGAACGTATTATAGAGTGGATTCATAGCCAGACTGATGGTAAACTTCTTTACTATGAATACCACATTTCATAAGTGTTTGCATGCGCGGAGAACGTCCTCAGTTTTTGTTTGGCTTTCGAAGTTCAGAAAAGATGAAGAATTTGGTGCAAAACTTCTCTTGCTTCAAAAAAGGTTAATGCATTTCTAGATACTGCTGTTTATCAAGTATCAGTGGATACATCGCAACTGCGCATTACCTATTATTTTGATAAGCCTTCAATTTCGGTGCCATCACTATCCGTGCTCTGTAGTGTGATATCAACTCAGATCCAAAGTCTCCTTCTTGTAAGTCGCTTTCAACAAACTGCAAAGTGTAGACTCTTTCTCTCAGTGCTCACAAACAGTAAACTCAACAACAGCTTTGTCTGTAACTGTTCCCACTGCTATGAAAAGGAGAACGTTTTTCTGTATTATGTTATCCTCTCGGCTTGCGCTATACGCCCAAGGTCAGCCTGGAGCTGCCCTGGCAGCGCGCACAGCGGCGCTGGGCGCCCATGGGCGCGGCGCCGATATGATGACCTCACTCAGAGCAGCATACGTGTCGAAACAGTCACCGATCCTGAATTTCAACTACGCAGCTGATCAATACGTGAGGTGGATGGAAAAAAAAAACGAAGTGTGCTGCTGTCAATGCTGCGGACGCGTGCGAAATCGCCCACTCAGTCGATTTTTGCAGCGGCGCACGCCGACTGCTACACTGCGACAGACACGATTTGGCGAGCGATGCGGGAGCGATCGTCTCCGCGGCCGAGTAGCAGCGGCGCTAGCTGCCGCCACCGCCGCCGTCGCGGATCCACGTCGCGCCCGCAAAGATCCTAAAAAACAACGAGCCTAGAAGCTAATGAATCTCGTTGGTTTACAGCTGCGCCGTGCCTCTACCAGCGTTGAACAGCAGGTTTTTTTTCCGACGCGACGGCCCCAATCGATACGGCGCTAGGATTTTGTAGTCTTGGTCGCAATGCTCTCTGCACATGCAGCAGAATATTACTAGAAGGAAATGCGTTCGGGAATTAGGATCGATACCTGGTTCTGGAGGATGCAAAACTGCCATCTGTAGGATATTACTGATCCTGCAACCCTTTCATCAATCGGCTTCGGACTCTTCCAAAATACAGTAGGAGGTTTGAAAGCGTAAAGATACTAGATCTCGGCAGCGTACACATCAAAATATACAGGCGATGCCGAGAACTTCCAAGCTGATTTGACTGAAAGTGCTGAATTTTTCTACTCAGAAAATCAGAATCACAGTAGCAAAAAAACCCATGACTTTCCCATATATTTTTAACTCCCCATACCCCTTTTTGGGTAGGGAAAAGGATCTCGGAGCGGCACACACTTCTTGAGGATAGGGAACGACCTGAACTATCCAATAAGAGAACTGTGATAGAACTCAAATGCTTATGCTTTTCCCTTACTACTTTTCTTTTTGTGTTGCATTTCAAAACACCTTTGGGTATCTTATGAATAAATAGATGAATAAATAAATAAACAAATAAATAATAATTGATTAAAGCACCTACCCGAAGTTCTTCCCAACTAAAAGCCTCAATGTACTTTCAGCAAAATGTTACACCAATCGCTTTCTAAAGTTTGATGCGCGCATGAACGTGCTTTGTACCACTGATATATTTATTTTTAGAGAATTTTGCCAATCTAGAATGACAGTTAACGTTTTATGAATATACGTCATTGTCAAAAAGAAGCTGCTTGCGTGGAATTCTCATAGATAAGCAGCATGAATCACAGCTACTCCTCTGTGCTTTGCGGAAAATTCGGTGTCAAGACGCTAGACCAGCTGTGCGAGTCTCACCTAGACGAAAAGATTTTGTAAAATTATTGAAACTCTAGATACCTTTATAAGCAACTGATAGCAACCTTTTGACACACGGTTATTGCTTACAATTGACTAACCTACAAATCAATTACAAAAGATTGTTTTTGTGTTTGGCAGAGCATACGGTAATGTTACTGCAAATTGAAAAAAGCTTATTGCTCCTTCAAACGGGCTTAGTAGGCTGTTCATTTGTCATCGATGACGATTACCGAGAAAAAGTATGTTAAGGTACGATTTACCTTATCCAATAATCGGTGATGTGATCCTTTAGAATAGATTCCAACCCAAAAAAGGACTTTGCGTTCAAAGTTTTGCATCATGAGCCCTAGACGAAGTCGATGTTAGGACGGGACACCTTCCAGTCAACCTGGTTGAGTCAAGGTTCCGAGCCTTTATCCATTATACTGAATAGTCTCTGTGCTTCTTTGTATTTTTTCACAAAAAAAAATCCTTACTGAAGTCCCGATTTGTTATCTATGATTTCTGATGCAGAGCACGAGTGGGTGATAGCGAAAGTCAAGAGAATGCATTCCTCAGAAGTTCAAATGTTCGACTGAAATACTGGTACGCTCTTCTGCTGCTGAATAGTTGTACAAAGCTCTGGTTTTCAAGAAAACCTGACAATAACGTTTGATGTAGGGCACCAGAAAGAATTCCATTCTCATAGACGAACTTCAACTGTTTCCCATAAATGCACAATAGCATCTCGTAGACAGTTGGCTTAATCTTATGAAGTTGGTGACTATATAGTCTAAAAATTCCGACTTTGAACAGTGTTGCTGATAAAATCTCTTCTCTTTTTCCGCGAGCCTATGTATGAAATCATTCAAAGCACCCAGGGAAGTTACCAAGACAATAGCTAGCGATTTTTGTCAAAAACAAACCATTCTGTTATACAGGGTGGGGCAAAAGTCTGGGAGCCTATTTTGCAGTGCTGTAAATCAAGAAACTACTGATGATTTTGACTCCAATTTGTGTCGCATATTGCTACGTTCATCTTCTACAAATCGCACTTTGGCTGGCTGAAAATGCTTGCCATATGTTTTTGTAGGAGTTGGATTTATCAAACATGTGCTCTGTAATGCTAGAAAATCGAAATTTTTGGTTCACAACTTATTTGTAGCTAAAGATACAGATACAGTGTATATTCTAGAGAGCTTCGATGCATACAATGTAGAGGAGACCTTGCGCTATCGATTCGTTGTCATTGTGTTTGTCAGATGCTATTCTTTCGGAAACGCAAAATAAAAATTTGCGAATACTACCTGCGTGCCAGTGGCCATTTTTCTTTAAAATAAGTTTGAAAGCTATAGGAGCACAGCAGGCACTGAATTCTAGGCTATACTTTTTCCTTGGATCTCCTATGCAAGCATGTACTTGAGTTCGATCGATGAAGCAATTTCAACACTTTTCAGATTACGATTTCCGCTCCCGTTCGCGCAATCGCAACCAGATTTCCAGTATACATTGTACACTTGCCTTTAACTAAAATTCCAAAAAAAATTTTCCTGACATTGCAAAAAAAATTTCTTCGCAGCACATTGTAGCTGAAAGCTTGCTCTATCACACCGCACATTTGCACGGAGAAATAGACAGTTACTGTAAAAGCGTGGGACGAATTTCATCATGACTGTCTGCGTGCCAGGACAGGCAGACTCGCCAAGATTTCGAAGGGCTGCTTTGAAGTCAGATGAGGCAATCTCAGAATTTAAAAGCAGCGCTGTATTTGTAAAGGTTCGATTTATGTGATTTTTTGTTCCTATGCACTTTCCTTCTGGTTTTATCTGAAAAAGTACTAGGCTCCCAGACTTTTGCCCCACCCTGTAGATAAGGCAAAGCTGGTGATATGAATGGCTGAGTTAGCTTGAGCGATCCTCAAATTTTCGATGCTTGGGTTTGAGGTAGTTAAGTCAAAACTCTGACTCCTTGTGAATTAGTAGAAAAGGAGATTTAGGTTTCCCAAATTGTGCGCCTGCCTTTCAGTTGCCACTGCTCGTATTTCTCAACTGTTTAAATCATGAACACAAAAAGAATACAACTTTTGATATCTCCAAGTTATCTAACTTGTAGCATGTTTTATTAGCACCAATTTATCGAACCATGCTCTGCCGCTCGTTGCTGTATTCGATGCTGCGTTGCTATAGAAAACGAAAAAAAAGTGTGGCAACGCGTTTCGCACAAGGCAACCAAAAAAGAGAGTCGATATCTTTGGACGTGGCTCTATCGAACCTCCCCTATGCATCTGGTGAGTGCCGAGTCAAAAGAGAGAAGGGCGGAGAGAAGGACGACGAGTATGAGGAGAGAAGAATTCAGAAGCGAAGCACTAGCAGACGGGCTAGATCGATGATCGACTAGGGTAGACGCATAATTGTGGGGAAGAAGCAGAAGGATGGGGGGGGGGGGGCGCAGAGGGAGGGGGAAGGAACACTCCCCTTTGGGATGGGTTATGAGATTTTTGATATAAGTCCAAGAGTTACTATACCCTCATAAATTCATTGAAAGCAGTGTCTACCCAAAATTTCGCTTCCCATGTTTTTTTCTTTCTAGGGTATTCCCGTGGTCCTGATTACGGTTACGAGGTTCGATTTCCAAGATCCGCAAAAAAACCCGATTCCTGGGAGCATTCTTCCTGAAAGCAGGACGTTTGAGTACTTGGGTAGGCGGTGTTTGATAGGATCTAGGCGTGGCTTGATAGTACCTTCGCTGTTCCAGATTCATTATCCGTTCGGAGACAACATCAGAGGAACAGACTAACGCGGATGCCTCTCGCCTGGAGCCTACACCCAGGATCGGCACTAATCGGAAGAGGCTAGATTTAGCCTAGACTCGCTCCGCTCGGCCCTGTCAAAAGAATATGATAAAGGTTTCATCCTATCGGTGTACTCCTTCCCGCTTCTGCATGCCAATTCCCCCTATTCCCATTGTGTTAGTAATCAGCATGCTCACTTACTCCCTGTAGCAACTTCCAGCCCCATAGCTCAAACTTCGCAAAAAATCGATAAAATCGATAAAAGTTCTATAATTAGGAACTAATGTATTCGTAATCAGCATGCTCGATTACCCCCCTGTGCCAACTTCCAGCCCCGCAAATCAATCAAACTTTACAAAAAATCGAAAATCGACAAAAGTAGTGGAAGATATAAAAACTAACATTGTACTCGTAATCAGCATGCTGCGACTGCCTCCCGTGTGCCAACTTCCAGCCCCGTAGCTTAAACTTTGCAAAAAAAATTGCTAAAATCGATAAAAGTAGCGGATAGTCTCAAAAACTGCTTTCGTAATCAGCATGCTCGATCACTTACCCCCCCCCCCCCCCTCCCTGTACCAACTCCCAGCCCCGTAGCTCAAACTTTTCAAAAAATCGATGAAATCGCTAAAAGTAATGTACGGTTCTAAAAACTAATATTGTATTCGTAATCAGCATGCTCTATTACCCCCTGTACCAACTCCCAGCCTCGTAGGCCATACTATGGAAAGAATCGATAAGAATCGTTAAAATCGATATAGATCGATGACGAAAAGTAGCCTATGACACCCGCCCCGCCCCGAAGTGTATGTGTGCCAAGTTTGGTCCCAATCGGTTTGGAAATATAAATTTCTATTCCGCACATACGTACAGACAGACAGACAAACAGACAAGCAAACATTCAACCTTATGTATAAGATGGGTGACGCTATGCTTCTCTCAAAGTTTCGCGGATATAACCTTGCAAGAATCGAAGAAGCGTACAATATTCCGTAGAGATGGTTAGGTGCTCTCAGTACAAATTTAAAAAGCTTCTTCCTTTCGAAAGCATGAAAACCGTCTCACGAAAATGCTCATATATACTCCAAAGACAATCTGATCACCGACGAATGAGTATAACTTACCGCAAATTCAGTACTTAAATTGACCGCTTTTGAAGAATTTGCCACTCTCAAAATGGGAAGATTCCGCTGTTGTGTTGCAAAATGTTGCTAACTTACAGAGCCCTAACTTGTATGGTAGTACTGTGATATCATTTAGCACCTCAGATTTGCTTGGAACTGTTTATTTTCAAGCAGGAAGGCTACCTAAAACATTGGGTGTCAGTAAACTCTTGTGTTGATTTAGCTGATCAATACAAAGGGTACAAGGGTCAACTATCACTAGGTGCAGATCGTGCCAAATGCCAAATCTACAAAAGGTTGGATCCCGCATGATGGTGGTTTTCTCTCTCATGCTCCATTTCTAGACCTGAGGAAGTCTGCATAATTACTTAGATTGATGAGTTCAGCATTTTCATACATCAGTGAAGGCTTAACCTTTTATACTTCCATTACATGTAGCTGTTTAAGTTATGTTTTCAGAGATAAAACTGATGCTGGCAAATGACCTTCCCAACATGTCTCCTACGAAGTTGTGCGAAATTTACCGTGGTCCACACCATGTAAGTTTAGTTCTACATAATTTTGCACGTACTTTGTGAAGATTGTAATATCTAAAAGTAAGCATAGGAAACCTTAAACTTTGTGTTAAATTTATATTTGCAGAAAATTATTGAGTTTATAAATATACAAAAGGTAAGAAATTTGAAAGGCTACAGTTGGCCCCAATGCCCACAGCTGACCCTTTTGTAGATGGAAGCGCGCTGACAAAGCTCCCCCTATCCATAAACTGAAAATCCCCTGTGGAAAACTATAGTAATAATACCGTGCTGCTGTCGCTTAGGTAGTTTTGATTAATTATTCGACAATTTGATAGCGCATGTTAATTTTATATTATTCGTTTTGAAGTTTAAAGGTTTTTCATGATGCGACTCACGTTAGTTTTCTGTTGCAGAGCATGCTCTAGAAATTAATGGATTTGGTATGTCACTAAATAGAATAACAGAAGGACGAAACCAGAACCGTTTCCATAACCTTTTTTGGACATGGAATGTAGTGGTTACTTAGTAACAAAATTTTCACTTAATAATAATCAAGATTTTTCCTCGATTCTTTGAAAATTCAGTTCGATAGGTAAAAAAACAATTTTTGATTTTCTGCTGCAAGTTCAGAATCTGATTATTATCAGTTTGATGGGATATATCTACCTGAAAAATGGAGATTGCCTTACCTGCCTTCCACTTCCTCTTGTTCTCCTTGGGAAAGCTTGTGTTCGTCAAAGCAGAGTTCCTTTTTGATGTTTTCCCAGGGTTTGCTTCCAAACAGCCAAATTAGGCTTGCTAGTGATTGAAGGCAAAAATATTTTTTGGATCATTTTATATGTACAAATCAAATCAAAGCAGTTTTCTACAAATTTGCATCTGATCAAATCGGTCAAAATGAAGGTCTTGCCGAAAACGACCTTCTAACGAACTCTAAGCTGTCCGCGGATGTTCAATTAATTTGTTCGCACAGAACGACTTAATTAGAAAGTAATAAAGATAGTTGTTGTTCCGGATTCCGGTTGATTTGCATCTAAGCTAATGATGTCGTGAACCGATATGCTACTGAAACAGCAGTCGCATCGCCTTCGTGACCCAGTTCATCGAGAAGCACCACGACATTCACGGAGATCGTTTTACTGTCATTGTTGTGTTCACTTTTTTCTCGTGTTCCGTATTTGTATGTGAACATTTACAGATGTGTCTATTACCTCCGAAAATTCCGGCATTTTTTCTTTGATTTTTCGGAAATGGTCCCCATTACTTCAAATTTTGATACTACAAAACTTGCTTCAGAGAATAATAGGATCTCCATTTCGGTGATTATTCTCGATTGTTGAATACTTGTTTGACAAGATTAGAGAGGTTCTCTAGCACATTTATCATATCGTTAGGTTTAGTATCTGAGTATATGTGGCTGTGCTTCACTTCCAAAGGATTCAGTATTGAGTGGTAGAAAGTCGAACTCCACATTCTCAAAAATTTCTGAATTTTCCAAATCCAATGTCTTTAAAATTCACGCAAAAAGATAGAATTCATGCACTTGTTGGCAGATCGAGGCAATTTTGAGGTATTTCTGAATTTCTTTTGCTAAATGCTAAATGGTCCAGCTTTGATTTTAAATAAATAGGTTTTACACCAACACCATTTGATTTTCTTCAAATATTAGGTTGTCTCAAAAGCAAGCTGTATTTCTAAATGAATTGAACTGCTTTTGTTTCCCTAGCAGACTTAGGGTACCTTTCGAAAGAGCGATGCATCTACAAAATGACGACCAAAGCATGTTGTAAGTCGGATTCAGGCAAAATTTGATATCGCAAAATCAAAGATTTTCAGCTACCCCAAAAATCGGATCTCCATCCAGAAAATCCCTACGGGCCTCCTACTTGGTCATTATACAGTAGACACATAGAGCACCCAAAAATATATTTGGTGGATTTTTTCAGGGCTCAAAATTGAGAAATTAAAATGGCTTGAAAACAAAATAAATGTTAGTTATTTCGGGTTTTTTCTGTTAAACTTGTTCTATTTTTCGATTACCAAAGCACAAACAGAGCTAAACTTTGAGGCTTGTAATTAAAAAGGCTTGTAGTATGCAATGATATATGTGGGATTGGCTGGGGGAGGAGTTTGCCATTTCTAGACTATCTCCTTTTTCTCACTTCCTAAGCGAGGAAAAAATCCATAAAAACGTATTTGAGTACTGCTTTGCATATTATGTATAATGACCAAGTTTGAGGTCCGTAGGAATTTTCTTCGTTAAAGTCCAATTTTTAGGTGAGAAATTTTTATTCGTCTTGCTTCAAATTTTACCTGGATCCGTCTTAAACGGTGCTCTGGTAGTCATTCGTAGAACTTGCTTCACTCTATTGAATGGTACCCTAAGTCTGCTAGGAAAACAAAAACAGTTTGATTTATATAGAATCACGATTTACATCTGGGACATCCTAATGTGATGTTCCTACGAGTGTAATTTAAAATTTCCTTTTCGAGTTTTGATACTCTTCAAAATAAATTGTAAATTGATATGTGTGGAATAGCGCATCTGTTATACATAACTAAAAAATATGGCACATATCGAAGCGGTTGAAGCGTTTTGAACATTTTTCTGGAATCATCAAGAAAAAGAAAGGTAAAAGACCTATGTTACAACCTAATATTATGCCATATTATATTATATGATGATAGCCAAAACCCCACATTTCCTGATGTTGTGCTCCTCCTCTTTTCCTTTTTTTCTCTTCTCGATACTGCGTCCCTTACTGTCTGTTCCCAGCGTACTTTTAGACTTTCAAGTTAATGAATTTTGCAGGCATGCCGCGAAGGCGATTACCTCTCTATATCGTACTATATTTATTTACAGTAGGATATGTATTGTCAAGTGAAGGTAGGTCCCGAAACGAGATTTGTTATCATTCTGCTCATCTAGTACAGCTTATTTCTACAGAATGTGATTCTAAGCTCGATTTGGCGTTCGTTCTCGATGCATCCGGGAGCATTGAGGAGATTTACAGCGAGCAAGTGCGGTGGACAGCTTTTCTAACAGATGCACTGCCCGTTCATAGAGATGCAGTGCGAATAGCGACTATTCAGTAAGATTTACAATTTCTAACTTAAAGTCTTGAGAATTACCCTTTCTTTTAGATATGCTGGTTATCCACTTACCGAGTTCAGCTTGAACACCTACTCAGATAAGGAGAAAATCGTTCGTCACCTTAAAGACATGACATTCCAATCTGGAGTCACGAGAACAGGTTACGCCTTGAGAAGGGCTGAACATGAGCTCTTCAGCGAAGACCGTGGAGCACGTCTTAACGTGTCTAAAGTCATTGCTTTATTCACGGATGGATTATCTATAGATGATCCTTTGAAGCCATCGGAACAAATGCGTTTGAAGAAAGGTAGTACTTCCTTCATTTCAATTTTGCAAAACATTACAAAAATTTGCTTAATAGGTGTAAAAATCTATGTGATAAGTGTGAACGCGGATGGTTTTATTCCGGAAATGCAACGTATCGCCGGAGAAAGCCAAAATGTTTTTGGGTACGAATTTTGGTTCTTTATTGACTATAAGAACCTTTTATTTTAGACCGAACGATCTTCTTTTGTTGAAACAGCGCCTCTCAAGGGACGCAGCAGAGGCCAGAGTCTGCGAAAGCGATTTAGTTGTTGGTTTTTATAATTCTTTTGAGTTCATTTGTACACCGACCCACTTTAGCTGCTCCGTAGAGCTAATAAAAGCTTGTAAGAGATTTTTCAAACCTGTTGATCTCAAAAATTTGTTATTGAATGTGACAATTTTTCAATTCTAAAACTTAAATTGTTAGAAAAAGACTTAGAAATTTTTAGAGTGAAGAGACATTCAGCACAACAACCGAAGCAGATTTTACACATTTTGGAGACAACACTGAGTCATTGATAGAAATGTCAACAGAAACGTTAAGATCCGACGATGGACCACCGTTTCTCCCAAGTGATCCGTCCAAACTTCACGATAATGAAGTCAAGGCGGTCAGTCAAACTTATTTCTAACTTGATTTAAGCTTATAAAATGAATTTTTCTGATGCATTTGATCTGGAAATTGTGAGAATCGATAATTTCACAAATAACTGCCCAGATTTTTTTTTCAGAGAACAACGTTACATGCTGCGGAATCGACAGCTACCACAATGTCTCCGGATCAGATCTTTGAGAGAGTTCTTGAGAGCGTGGGAACTTTGGTAAGGGCATTTATTACAATGCAAAATTTACCGTTTGAAGCTCTTTTTATTTTGGATCAAGTAGTCTGCAAAGCTGTGAAGCTTGTGAAGAAGTAAGGTCGCGAAAAAAAATTGTGGGCAAATTTGGTATGCGTAGCTTAAACATATCTACAAATGGAGCTGGCCGGCTTCACAGTGTTTATTTTGCTTCAGCTATCTATCATTTGCTTGAAACTATCCAGATTCGTTTTAGTATCCGGACTCCGTGGTGACGAATGTTCCTCCTGCTCAAATTCCAGACGCAAATCAAATACAAGTAGTTGAAACACCAAATGAAGCTGTGAGTTAGATTTATTCATGTTGGTGATCTGTTTTATATTGCAGTTTCAGACAACCTTCAAACCGTCTCTGAAAACCCAACTTCGAAAAAAGAAAGTCCGTCGAGTGCTTCGTAAAAAAGTTAAGAATGTAACCGTCCTTCCGACGCGAGTAGACAGTTCTCCTCCTGCACCAGAAAAGAAGGTCAACTGAACTCAAACGAAGCTGCTTTTGACAGTACAGTAGCGATAAATTTCAGATTCGAAAAATAATCAGAAAAAGGAGGCGAAAGATTGTGTCTGGAATTTCTTCTGGAAAAGCGTTACAGCAGTCACAAACTATTAGCACATCACCGACAATCCCAAAAGATATTATTCCTACTACTACAGTTGATAGTAGCTTACCACAGCTGTTAAAACCTTTTAAATTACAACCACAGCGAGAAAGCTTGCAGAAGAGCTCTAAATTTAAGGTATGACATCGACTGGGTTGTTTTTGCTATCGCCATAAGCAATAAATCCGTATTTAATTTAGACTGAAAATACCTCCCCAACGTTCTCGCCACAAGCTCTTGTGCGAACCACTACTACATGGATACCCGAACCTTCGGTCACCACTATTAAGCCAATTCCGGCACAGAAGAACACTCCAGGACCTACCACAGCACCAATTACAGATTTTGTACCTACGACAATATCGGTATCATCGCGAGCATTTGCTTCGAAAATATTCAACGGCGATGAAATTGGTATTTAAGAAACTTTGATTGAGTGATTATTCTAACTATCATGTTCTAGGAGTACCGATAAAAACTTGTCCACTTGATATTCTCTTCATCGTTGATAGTTCCGGCTCTGTCGGAGGAGAAATCTATTTGAAACAGAAGGTGATGAATCGAGTAATCGAAATATATTTTTCTGTCTGAGAGTATCTGTTTAGGAATTCTTGTCAGAGCTTTTGCAGTCAATACAGCCTGAAAACAAGTCACATCGAGTTGCGTTGATTCAATTTGCTGGAGCAAAATCACAAAAGACCGAATGGTTCTTTGACAGCTATCACGAAAGCTCAGAACTCATAAAAGCATTCAATGGAGTTCGTCATTTTACAGGTAAGGGTTAGATACTCATATGTAAGCTAGGTTCAAGCTGTACTGACCAGAAAACAGCCAAGACTAGTTAAATGCTAATTCTAGAATTCTTTGATTCCTTTAGTGACGAACTAGACAGAATTCCAGCTAAAAAATTTGTAGAAACATTTCTGGACCTAAACGGTTATGCTTCATAGCTTCTCTTTATGACAATAAGCCTATTGATGTATGCTGATAGGGTTAAAGTAAGCGTCCGATTTTCTAACACCGAATGAGCAGTACAATTTAATTTGGCGAGTGGCGACTGACTAATCGACCGCTCGCGCCACGCCCATTTAGAAGTCCTCAGGTTTTGAAGAGACTTTTCATCCATAAGGGTCGTTGTGAAGCGTAGCAATGGGCTCAGCATATCCAATTCGCCCGAGTTTGATAGGAAATCTTTCGGAAATTTACCCATCTACTTTTCTGAAATCGAGCTGATGGAAAAGTAGTTTTTCTAGGCACGACGTATATTGGAGCTGCACTTGAGCTAGCCCAGCAACTACTGGACACACGAAGGCCTGATGTAAAAACCGTGGTAGTACTTCTTAGTGACGGGTTAGCGATTTCAAAATTTTGATTTTAATTCATGTTCTGAGTACTTTTTTTGCAGATTTTCTCAAGATGATGCCTCTCGACCAGCAGAGGCCATTAGAGCTATGAAAAATGTGGAATTCTATGCGATTAGCCTGTCGCAGCTCAGCAACAAGTAGGGACTGTTACTTGCTTCTACTGGAGTACAAAAAGTTATCAAATATACAAGTATTTTTCAGAGATTATCTCCACCAACTGGTGAAGGATGAAAAGAAAATGGCTATGGACGATGACGTCGGCTACATTCACAATCATCTCAGATCTATATTCTCTTGTGCTAATTAATAAGACATGAGCTTCGTACTTAATAATAATTTATGTATCTACGAATAATTGATAATTATGCTGCTAATAATCAATAAATATGCTGCTAATAGACATGGAACGGTAAGCATGGACAAGATTGAATTTATAGAAAGGTTTAAGGTGATGCGATACACTGCGGGGGGGGGGGGCTTGTGAGAGAAAAAAGAGAGAAGAGAAATGTTTGGGGTCGTAAGGATATGCTAATACAAGATAGAATTTACTCGTAACATTCCGAATCTTACAGAATTACGACAGAAACGGTATCTCCTCCCCCCTCTCCATAATTCAATTTCTCTTGCCCTTCCCTTCCCCCATCCATTCATCCTTTCTCCTCCCCTGCCGCTTACAAATTTTTTGGTGCAGCTGAGATTTTGCTTTGAGTTATGGTACCCTATTTTCAGGTGTATAAGCCGCACCCTTTTTGCTCTAAACGCGAGCAGCCCAGGCGTGCCGCCGCGCATATGTCTCGCAATGCGGTCGCCTTATCGCATACAGCCCTCACTTAACGCGCTCCATGACGACAGTCAGTCTTTTGGCGTGTTCGCCTTTAGAATGAAAAGGGTGCGGCTTATACAGTAAATTTCGGCCCGCTTTAGGCGGAAATTGGATTGGGGGGAGTCCGTTTCGCAACAGCTCGCGCCGTCTCGCAGCTACAGTATATTCCTATCGTGCTGAGAATCCATGTCTGCGTCTCTTCAATCTCCTTAGTCTTTGCTTGGCAAAATGCCAGCGCTAGGCGCTCGCGAAGCGTCCAGCGATGCGCATGTGCTGCTCCACATAGAATGTCTCGCCTAATCCGCGATGAAACCGACTATACACTTGAAAATAGGGTAGTTAGGATAGACATCGAAATTAGGCCGGCTCGAAAGTTTGTGCCGTTTTAAGACCCATGCTCAAACCACTTAATAATGTTCCAACGCTCTAACCAGTGTTCGATGTCTTTCTAATTCATAACAGGAACCATGGCATTGCTGGAAGGACGCTGGGTTAAAATTGAAGGAAAATAAAGTGATTGATCGCAGATTTATCCGTGAGCCTTTCCAATGTGGCTGATGTAGACTATTGAATGCTATGTAACACTTTGTAGATCAACCCTTATCCGAAACCTTTTTCCCCTATTTTTGCTTGATAGAAAGCATAGTGGTTTTATCAGATTAGGATTTGCTTTACATCTAAACCCATAAGTACTCCAGGTACAATTCGAATTAGTGGTCTACATCCATCTGGTAGTGCAACATACACTCCAAAGTCGTACATTCGTTGCACAGAGTCGTTGCTTGACCCTCCAAAATTCGATATTTAGACGTCCGCCGAGGGTCGGATATTGAACTTTTCGTCGCCAACCATTCCTGATTTTTTTGTCTCCATACACTTCAGGACTTGTTTGAGAATGTATTATAAACAAAAGTCGCTATAACAGTTCATCTTTTTTTTATTATGTTCATGCAAAACACCGTTCTTGCTTGTCTAATCAGACCAGTTTGCTCTTGGCTCAGAAATGACCCGATTTGTCATGTAATGTAGCTGCTTTATCCAGCCTCCTATTATGAATCTCTCGTAAGCAACTTCTCCAAGGTATGAAAAGTCTTTGTATTATAGCGTTCAATGACAAAAATAGAGAAAAAAATTTCTTTACGAATGTGAGTTGAAATAGAAATAACTTGTCTTCTTATCACTGTCTATGAGCATTTGCTAGCTTGCAGTGAGCAAATTCTACTTGTTTTGCTTGATGGCACTTAATGTCTTTCAAAACCAGATTAAAGTGAACTTTGCGAAATTCTAAGCTTAACAACCTTTTGCTGTTTTGACATAAGGAAGACAGATCAGTAAACTTTGTGACATTTTTTCGTGACACCTGATTCAGGCTTTAAAAGTTTTGATGCCAGACGCACACACTTATCGGTATAGTATAGTTTTTTTACTCGGTACATCGTTGATTTGTAAGTACGCCATGAAAATTTTTGAAAATGATTTATTTCTGCAAGATCCAAGAAATGTATGCTGACACAAGGATCGCACTAGTTTCAGAAATTTTTCGGAGAGATTTGGAAAGTCTTAATCTCGGTTTTCGAAAAGTAAGTCAGACTTACACTACTAACAAGGGAATGGTCAGAAGTCGAAGTGGCCAATCTAAACAAGTTGCATACCATTCGATGCAGCATCGAATGCTGACTTCAAATCCGTCTTCCGTATCTGCAGAGCGCCTTTGTAGGCGAAGTTATGAGCAGTTTTACTGCGAAAAAATCTTACACAAAAATTGCAAAATTCGGCACATTATTTCTCTTTTAACTCACCTCCAGACGCGCGCCATATGGAGCGACCTAGATGCATGTTTTGGTCTAACACTGAGGTGGGAATGGCTTTGTACGGCCATGTTTGCGTTTTACACGTACATTTTCCTAGCAAAATAATAGGCTTCAACGGCCTATAATTTCATCCACAAAAGTGCTCTGCAGATAGTGAAGACAGATTTAGAGTCAGCGTTTTACGTTGCATCTAATGGTATGCAGTTTGCTTGATTTGGCCACTTCGAATTCTGACCATTTCCTTGTAAGTTTTCTAACTGACATTTATTTTAAGTGTGATTTTCTTCCTTTGCTGTTCTCTCACGCTTATCCGCAGTAGAAGATAACTTGAATGCCTTTGAAGCTCACGTTTTTTTCCCTCGGGATGTCGAAGTTGGGTTGTCTTCTACGATTTCTTTGTGAATGCTGCGACAGACATTTTTTCTTTGGTATTCTATTAGGTTGAACCGAAAGTTCTGTCGCACCATTTTCAAAAAATCATAACTTCTTTCGGCCACGACAATTTTGCGCAATTCAAATTTTGCCTGAAAGCGTAAAGCATGTAGTTTCCCAAAGTTCCCTGGAGACTTTCCATCATGCTCAGGTTGCAGAGATAAAAATGAAGGAACAAAATCATCCAAAATTCGGAATTTTTAAGCAAGAATTCTAAAAATTCAGAAACTGTGCGATAAAATCCAGAAAAGCCATTACCTTACTTTTTCTTACATTTGATTACCATCTGAGTCAAGTTTGCATTGATCGAGCCCTTCTTCCAAAAGTTATGATTTTTTGAAAAATAATGCCAAAAAACCAATTTCCTAAGAATCCTTGAAAAATGGATTTTTTGGCATTTTTTTTCAAAAATTCATAACTTCTGAAAGAAGACCTCGATCAGCACCAACTTGACTCAGTTATTAATCAAATGTAAGAAGAATCAAGGTAATGGCTTTTTTGGATTTTATCGCACCGTTTCTGAATTTCGAGAATTCTTAAAAAGAATTACTTAAAAATAATTAATAATTAATTAAAAAATAATTAGAATTACTAAAAAATAATTAGAATTACTTAAAAATTCTGAATTTCTGACGATCTCGTTCTTTCATTTTTATCTCTGCCACCTGAGCATATCGGAAACTCCCCAGGGAGCTTTTGGAAACTGCATGCTTCACGCTTTCAGAAAAAATTTGAACTGCGCAAAATCGTCGTGGCCGAAAGAAGTTATGATTTTTTGAAAATGGTGCAACAGAACTTTCGGTTCAACCTAATATATACTGCTCGAGCCATCCTAATATATTGGTTCTCAAGTAAAAAGAGTTTGCATTTCTTTAGCCATCTAGTCCTCCTCGAAAATCAGCGAATTTGTTAGGAGGTGAGCTCTTACATAAATTTTGACACTGAGCATCAGTGACGTGTCCGGGGAGGGGCAGGGCGTCAAAAATGTATTTTTAAATATAAGTGCGTAGCCTTGGCCACGCACATTGGAAATTTTTGGGATACTTTCCGAAATTTTTCCGGGCCTGCAACCCTCAAACTGGAAAAGAAGGGGGCGCATTACGCCCCGAAAAATTTTTTACAGGACTAATTTGAATTTTTTCAATTTCTTATAGAAAAAAACAAGCCATTTGCACAATTTTAGAACTCATATAAGTAACTTTCAAAGCCTTCCCCCCCTCCATCTAGCCTCCCCCTCCCGGGGCCCGTTAATGTTGAGCATATATTAGCGCTACGATACTGCAATACAATCAAGAATCAAACCTGGAATGAAACTCTAAAAATATTTTTTTGGAAAGTGTTTCCCAATACTTTTGCACTGCTCATGTTTTGTATTTCGAATTCCTGCTTCATTCATGAACGGTGTTTCAATGTGGTCTACTTTCGGACATAATTTTGAACGAAAATAAATGATTTCATCTCTAGGACCTCAGGGATCACTTTCACGACCCAGAGTCCGGATATGACGGCAACGTCCAAGATAAAAGTAAGCGGCTCCATCATTGATTAGTACAACAAAGGAACATAAGTGGAAACAGCAGAAATTTTAAGTCAAAAATCAAGCCTAATTTATCAGGGATGACATAGGAATGCCGGTAGCAAGGCGATGCTTAGAGACATCTTAATTTTTTATATCCTAAAGGCAATGTGGGTCCTTCTGCCACAATTGCGGTAGAAAAGAGTATGCACTTTCCACCAATATCTTGACTTTGATGTGTTCGATGAAGAGCTATGACGGTTGACCCCTATTCATAGTATCACGACAGCTTGCGGTAGCGCTACACAGAATCTTGCGAACTGTGCGTAAATCTCCCTTTTCGTCCTGAACTTCACCGCTTCAGGCAGCGGTTCAAGAAAATTGCAACTGTGAACTTTCCACCCCCCTTTGGCCTTCTGAATGCGCTCTGTCCAGGACTATGCTTAGAACGTCAAAAAAAAAGGCTTTTTATGGTGTCTTCTGGCCTCAAAGATTGCAGGAGGGGCTGGACAAACGATTCTCCCAACTGAGACACGATCGGCTGCTTGAGCTAACCAGCCAATTGCCGCCAAGGGTGGAGTTACAATCTCCTGCAGTCAGTCACTGTTTTTGGCGGGAATCTTGCTTCCAGCCCCTCAGCAATATGCAGGACCAGAGAACGCCATAAGAAGCACTTTTCCGACTTTTCAATCACAGTCCCGACTCAGCGGACCTAGAAGGCCAAGCAGTAGTTGACGAAAGCGCGCAATCGCAATTTTCTCGAGCCACTGTCTTTGAACCTCGCCAAACTTTTGAAAATAGCACCCCCTCCCTTATATCAAACTCTGCCCACTCCCGTGAAGCTTACTTCAAAGCTTCTCACAGTTCATCAAAATCAAATGAATTATTATTCACGCAACCTAAAATGTGTCGAAAGATAGGAGTGATACACAGTTAATACCTGGTAGATCTCTGTCACTATTAGAATTTTTCCAGAAAGGACGCGACGCTCCATTCTGATGGGACAACGAACCCACAACGAACGAACCGAAGCATCCGGGACCAGTCGGACAGGTATGCCCTTGCAAGTTTTGCTGTGTATGCCTCTAATCCCCTTTCTCTGCTGCTATCCAAGACGTATGGCTTTCACGCTCGCTGAAATGACCTTGCTCCAAAAATCCTTGGAATCTAGATTCAGATGTGGTTGGCTTCCATCAAGCATCAGATTGATGGATCATATGAATTTAGGTGGCTAGAGGCTGAGAAGTAGATGTAAGTCATGGAAAAGGGTCAGGTGGTATGGGAGAGCAAGCGTTAGGCGACAAAACGTGCAAACGCAAGCGGCGTGAAGGTCGTAACTCAAAACTATGCATCATTTCTAATGGCTACGGGTTATGTATCTGCTCCGATATCCCTTCCCTGTTTTTGCATAGGGAGTTTTTGGGGCACAAGAAATTGCGTTTATTGCCTAACGCCCTACACCCAAATTTTTTTTCTTTGATTTATTGCCCAGGCATTGAAGCTAACGTTGCTACATTTTGAATGTTTTACCATGCTTTACTCGGCATTTTTCGACAGTTGTGCTTGAAATCTGTAGAATATTGACTCAACCTGAGCAGATCACTCACTATTTACCCCGTTTGTTGTGCACAATATTCAGCTTGCCGGTCTTCTTTTGCCTGTATCACAGTTGAATAAATAAAACATAGCAAAAAATTGGGCACAACTGTGCGTCATGGAAGCGTAACTAACCTGGGCAACACAAGGCTAGGTCATAAAGATTTATTTCTGGCTTATGCTGCAATAAAATCTCAAAGACTTTCATTTGAGCTTTTCCATTTGTTTTAGAAAAGTTGTGCTCTATTGATTTGAGATGGCCTAGTTGGAACGGAAATTCTGATGTAGTTGCACAATTTGCCCGGAATCTGGATCTTTGATCTACTGTTACTGTTTCCTGTGTACAGGCCCGTAAAATCTAATTGCACACGCGTAGCTTTGAACACCAACGCGCAGCGCGGCTGGAAACGTTTGGTCCCGAAGCGCTACTGGCTTTTTGCGAGCGACAATGAGCGCGCACCCTTTCCACACGAATTTTTTTTAACTTTTGAAGTGAGCTTTCGTCAAGATAGACCATGCATTGACGAGAACAACATGAAAGTCAAAGAAAAAATTCTTGGAATATAGTGAACGCCGACAGTCGTTGGCGTCGACGGCTCGCTTACGCTGGTGTTCAGGGCACGCGCGGGCAATGAGGTTTTACGGCGCCTGTATGTGTCCACTGTCTTCGTGTGCTTCAAACAACTGTTTTCATTCCCGTTTAGCTTCGAATTTCCTGAACTCATTTCTATTTAGTCACTAAATTTTGTTGTTTGCTAGAATCTTTTGTGACTCCCGAGGAGCAGATCCTTTGTAATGAAGAACTTCTCCTTAGATACCGTTCTAACTGTCAATTCCAAGTAGCTTCATCTCATCCTTACAGATGGTAAGAGGTTCAAAACGCAGCATATTTCGAACTTTAAAAATGTAGTTCTTCAAAAAGAATTTGAGTGTAGAGATTGCAGCTCCCACCAGAAAAATCTTTGCTAGGTGTCCGTATAATTGTAAATCACCTGAGTGCAGTTGAGCGCAAACTGCTTTGTTAGAATTGACATTGAGTCCCATTTTCGTGCTAGAACTACTTACTGCTGATCTCTGCCACATGGCATCTGGTGGTTAATTTTCTGTCTTTCCCTCAGAAAGTTCCGAAAACCACAAACTAACAAGTGAAGTTTACCTTTCAATTTGCACGAAAAGTAGAAAGGTGCAGCAGTTGGAAATAACTTTCATAATTCGATGGTGGGTTCTTGTCCTAGTATAGTTGTGACTAGGCATAAGCGATGTCACCAAAGTCATTAATCGTAACACTTTTTATAGACGAGATAAAAAACGCAAACGCAAAGTCATTTTACTTTTACCTTTCAAAATCAAACAACATCGATGTTTCATGGATAGCGGTGGTTTGGACCTGTTGAGTAGTCAGGAGTATCTCAGGTTAAGCGAGTGTGATCTTCATTATGCCGTTCCATGGGTTAGCAAGTCACATCTGGAAGCCGTGATTGATGGGGAATTTCATAATGGGAACAAAGTCATTGCGAGACGGAAGTTGTATGTATGTACTTCCCAGAAAACGTGCAAAATTTCCGGGAATGTCGCGACACTCCTCAACATTGAGCAACATCTCCTTGATATCGCAACTTCGTGATCACGTACATTACGCAGCATTATGGGCAGTCCAGCAAAGCGAATCTTCTGATATGTATATCGCATAGTCGTGATAGTTCATTTACAGCGGACTTGATTTTTTTAATGCGATAATCATTTTGTACGGTGTAATGCAGAGCAGCCACGTTTTGATAGAACTTCAGCTCTGGAGATCAGCTGGAGAAATTTTTATGACAGATTGTCCGGTAAATTTTGGAGAAATGCAGCATCCACATGGTTATAAACAGGGCGCCTCTAGATCTACTCAACCGGCTTCGCGGGCGGTCGCGCGCGTCTCTCACTGCGTGGTGGGACCTAGCACATTGAGCTTGGGCCACGCTTGCTCTCCCGAACTAGGAAAATCGCGGTTGGGCATGTTATTTTGAATCTTTCAGAACTAGGAGAAGGTCGAAGAACATTGTGAGAAGTGCATATTCTCATCCATTCAAAGAATTATACCGTTCTCCTACTGGAGCTGCTTTGCAGCGAACATTCCTGTGGAAAGGCAGGCCACTGTACGAGATCCTCAGTGCGCGACTGAATGTAGATTTAGCAGTGTGAAACTCCTCTTGTATTGCTTAGAATCATGTTTTTTTTTTGAGAAGGATTGATACCACTCCAAAAAATATTATTGCTTCTTTCTTTGGCGTTTTGCATTACTTTAGATGCTGATTTCAGATGTGTGGTTACTAGTTTTCCTCCATAGAACAAAACTCTCACATTCAGTCTTTATTCCATCACCAGCGTCTTCGAAGTTCTAAAGACTATGTAGACAAACTCTCAGATAGGAACAATGCTGTACCATACTCAGGCCTAAACTTTCAATTCCTTTTCAAACAAAATATCATCGAGAAGACAAAACAATGTTTCGTGATCAAAGGATCGAGAACGCCGAACATTGTCTGACAAAGTTGAAGCTGATTGGTGGATCATGCACAATGAGATCACAGTATCAACTTGTACGTGCAAAGTTCTCTCAAATCTTCTAGTTCAAAATAAATGATTGATGAGTTAGCGGAGGCCCAACTGTGTAGGCCCTATAAAGACCAAAGTGCAAAATCAGGAAGTATGCGGATAGGTGTCAAGCCGCTCAGAATTCCCTTCTTTAAAGGCTTCCATAGTCCAAAAAAGCATTCTCTTGACAAAATTTAGCTATAGATTATGATAGCTGCGTATGTAAAGGTTCTGGGGCACGGTGAGTCCATTGCAGCGCATAAAATCGCAATAAGAAAACATTTAGAATCATAAAATGACGGCCATTTGACGAAAACAATATGAAGATGGTGGTTCTATTTACTGCAAGATGACCTTACTTGGAAGAAAAAAGCGGCCTTATGCATACTTCCTACCCACTTAAAGGCACCTTCCACCCTAAGTTGAGAGTGTTGAGCTTTTGGCCGCATATAATAGAACGTCCCCCTATCAATCCAATTCCCAAGTCGCGGCGCAAAATGCCGCTTCGGAAGCGAGAAAGTAGCTTCGGTATAGCGAAGATGCACGAGGACCCCCATCCATGCCCGCCCTCTTCCTCCATGCCTGCCCATTTGTGCGCGCCTATCCAATCACCGTTTCGGAATGCTGGCCTGTGGGTTCTTCGAAACGGGGATTGTCGTGATTTTCGAGCATTCTCGACTTCATATTCAGAATCAGGCATGTGAGAGGCCCTGAAACGACAAAAACGTGGAAGTCGGAAATCTGGGTGGACGGTGCCTTTAAGCTAAAAAATGCTTTTCGTCTCAATACAAGTAAAGTTTTTGAGCTCTGACCATCGCGCTGAGCCGAAAATCATGCAAATAAGCATTGAAAGACCATTAATATATCTCGAAGACTCTTCCACTCGATGCCGACAGCAAGAAGAATGCATAACATGCGCAACAGTGATTTTTCAAGTTTAAGTGAGCAAGCGTGGCCCAAGCTCAATGTGCCCGGTCCCACCACGTAGTGAGAAACGCGCGCGACTGCCCGCGCAGCCGGTTGAGTAGAAACAGTGATCTGGCATGACAATTGCGATCGCGAAGTTTGATTTCTATGACGAAGTGATGTGCGCGCATCCCCTCAATGAGCAAAGGTGGCTGGTAAATTTTTATAAACTCCAGGTCCATTCAACTTCCATCTACCCTATCCCTACGATAGGAAGGTAGCTGGCGATATATCCATGTTTGTAATCAGCAGATAAACCCATAGAACTGATGAGCTTACACACTCACTTTATAAACTGAGTCATCCTCATCGCAAGAGTATATGGTACAGGTTCTCATAAAGATGCAGTATGTGGCTCGTTGCATAATTGTTGCGACGAAGATCTCAAAGTATGGGGTTGTTTCAAATGTTTGACCTGGTTCGAAGTTCGAATTTGATACATTTCTACAATTTGATAATGTATTTACCATAGCTTTTTCAAAAATAACCGTCGCAAATGCATTAAAATGTATTACAATCTTCAAATCTTCTGGCAATTCTATGCATACTCAAAAGTTACTGCAGAAACAACAAGAATAGTTTGCTAGCCAAAAATCGACTAACATCTTCTTTCAAAAACCTTTGCTTTGAGAAACCATAATTTATTTGGGAAATGGTAGAATAAAAGCACTGCTCATTGTGTGGCTAGTCGGCTCAGCAGCGCTGCCGACCTTGGATTCACTGAGTTTTTTTATAAAAAAAACTTTTGAAGAAAATTTAAGAGACCCACTCATTTTGCTCTTTTTGAGGTGGCAGAAAATGCGATTTTAGTTTTTGATAACGTTTGTGGCTGACAATCAAGAAAATTTGTTCGTTGTTGTGATAGTTCTAGACCTAGTCTCACTACCAGAGGTGCGATAGTCGGAGCCGATTCT